CTTTATTGCGTCGTTTTCATTACCGGGTGTTAAAACCATCATGACCAGAGAGGATAAATTTAGGCTCGCAAAAATCGAAGAGTCATCACTTGAAGAGCTATAATTTCTCAACCAAACCTCCTAGATATACCCTATAGCACACATTTCTTAGCTGTGGAGGTCAGCTTTGAAACCACATATAGCTAAACCTGAATTTCTTTTTTGAGAAGTAATTTTGCAAGACGAATACGGATGTTTGCCCCTGCAAGACGACTAATTTTTTTTGAGGTCCATACATGCGCGAGGGGGGGGGGGGGGGTGAAATCGATTTTGCCGGGGGGAAAAAAATTTTTCCCCCGGGGAAAAATATAAACCCGATTCGCGGGCTAGGGAGTGGCTAAACCCTCCCGGACCAGTTTTTATCTCAATGTATTTTGACGAGATCTATCGATTGGAGCTTCCCCCGATGTCGACTGACCCACTTCCTGACCCCCCACAGGGTTATTATCGATGATGCTTCCCTTACATATACATTACTCCAAAAAATGGTCTGGGGAGGGTCAGGGGGTAATATGGGTGGGTCCAATCGATAGATCTCGTCAAAGTACTTTGACAATACCCCCCCCATTTGGGGGGGGTAAAACCCACTCCCAAGCCCAAAAATCGCATTTGAAAATATACCATTAATTCAATGGGAAGAATCATAAAAATCCAATTTTCAAGCTTGGGAATGGGTTTTACGCCCTGTTGGAAGGGTGTTTGTTAGGGTACTTTGACGAGACCTATCGAATGGACCCACCCATATTGCCCACTGACCCTCCCCTGATTAATTTCCTGGGATGTTGTTTGAATTTCTTCCCGGGAGAAAAAATAATTTCTTCCAGATTGCGCAAATCTTTGTTTTTTTTAATCCTAACTATATTATGATGTACATTAAGAGTACTTAGAAGTACTTAAGAGTACTTAAGAGTACTTAAGAGTACTTAAACCGTTTTTTTCTTACTTTTTTTCCGTATTTATGACTAAAATTCGAAATTTATTCAATATTTTTGGACACGGTCTTCGGCAAAAAAGTAGCCAGTGTAAAAATAGACAACCTTTCTGAACATATAAATCCAAAATAAGCATGTTCTGACCACGTATTTGGCTCGAAATTTCACATTCAAAAATCTTAACTCAAAACACATTGGATGTGATTTTGTTGGGTTATGTGTTAGAAGAGTTGTTTTTTTTACAACGGCCACAATTTTGCCGAAGACAGTATCCAAAAAAATGAATAACCTGCGAATTATGGTTGAAAAAGTGCAAAAATCGATTATTTTTACAATATTTTGTACTGGAGCAAACACCAGATGGCATTTTTTGGGTAAACGGATAGTCCCAATCGATAAATATTGTCGAATTAGTCTAACAAATACCCCGGTTAATATGGGGGGGTAAAACCCACTCCCAAGCCCGAAAATCGCATTTGAAAATATACCGTGAACCGTTGAATCATTGAAATCCATTTTTTGAGCTTGGGGATGGGTTTGACCCCCCCAAATGGGGGGGGTATTTGTTAGACTACTTTGGCAATATTTATCGATTAGACCCACCAATGTTGCCCGCCGACCCTTCCCTGACCAATTTACTGAGGGAGATAATATTTTCGATTTGCAGGTCCCCGAAAGAGGGTCAGTGGAGGGTCAGAAGGCAAAATGGGTGGGTTTAATCGATAGATCTCGTCAAAGTACCCTAACAAATACCCCCCCCCCCATAGGGTAAAATCCACCTCCAAGGCCAAAAAACGGGTTTCAAAGATTCAAAGATTCACGGTATATTTTCAAATGCGATTTTTGGGCTTGGGAGTGGGTTTACCCCCCCAAATGGGGGGGGTATTGTCAGAGTACTTTGACGAGATCTATCGATTGGACCCACCCATATTGCCCCCTGACCCTCCCCAGACCATTTTTTGGAGTAATGTATATATAAAGGAAGCATCATCGATAATAACCCTATGGGGGGTCAGAAAATGGGTCAGTCGACATCGGGGGAAGCTCCAATCGATAGATCTCGTCAAAATACATTGAGATAAAACCTGGTCCGGGAGAGTTTAGCCACTCCCTAGCCCGCAAATCAGGTTTATATTTTCCCCGCGAAAAGTACTGAAAGTTCTGTGTGTGGTAGCGACCTTTGTCGACCTCAAACGATGGCTTTCTTTCTGTTAACTTCAACTCTTGTTCAGGAAAAACCGGTAGCACTTTATTTTGTCCATTAATAAAATTACGTAAGCATATTATGAATAAAATGAAGAGAAGAGAATAAATAAAAATGCACAATTAACGGAAAAATTAAACCGTGGATTATTTTTTCTTCTTCTTCTTCTACTTCATTTTTATATAAATGTAATGTGGTGTAGAAATCAGCTTGTGCTGACGGACTTACGATGCTTCATTGTTGAAGTATGATAGTATGCCGTACCATTATTCAAAGTTGCATTTCCTGCTCCATGAGAGAAAAAAGTGGTTGCACACTGAAAGCACATACGATTGACATCGTCAATTTTATCTCGTAACTCTCTTCATCCCGATTACGGAAGTTTCAACGACGCCTAGTTAAGCCTAGTTAAGTCTCTGCACCCAATGATGAATTTGAGCGTATATTGACACTTGACAAAAGCAAAAAAAAGATCAAAATGAATGAACAAAACCTTGATTTTTGGATGATTCACTTTTTCTCTTGTCAATTTGAAATCTCTTCATCAGTCAATCGATATTGATTGGGGTGCTGACCAAATACGAACTTGAAATTACAGGTTTTGGCTGTGTGAGTGTGTGTGTGTGTGTGTGTGTGTGTTTATTTTTCGTGATTACACACGTACGCGAAATGAAAAACGAGAGCAGTGCGTTACCCTCAAATGAAAATTCGTTTCGAAAGTCAAAAGGAGAAAAATGACGAGCCGCCAGTTTTGTGTATGAGCGCATTTGATCGTGTCACGTCTTTATCAATAACAATATGCGTTCGCCGCAATCCGCTAATCACTATTATTATGTAGGAAACAAAAAGGAAAGTGTTTTTCTTCTAGTTTATAGCGGCAACTCTGGCTAATATGAAATGGTTATACGATAATATCTGTTTGGAAAAACATACTCCACGTTCATGCCAAAATGTGTTTGATCTTGTTCGGAAACCAGTTTCGTAATCGAAGTCGTTGTGTTTTTTTTTCTTTCTTCTTTCCATGTTCAATTGATAAGTTTGCTCATAAACCGTTTGATATATGTGCAATTTGAAAACGCACGAAAAATACGAGAAAAAAAATGAACGGTTTAAAAAGGAGAAGAAATGCAAAACAAAGCATTAATCAAAGCAGCGCGAATACATTATTTAATCGAGTTCACATAAGATCTGAAGAGAGACGTTTAAAACAAACAAACGAAGAAAAAAAAATCGACAATTTCAAATGGCCAAAATAATGACAGTGAACGCATGCGACAAAAATCATTTCGATAATAGTTTACGCACTGGAACACAATTTCGCCAAATTTATGCAATCACTTTTCTTTTTGTAATTTTTTTTTTCTTCTTTCATCTGTCTAGTTTAGTTACTGTTTCTATCCATCTATCTATTCAATTGGCGTGCGTTTGTAATGAAAAGCACATTATTTAATATGATTTATTTTGATATGCAGAGAACTGGTGTAGAGAAGAAGAAAAAATTATGACATCGAACGGAACAAACTTTGCTACTTTCTCTCTTGAAACAATTTGTAGTGTGTGCGTTTGTTTGTGTCGTTTTTCGAGAGAGAGAAAAATGTAATGCAGCGAAATAATAATAAAAAAAATACATACACAAATCGGTTTAAATGAAAAACCAGTTTTTTTAGTGTTTATCCAGCTTTGTGTGTGAATCCACCGGTTCCATATGGAAACTTCTCGGCCCGTCTCAAGATGCACACGTACATAAGTTGCGATAATAGATGATTGCACGGGGCTCACGCACAAATAAAATTTGTGCCGTTAAAACATTTTAGTCTCGTTTTTTTATTTGTTTACTGCTCAATTTCTCTCTCTCTCTCTCTCTCTCTCTCCCTCTCCCTCTCTCTCTCTCTCTCACTTACACTCGTTCTGTCTGCGCACTGTCAGCTCATTGTTAATTTCAGACTGAAAACAGTTCACACTCACTTGATTCCGTTTGGCACGTATTTGATTCGGTACATTTTGTCTTCTTTCGGTCATACAATTTTCATACATTTGATTCCGTCGCTAAGACAATCCGCAATCTATCCACACGTATTTGATTTCGCAGTCTTTGATCGTATTGAATTTTCTCGAAATGTTCGGCAATCTTCTCTAAAATATAGGTTTCCATTTCGAAACAACCTACAGTGCAAAGATTTGTTTTCTAATCGACAGAGAGAGGGAGGAAGAAAGAGAGAGAAAAGAGAAAATGTAATGTAATCTGATTCTGACGATGAAAAGCAAAACCAAGACCCATTCTTCTCCACAATAACGTCAAGTTTAAACCAAAAGACGAAAACAAAACAAGGAAGCCGTACGAAAACATTCATGTAATGGATTGAATGCCCATCAAAATTTCATCAGTAGGTGCGTCAAGTCAACCTTGAACTAGAAATTTGAAAGAAAAAACAATCAAAACGGTCCAGTAAGATCACATCAACAACCGTAATAAAATGAAGAAAATAAGATATAAAATACGACACACATGTAAAATTGTAATTTAAAACTCCAAACCGATCAGTTTTCTCTTTATTTAGCTCGATAAAAGAGAAATTTCCCACATTTGTCTTTAACATTTTGAACTAGATAACATCTTTGATATTCATTTTTTTTTCTCTTTAAGTGTTTAATAGCCAATCTGTCAAATATATAAACATTTAATGCCTCTATTGTCTCGCTTGTCTTAAATATTAAGCTTTATTTATTTAAAATGCTTTTGCTAATACTACGATTTAATCGAGGAAAAAATCGCCGAAATAAATTATGTTATTCTCCATTTTTATGGTTTGTGTTAAGCCTCGGCTCTCATTTGTTCAGTAGAATACTGGACGAATTTTCTTCTTTTTGGGGTAACTTTTGGCCCACGAAATTTCGTCTTGGATCAAATGATGATGATGATGGTTGCTCTTGACTTTAACTGGAATATGAACCGTCTTCACAATGGTTTTTGTATGAAAATGAGTATGATGCTTAACTGGAACATGGATCCGGATTCTGGTGGGAAGAAGAAGAAAATTGAAAAGCAAGTGAATATCAAATTCCGTTTTGAATAATTAATCAACCCCTGGTATAAGTTTTCCATAACTTACTTGGAACCGCTGGCAAGAGTGTCATTTGAGAAGAATGTCACCAAAATCATTGTCACGGCAATACAGGAAAAAATCTGCAATTTGACAGAATCATGGGAGAATCAATTTATTATTCCATTTGTTTCATGTCTTGTGTACACTTGATTGATCAATTTCTATTCAAACTTTTATGTATCTCCTCACACAGGCACAAATCAAAAGCATCATCAAATAATCGATCGGCTGGATTGTGTTAACCCTTGATCGAAGAATGCTTGATTAGGCTTTTGCAAAGAAAATTGATTGTATGATATATCTATGATTGGAGCTTTGGATCAAACACACAGAACATTCACCATTGAATACCACATTGAATACCACATTGATTGTTACAAGCCACTTACAAATTTGCTGTTGAGAGCCATTTTGCTTATGTTTTGATTTGATTCTTTTTTTTCTGAAGAAATTCTTTTCAATGCAGAAATCAGACTATTCAAAATAAAAAAATCACACCGAAAAAGGTTGCCGAAAAAGTGTCACAGAACGCACAAAAACCATTCGCAAAACAATAATATGAACGGCGAAATTCAAATTGTTGCTTGCAGAAAACCACGCTTTCCACTACTCAAGCTGCTGGACTGCTATAGTTTTATAGTAAAATGTGTAACGATCAAAGTAATTGTGAGCGATCGTTTTGAGCGAATCTCCTTTAAATATGTACCACAACCGCCGCTTGACTTCACTTGTTTCACAAATATACAGATATCACTCGGTCGATTGATATTCACTTGTTTGCGGCTCTGATGCGCGCACACACACAAACACGTGTGCGAAAGCAAGACGAATAGATAGAAAAGTTCGAATGTGAAGACGGAAAAAAAGACACAGCACATGTGGAGTAGATGGACAATGTGTACAGTTTTCCATTTCTTTTGCGTACACATTTTTTTCTTCTCCATGCAAAACAAAGAAAACAACAGCAGCGACGTGTGCACGAGTAGAAAAAGCGCGATACACAACATGCATGAAGACACATCAGTGAGAGTAACAAAACAAAATAACATTTAAGACAAAGATGTGATACGAATTACAATTTCAAGCTGTAAGAAATTGAATTGAAAAAAAGAAGCGCCTCGTATTTTGCCGTACTGCTGATGTGATCTATAAAAACCGAAAAAAAACAGAACCAAAATGTAGTGTAACGAAAGTGATCTCGGTTTGATTTGAATGAATGAGAGAAATATACAATTTAGGAAACCCCACGAGTGGATATGCATTTGAATAATGCACAATATTATTATGGGAGATGTAATTTCATTTGCATTTGTGAAAATGAAAACACAACTGGTCAATATCTGTAACGGTCATAGAAAATCTTTGGCATACAAACCATGCAGATGTTTTGTTCGATGATTTTTATGGAAACTGCGGCAATTCATGTATCATTCGAATTGTGGTAATAATTAGAAAGAAATTCTCAGAAATTGCAAATGGCAACGCAATGGGTGATTTAATCGGAATTATCTCTTTACGGTTTGATTCGAATCAACTGCTCGGAGTCGTGCGTTTGAAAATCGAAAAAGGAAATAGTCGTAACGGAAGCAATCATCTATATATTTTCATTGTGGCAAGCGTATAGCAAGTGCACGCTTTCCTTGTGCATTTGGTTAGTGTTTTTTTTTCTTCAAATTTTTTGCAATGATGAACATGTAACGTTGACGTGTTAATGTGTACAAGCACGCAAATGTGACACCTCACTCATGAATGCAATTAGGCAGAAATTGATTTTCTCTCTCGGTATTGCATAACCAATTTTTGTCGGAGATGAAGTGCAAAAACATTTGATGAACACCAGTGTACCGTTCAATATTGAATAATCCGATATTGAAATGGTAAATGCTGGCTATTCCATGTAGTTCAATTTTTCGTATTCATCACTACGGCCGGTCATTAAACCGATTTATTTCCTTTCCTTGTTAGCTATACGTTGAGATACACTTCAATCAAATTTGGGGCGCAGATGATGTGATTGAGACAAAGTATTGAGTTCATTCAAGGAGGGAAACCCGAGTGTATTCCAATAATAATATGCTTCACTCTGCTTTTCGTAACAACTAAGAATCTGCTTAAACGTGCACATTTTTCAGACTTGTCTGCACGTGTGGTTGTGTTATCTGTTCTTTTTGTTGTTGTCGTTGTCGTTGTTGTTGTCGCAGACTTCTTCCACACATATACGTATAAAGGGACCAAACCACGAACAAGTGCAATGCTAGATACACAGTCAAGACCAACAAACAACAACAAAAACAACAACAATAGCAAAACACACAGCAAGACAAGGAGACCCTCACACAGAAAAACGAGGAGGAAGTCTGTTGCAGTCTTTGTTCTGTCTGCGCGCCGTAAGTTGAAATTGAAAGTGTGTGTTTGTACGCGATTGTCCATAAACTAACAACACACAGTCACATCGAACGAATTCCCTTTGTACGCAGCACAAGCATATACAGCAGAGAGTCAGTGCGCGCTACTGCGTTCGTCAGTTCATTGCTTCATATAATCGGGTTCGTTGGTTAGTGTGCGTGCAACTTGAACGCATACACAAAGGCAACACTGACACACATTTGGCACATCCTTGTTACACATATACGAATACACAATTTTTTCGTATGGCCACCAATACACGCACAGTGCGCATTGCAAAATTTCGATTGATTGACTTGGGAATAAAGAAATATTCAAGCCAAGTGTACCACACGGACAACAAATAAAGAAAACGACGAAACATTTTCGGGAATTGAGTGAAACAAAAAAAATCATAATCTATAAACGAAAAAGCAATTATTTGGTGTTTTGCATTCCGATCAATATCCCTTTATCCGTTGGCCTAGATTCCCCGCGATTGAAACACTCTCGAAAAGTCAGGAAAAAGAAAAACAAACCAGTGAAAATAATAGTAAACAATCAAAAATTTGTATATCTGAACGTCGACGAACAAAGTGCGTGAGAGGTGAATTTGTAAACACATTGAGATTTTTCTTCTTCTATGTTTGAAATCGCATCGCATCGCATCAAACAAAGAAAAACGAAACAGTAGCATGTGCATTAAATTATTTAGTTTGCTTGTGTTTTGCAGCAGAGTTTTGAATTAAATTGAAACCCTTCCATTTACCATTATTCTTAACAAAAAAATTCTTTTTTTCCCTTTTCCTCATTTTTGCACACACAGACACACAGACATACACAGAGTACAGAGACAAAGAGAGTGAGAGTGAGTTATTCTGCAGAGGGAACAAAAACAAAGGAAACCATGTCAGATTTAATAGATCGCGCGAATGGACAATCGACGGCCAAATCCAGCAGAGTTTCCGGCGTTGTCAAATTCTATAGTGTTCAAAAATGCTACGGTTTCATAAAGCGTGATGACACAAAGGAGTATGTGTTTGTCCACAGCAAATCAGTGACTGGGAAGAATGAACGGCGTGTCACTCGGTCGTTAGCCAAAGGAGAGCATGTTGAATTCGATGTGGTTATGAGCGACAGGTCACCGGAAGCAATCAATGTAACTGGTTTGAATGACGGACCAGTTCTTGGAAGCGAATATGCACTGATTACGATGCAATGGTAATTTGTGTGACATAATCCAATATTCCCTCTCTACGTCTATTCTGAATTCAAAATGATAAAACACACTAATGTCCCCTATTTTATCTTCCTCTTCTACCATTTTTTTTTATCTTTATGTGTGGCCAAAGGCATCAATATGAGGCATACAAGCAACAGCTGGTGCGGAACAATGGGAATCCGCGAGAACGGAGCCCTCGTGCCCGTCGTTTCTTTCATCGGCGACAGCCCAGAGACTTTGACCATAGCAACGGCCGACATGGTGGCGGCGGTGGTGGCATAAGGAACGATCGTGGCGGTCGTCGTCGTCGAAGACCAGCTGAAAATGTATCAAAGGAATCGAACCAAGAGCAAAATATCGAAAATTCGGACAGCAAACAAAAGACACGTCGTCGCAACTACAATCGCAACCGTAAATCAAAGAACAACAACTCCGCAGATCAAAATAAGGACGACGCAACAGCGGATCAATCACTTCAATTGACCGAATCCAATTTGACGACCTTGTTGTCCGAACTGAATATGGGCGATAAATTATTAAACACTGCCAACAGTACTTCATCGGAGTCGCTGGACTTTGAAAAAATCAATACGGAGGACACCAATATGTGCAGCGTCGCACTAACAACCGCCTCCAGCCGGCTTGCGGCTTCGTTCAACAAAGGAAATTAATTTTCCAACTTTTACTTTTATTCCGTTTCTCATTTTGATTTTAGCTCATTCTAGTTTGTTTGCTTTTTTCGTTTCGATTTTAAGTGCAGCCCATCTCCATCAAATTTACAACTAATATTCTAAATACTAATTTCCGAATCGCTCAACATCAATTATTGATATGTTATCACCATTTGGTTTTTTTTCTTTTTCTGTTTGTTTTCTGCATGTTCTACAAACATTTTTGTATTGTATACACACAAAAATGATGCGTTATAAAAAAACCTATTAAATAGGTTTCCGTTTTTAGCCAATGATTTAATCATACAACACTAATGAACACTATTACCAAGTTAAAATTACCTAGCGCCAATTCGCTCGTTACATTTGTTTTTTTTTTTTTTAGTTTTCATCCATTTTCATCTTCATTTGTGTCATGGAACTAACTATACAATTTTTTAGATTTAAACAAAGAAAACATTCGACGAATAAAATTGCGATAATTTTTTTTTCTCTTCATTTTCGATTTAATATTTTTCTAGGCTATACAAAAAGAAAAGAAGAAAAGAATACATCCGAAAAAAAGACATTTATTTCTAGTCGCAAAACAAAAACAAAAAACCGTTTATTATTATTGAAGAGAAAAATGAAATATTAAATTGTAAGATACAGACAGATTAAACACATTTTGCTGAAATAAATACGTTTCACTTGAACAAAGCTGTTTTTTTTTACTTACCGTTCATTCGGATGTTGAAATGAAACAACCCCAGATGTTGAAATGAAACAACGTCCAACAAATGATACCATTTTTTTGTATATATTTTATGAATTTTATTTTTAATTAAAAATGATTTAATTTAAATGTTTTTTTTGTCTCTCCTTGCTCTTGTGTGTGGTGTGAGTTTTTTTCTTCTTTGAATTGATGTTCACTTCCTTTTTTTTTAAATTCATATACAATTTGGTTTCTCGTCTTAATGTGGTGAACGCACAAAAAGAAACAAACAATCAAATGAAATCAACTTTCTTTTTCGATTTCTGAGTGACCTTGATCGTGTCTAGATTTGATTTTCTTTTTTCGTGTTTTGTTCTGTGTGAGTTTGTTTTTTTTTTTGTTTTAATTTTTGATCCCCAAATATATTTCATTTTAGACATTTTGCAATTAATCAAGTAACAAATAGAAAACAGACCGTCTCATTGTGCTGAATGTTGAGGCGAATACCTGTAAAATCAGACGATATAAACACATTTCAATATTTTTTTTTCTTTTGATTTTTTCATTCATTTTTTTCTTCAAATATACTCATTACGGGATTGTGTATAATTGTTTCCATTTCAAAATTCATTTTATTGTGTGTTCTGTTGAATTTTCGGCATATTTTCTCTTTCTTTCTAAATTTTCTTCTGTTGAAAACGGCCAGATTGAACGTCATTGTTCACTGTGTGTATATGTGTATGTGCATACAGCAAGAAATTCCATCGAAAATAACATGTATGTTATAAATATTCAAAAATGTACTTGCTTAATTAAAATTGGAGTATGCAATCAAGAAATTAACGATTAAAATACGTTCATTCGGTTACATGTATGTAGAGTGGGGGCGCGGAGGAGGGGAAAGGGTGAGGGTTAGAGAACAAGATGAGTGTTATTAGTGGTATGAGTGTTTGTGTGTGTGCGTATAAAAGCGAAAGGCAAAAGGGAAGTTCAGGCATATTCTGGAGATCTGATGATGAGAGACCAATGAATGAATGTAGAAAAAAAATGCGATTCCCGAGACACATTATTGGACAAACTGGAGGTTTAATAGTGCACTTAATATCCGAAAACATTGTAAACTGTATACATTTATCAATTGTTTTAAATGGTGACCATCTAGGCCCGAATATGGAAAACAAGGTACATAATCGAACATATATTTACATTCAGAAATAACATTTTAAAGGAATGAAACAATCAAATCAACTCATCGAATGCTACCATTGCACGAAGTTTTTTTTATTGAATGCTACCATTGCACGATTCAAGTAGTCGATTAGGTTTTTTTCTTTTTCTTCACTTCAAACGAAGCTGCATTCACTTTTTTTTACGTAAAAGGGAAAGTAATACACATCTGACACATTTTTGTTTTCATTCGAAAGGAGGAAAGAAAACTGAAGAAAATGAAACATTAAATTCGAACGCAATGGAAAAAAAATGACGACAAATTTGAGTTGGAGCGGAATAAAACCGTCAATCAATGGGATGTGTATGTGTACGCCTTCCTTCTGTTGGATTTGTCAAACACAACGGAAACAAATAAAACATAGAGCTCTTTTTTCAGGGGGTCGATTTTACCGTTTAATTCACCTTTTATAAACATTAATTGTTTCCATCAATTTTACGAATGAATAACTAAATAGAACGCCTTCCAGTTTTTCGATACAAACAAATTGGCATTTTTTCATACATTAACAAAACGTCAACGAAGACAGCAAATAAATAATAATAAAAGTCTGTGTAATGATTTTTTTTTGGTTTATTTTGTGCGGAGAAAGACATTCAGATGAAATTCTTGTTTCTTAGTTTCTTCACTCTGTTCTTTTTCTGTGTATATCTCTCTCTCTATCTCTATTTCTCCGATTCCTGTTGGTACATTTCCACAATTTCCACAAGTATTGTATAAATGATTCAATGGCGGGAATGAAGGATGCGGCGAACGTGATTGGAAAACAGTTTTGAATTGTTATTTGCAACAACGAACATTGCACAAAACTACATGGTAACGATAGAGTTGTAGTGTTCTCTTTTTTTTGGTCTGCCTCATCGCAAAATGATGCATAGAGCGTGGAGAGTTGGATTGTGATGTTCGTGCATCAATAACTTGAGCACGCAGCGATAAGACATTAGAACCACGTAATCGCTGCAATTCGAAAAAGGTTCGTGGAGTCGTAGAGATTTTTGCCGTGGCAGAGCGAGTCGGAGGGGGAAGGGAAGAAACAGAACACACGACGACTTGGCTGCAGCTGCACATCAATACATAAAATTGTTTTTTTTTTCTTAACATTTCCTGCACACATTGAATTTGCTTTATTTTTTTTCCATATTACAAGAAAATGACAGAAATATACACCAAAACAATGGTAAAAACATCTTCTCTGGCAGGATATATTGTGTAATATTTGAAAGTTTTAATTTTTTTTTAAAGTCAATTGATTTTTTTTTCTTTGTTTTATTTTTGTTCAAAGGGGGAGAAAGGAATGAAATAAGAATGCACGTTTAATGTATTACATGTAACGAGTGAAACACATAAATAATTGTCATTGAAATCGTGTCAAACATGTTGTGATTTAGTTTCATGTTGTTAATCAATGGTTTTTACCAACCGAAAAACCATTCGTTTTAAAAACTCTTTTTTTTCTTCTTCTTTTTTTTGTTGTTCATATATTAATGATGCTTTGGAGTTGGTTGCTTGGCTGCTCCAAGAACCAACACCAACGCCTGACTTTTGTAGATTTGCTGCCGATGTTAGTGTTTTTCTTTTTTTTTTCAAAAAAGTAAAGCAATAATTCTGCTTTTTTTTGTTAAATTCAAGATTGCCCATACAATTTTGTTGTTGTTTTCGTTTTTCCATGACAATTTTTCCACATTTTTTTTGTTGCTTGTTTGTTCTTTGTTCTTGGTTATGTTTTCTTTTGCCGACTTTTCTCATATCTCTCATCCACAATGTGTTTGTATGTGTGTGTAAAAGCAAATCGATTTGGTCAAACGTAAATTCATTTGATGATCACCTCCATCAAAATTAATTTTAAAAAATATATATTAATTGCCAGTTTGCTGCTCAGTTTGATGTTGATGTAAATGCTCTTCTACGCTAAAAAGTTGCTGTCTTTTGCCTATGGTATCAACTGCATAATATATATATTTTAAAAATTGTTCGACTTCGAGATTGGGAAACAACGATTCAAGTCGCAGTCGTCTACTCCTTCTTCTTCTTTTTTTGATCTTATAAATTAATTATTTGTTTTTTTTTTTTTTTTTGTTAATTTATGTGAAAAAACTGCTCATATATTTTATGATGATCCGTGATCGAACGTATCCATAAAATATTTACCCTTCTTCGAAATTGGTTGTGTTGTTCTTTATCGTGTGTTGTTGCTGTGGTTGTTGTTGTTGTTTTTTTCTTCTCAACATCTTCTTTGTTTTGCTATGTCTGTTCTAGATTTTAATCGCAAACATTTTTTTCTTCTTACTTTTCGTTTTGTAGTTTTACTTAGTAATCTCTATGCAATGGATTCGATTTTATTTATCGCATTTTTGTTTTTTTTTATTTAGAAATTGATGAGATTTTAAAACTCAAATTTTGCGAACCAAAGAATTCGACACTAAAACGTGGTGAAAAAAACATAACAAAAACAAAACAAAAATAATGATCGATAGCACATTTGCAGCTGAAGCATTTCCAAAAATCAATCTGAATAATACGATGCTCAGCTCATTTGTTGTACGAAAAAAAAGTCGCATAATTTTACTCGTTTATTCACGATCAAATTTTGGAAATGGAACTGTTTTACTATTAGACTCGAACGCAGAATTCGTGATGGAAAGAAATCGGTGAAAATGAAAGCAACGAACGAAAGAAAAGGAAAACAATCGAAATGAAATACAAACGAAAAATAATTGATAGCACAGAAAATACCATATGGATGCCAAATTTTCGTGCTGATTCTCCTGGGGACATTGGTGAAGGGTGATAAATAGATCATAAAAGAAACACAGAGACAGTGAGCGGAAGAGAGATTGTGTGTGGACAACAGAAACGAAAACCATAAAAAGTCAAAAAAGAGAGAACAGAAATAAAATAAAAAGTCAAACCAAACGAGACAGAGAGAGAGAAAGTGGGAAAATCCCAGGATTGAATATGAATTTGCTGGTTTTTTCTTCTTCTTCAGATTGTTATTGGCGTTTTGTTGTTTTTTTTTTATTTAATTTTGTTTTGATTCCATTTTTAAATCTTTAAATATTACTTTTAGAGTAATTTTAAGTTGGTATATGGCGCAAAGATTTTTTATTTTACAATATATATGCATATATTTACGGTTGTTATTTTGTTGGAGATGATGTTAAATTGATTTTACTCAAATACATATTTGGCCTGAACAATTTTCATTTTGCTTCGTGTTTTCTTATCTTCACTTTTTTCATTTGCCTTGACTAATTTTGATCCCGGCGATCGAACATGGGATGGAATATGCAAATACTTTGAACAAGTTCACGGTATGTTTGTGTCATTCGTTTCTCTGCGTGTTTGTGTTTTTTTTTTCTTTCAAAATTCTTTCCTCTGTTTGATCTGGGTGGGGGGGAAGCGGATGTCCAACACACAACCGTATTAACATCCCTCAACTGTCGTTACAATATGCATTGGATCAATACATGTATATATATTATATTATTTTGCGATTCGAAACAAAAGTTGCACTTTATTGAGAGAGAAAAAAAAAGTAACAGCGGAAAACTTGAGACACCTCAAAGGTTTCGATAAACTATTGTGAATTTTTCGGTTTGTTCTGTTCTTCTTTTTTTTTTATTGTAAAAATCGACAATAAAAATTGTTTTTTTTTGTTTCGATAATGAAACCGAAGTAATTGTTGCATTCGACACAACAATTTGCTTCGGTTCCGTTAAATAAATTTAAATTGACTAAAAAAAAAGAAAAAAAATTGTAGGTACATTAACAAAATAATGGTATAATTTTTTTTTAACAAAAAAGAATGGTTATGTTATTTCTTTCCAAATTTCTTGAAAAAAGTCTCATCAATTTGTATAGTAGAACAAAGTTTCTGCTTGATTCAAATTTGCAAAGCGATCAATATTCTTTAAATTGTAAAATACATGTATAAAATTGCTGGATTTTTTTTTTAATTACTGCTGCTCTCTTGTATTTATCTTGTTTGTTGCTGTTGTTGCTTCATCAAACTTTTGGATTTTTCAGTTTCTGTTTTTTTTTTTTTTTTTTAAATCTTCATTTCTTCAAATAGTTTGTGATTTAAGACGTTATCGAAATCGTTTTGATTTTTTTTTATTTTTTTATTCATCTTTCTTCTTCATTTTTTTTCTTCTTCTTTTTATTATGTGATATTTAAACCTTTTATTTAATTATTATTGTTTGGTTGCTCTTGTTAGTTGTCACCGCCTTCTTGGGGCTCATCGCCGTCTCCTTGTGTGTCTGACGTCCAAAGTGTTAAGTTGTCTCTTAACAATTGCATGATGAGTGTTGAATCCTTGTATGAGTCTTCATTCAGCGTATCCAATTCAGCTATCGCATCGTCGAAAGCCTATATTTCGATAGATGTGAAGAAGGGGAGAAAAAAAACGCACACACACAAAGTGGTGATGAGTAAGCAATATAATATAATGATAGAATGTACCGGCATGAGGTCATAATAAATGTGTGGCCCATTTCGGTGCATTCGCAATTGGGAATTAGTTTTCAATGTGGATTTGTGTGACAATTAGCAGAAAAAAAATTGGAAAAAGAAGAAAAGCATTCCATTTCACAGAAAAAATTGAACTTTTCCACAACAGACACAGTATGCTTGTTTTTTTTGGGTGCTTTGCATAGGAAATATCATACGACGCAACAAACATGCAATAGAATTGATACGAGCCACAAAACGAAAATGCGACTGTACATCGCATCACATATGCACGTCGCATAATTTTCACCGTCAATGCACGAGATAACAGGTTTAAGCAAAGTCATGTGATTAAATTGGCTTTTCATATACTACTGCTTTTGCATGCTGCGTTCAGAACGTTCTATTTTATAAAGATGTTTGTTTGTTTCTTCATTATTTTTTTTCTGAAATTCATTCGTGTTTTTTCTTTCTGTGCTTGCAGTCAGTGTTGCTGACATTTATTCTTGTTAGTAAGTTGTTTGCTGCTTTCGATATTTTTTGTACACATCTACAAGTTCAGATCAGAGCATTCATAGCATCAATAACTACCAAAGCAAACGTTTTGTGTCAAAACAATCAATGGAAGAATATATTGAATAATAAGGTAAGGGGTAAATACACTCTTTATACGCGATTGTTGTCGTTGGAATCATTGCCATTCGTATTGGATCACATCACATCACATCCTACATACAAACACACACACACACACACACGCACACACAATGTTATGATTCCGATGCACATGGGTTAATCAATGGAGCATTTTATATTAAGGGAGGATCGTATGGAATTGGTGTGATGTTATATGTATACATATTCACGTGATACAGCAAAAATTATTTAATTTCAGCAAAACAATTCAATCGTTGAGATATAAAAGAGAGGAACAGAGAAAAAAAGAGCGCTCGTGCGGTAGTTCTCTCGCGATTTGAAACATGGTCAAGGGATTTGCATTGAAAACATATCAACGACGTGACTAAATTTGTTGGATTCAATTGCTTCAAAGCATTCAAAATTGAAATGGAACGAGAGAAGAAAAAAACAGTAAATAAATGAAGCGCGCTAAAGATACGTGAATGAATTCCCCTTCGTTGCTTTCGTTTCTATCGATGAGAAAAACTCATTCATATGACATTGCAAACATTTCGCTCTCTTTTCACATCTCACCGATTAATTTTAATTTAAGATTATTATTGTCGGCTGCATTCCAAAACTAAGGTTATTGTTGTTCAAAATAGTTAGGAAAAACGAATTAAATAAACGAACAGTCCACACAAAATGCAATTGTATCACTTGATAATGAAGTCAATTTGGTTGATGATTTTGGTATTTGGTTTTGTTTTGTCAGTGTTTCAAATAAACGAGAAAAGAAAAAAAAACGAACAAACGAAAGAACAACAACGAAAAAAAAATTGGATCTAAACGGTAACCTGTTTAGCCAAATGGCAAGCTCTGGCTGGTGAATTGATAATTTCATAATAGAAAACGGAAAAGTTGAGAGCCAATCCCAACCGAATCGGATGAGTTGGTTGCATTTTCGACTTTGATATGTCAAAGGCTTCTTGATAAGCTTTCTGCGAATCCTCAATTACGCCTTATGTTCGGGTACACACACGATATGTGGTTATTATGTGTGTTTGTATGTGTGTGTTTTTTTGTGTTCAATCATTTCAAACCAACAACGAAAGAAAGAAAAAGTTTAAAAAAGATAAAAAAAGAAGAGAGAAAACAAATTCACATGAGATTAATGCTTGAAAAATTTAGTATTTCATTTTTGTTTTGTTTTTTTTTCTCAAATTAAAAGAATATTTTGTTTGAACAATATGGAATGGATTGGACTGAGTTTGATTGCGAGTTGAGGAAGAGTGTTCGATTCGAACGAACGAAGAGACAAATAAACGAAGGACGTTTGGTAGCATTGATTTTTCTTTCTGAGACAAGAATATTTCGAGTGATTTAGTGTTTCTATGCAGCAACTAACAACGACTGAAATGAATTTAATTTGTGGTTTCGAGTTTTCCTTCTTTTTCCCATTTTTTTCCCATTGTTTGCATTCGGTTGGATGCTTTGTGTTTTCTTTTGCTAAGTTGTCCACTGGTCAATGCATTGCTTTTGCTAACCTGTTTTGCCAATTGACAGGCCTTATCGGGTGAGTTCAAAATCTCATAATAGAAGACTGAAAAGTTAAGTGCAAGACCCAATCGAATGGGATGCGTTGGCTGCATTTTGCCTTTGCTAATTTCAAAGGCATCCTGGTATGCGGCTTGAGAATCGTCGACAACCGCTATTTTTTGTTTGATTTGGGTGTTCATTTGAAAAAGGAATTGTAAATAATATTTGAAATCAAAAATATTTTTAAAATTTGTAATCGTGTGATGTATGTTTTTTTTTTTGGTTTTTTCTTTTTCTTGGATTTATCTATTTTTTGTTCGGTATATATTCGGATTGAATTTTCGAATATGGATTAAAAAAATGGTTGAGTGAATTTATTGAAACCGGGAAAAAGAAAAGCAAAAAAAAAAATCGTATGAAAATGATGGAATATTGTACACTTACTGTTTCGTGTTTCTCCTGTGGCAACTTCAGCCAAATACCTGTAGTAATCGCCTTTCATTTTAAGGTAGAAGACCTTACTTTCTGGATTACTAGCTTTTGGAATCAAATATTTGTCCAAAAGACCCTATGTGCGTGTAGAAGATTGGTTGGAAAAGGCGAATTGATTCGATTAGAGAAAGAGTGTATGTGTGTGTGAGGCTAGATGAAAATGAATTTCGGCTGGCAATTCAATTACTTACCAATACTTCATAACAAATTTCTCTAAGTTCCTTTTCAACGCGCTCTCTGTATTCTCGAGCGAGCTGTTGCTTTCTGGCGGAGGCTTCGGTCTTTTGTTCGATTGACGAAATCACTCTCCATGATGATCTGATTATATCAAATGAAAAAGGCGAACAAATGTGTCAATTTGCGTTGCTTAGGCGTGAGATATTTGGGTGCTATTGTTGTTGCAAAATCTGCTCTCTTTTTTTTTTATTTCAGTCTGTGTAAGTATGTGTTACTTTTTTTATGTATCAATGTGTCTAAAAGTCACATTCTGCTGAATTGACGTTTCGTGAATCATTAGAATCGTCTGTACATGCTCCAATGAAACTCCCACACACTTGGCTAATGAAGCAAAAGCATTCATCGATGTGCATGTATACACACACACACACACACATATATATATTCGACGATGTAGCCGTTGCAGCATTTACCAAGTTCGCTTTTTTTTATTGCTATTGTTGAAGTTTCGATATTTTTTCTTCTATGTATTCGAGTCTAATGGTCAGCAATCAGTGGTATGTGTCTTATAGTAAGCGTATATACGAGTAAAACTGTTTGGCAATGTATGGTTTTTCTTTTCTCGGTCGTTACTTATTATTTTTAGGCTTGAAACTTACCGGCGGGCTCCAACGACGTTTTTGTAAGCAACTGAGAGAAGGTTTCGTTCTTCATTTGATAATTCTACGCCGGTTTCTGTAACAGATTTCATTGCTTGCGCCATGTCATCATATCGTTCTGACTGTTCGGCAAGTTTTGCCTTTTGAACCAATTCGTCTTTATCAACGGTTGACATTTTGTGTTTTTTGTTTGTTTGTTACTGGACTGTATTATATACGAAGTGTCAATGTAGTATTTTGGTCGGAAACACCAAAATTAAACGTTCTGCAGTTACAGTGACTTGAAAAAATTGAATTTAGCCTGTTTATACAGCGGATGAACTTAAACCTCTGCAAAGAGAATGATGAAAAGAAACGAGAGAAAAAAACAATTAGAGAAAATTGGAATAAAGAGAAAATGCGGAGTCAAAGCTTTTCGTTTGTGTCAGAATGAGGAAAAAAAACTCCGTGATAATATAATGGAAACTCAAGAAGAATGTCATTATTACATGTTTTCCATTTAATTAAACTGCTGCGAATACAATATTCTGCCTCCGAAATTGCGAAAAATGCCAAGTAATTTGCTTAGGGGACAAAAGACGCGGCGATTTTCATGCTGGATGTTTGACACGGACTTTGCTGCCGCAATGTTTGCCGTCAAAATTTTATTTCCAAAAATACCGACGCAGAAAATCTTCAATATGCCAGTAATTTGTTTTTTGTTTGTTGAAAAGCTACTTAAAAACCATATGATACACAACAAAAACATATTTGAAAAATAAAAATAAACCCACAATGTGAAGTAAAAACTAATAAATCTCATTAGTATATTGCACAGCGTTCGTTTTGTTCACTCATTCAGTTGTACAACAAGCTGCATTATCACGTAATTGTGTTTCAAAAGATAGTTACAGCGCGGCAAACCCCAATATTCAGATGAGAAAATAGCACCGCAATTCGGTTCTAGTTCTAGCCAAAGACTTTTCCATCGCTCTCTGTGCGAAGCTTGAGTCAGTTTTTGATGTATACACTTAATAGTATAATGCATGAACTATACATATAAAATAAATGCACAACATCGATAAATACTGTCACTGCTGCTGCTGCTGCTGCTGCCAGTTAACGAACTGTATGTTAAATTACCCTGACATTGGCTAAGGAATTTCTGTTCGTTCCTACGCTGCAGAAATATTCTAATTTTGTTATGAATGTTGTTGAATGTGTGTTTTGTACACATAACAAAACCATCTCCCTTTCTCTCTGCTCCCCCCCCCCCTCCACACTCACTCACTCACTCTGCATAGATTCGTATCGAATTTTATTTAAAGCAGGTAAAAGCCCTTTTGTTTAACGGCATTTGGACATTGTCGTTCGATAAGTGTGCAATTTGTGCGGAGTTTTGCATACGGTACACGACGTTGATGATGATGATGATGATGATGGGACAGTTTTACTGCAGGAAGTCAAACTACAATTTAATTTTTGTCATTAATTATTGCTGTTCAAGACGAAACCAAAAATGGCAAATCGAATCCTATTACGTACACTTGTCTTTGGCGTCCACAGTGCTGTGGGACACCTTTTTTGTAGGAAATTTTTCGCTTTTGCGTCTCGCCGAATATATTGACAAAATAAACAACAACAACAACAACAAAAACATAGCAGCAGCAGCAGCAGCAGTAGCATTAAGCTTTTCAATCACGAAGGCGGTATACACACATACACACACACACACACACACTGAACACATAATACCATAAATTTTCGTTCGCTCCATGGAACGGCTATAGTTATAAGCTAAAACTTCCGCACAAATCACCACGCATTTTAATGGCCATTTTCCCTGCCGCCTTGTTTGTTTTCAATCGTTCATTATATCACCGCAAGAGAAACTACGCAATCACTTAAAAGAAAATGGATACACGGTATTTGTCGATGCTTCACTCGACACATTTTGCGATTGAGAAAATCCCTTTGAAACTCCTTCGAATCACCTTTATATGGATTGGTTTATTAACAATACCGAAATGCTAAGAAAATGCTCGTAGCCTCACTCTCCAAAAATGCTATCCTGCCAAATGGCTCGAAAGAAAAAAATAGATGCAGCAATTGCATTTTGCTATGCTTACTTTTGTTTTAGTTTGAAAATGCTTTGCTCAAATCCACTCGGTTTTTTTTTCTCACGATTTGGTTATCTTTGTCGTCATCAAATAAATTGTAAGTAAACGAAATTGGCTCGACAATAAACTATTGGAAATTGGCTGATGAAATTTTTAATACGTACAACACATCGAACATTCCCGACTCTACTGATTGTGCAGCATCGAAGTTGAAAAAAAACTGTATGGAAAAAAGCTTAGTGTACTCAGGCGAAGAAATTAAAAATGAAAGACACCAGGGGAAAAACTTAATTCGGATTCGCTGCTGTGTGTGCAAATGTTCGCGTGTGTATGTGTGTATGTGCGTTCATGTGTGGGGTTTCAAGTACATGCGCCGTCCAAACCGTGTACAAATCCAACAATATATACGCTGTATGTTGTCAAAACACTTAAAGAATTTCCATTTGCGTTGAATTTTTGCGATTTTCCGCAATATTTGTTTCTCGCTGCTGCTTTTCATTCTCTCTCTCTCTCTCTCTCTCTCTCTCTCTTGCCATGTATTCGGTAATTGTTTCAATGTTCATATCTTGAAATCTTTAAAAATAGATTTTCATAATTACTTGTTTGTTAAGAGTTTGAGAGGAGCATTGGAAACGAACGATAAGCGCTCGCCTCCTTGTGTTTACCGCAATGAAATCACAATGCAATGCAAAACGGGCCAAACTGCGCGTCGGCTCCAAAACTTCCATTAAAATACGTAACGGAGAAGATAGTAGAGTAGTAGCAGAAGCAAACAAAGAATTGACATGAATTATGTAGGGAAAAACACATTGAATTGAGCTTATGGAAACCTGTCGAGAATGTCGAAAACAATTGGACTGCCTTTTCAAACAGAGAAGAAAAAATCGAAAAAATCCAAAATGAAAAAAATAATCGGAATTGTCCAAATTTGTGGGGAAAGAAAACCAATCCAGTCATCTCATCGTGACAGCGAAAATCGCAAATGGCATACCAATTGTGAACTGGTGTTAAAAATGAAAAATTCAAAAAAAATGTTCGATGCCATCGACATGATGCCAAATCATAGGAAAGAAGAAAAAAAACCTCAACCAAACATAAGCCTGGATTCAAAGTGTAAACGGCAAACGAGATACGCTGTAGACGTGAATATTTTCCAAAGCGTCAGTCATTTTAGCGCATATCCACATGCAAAATGCACGAGCTTTGGGATCGCGTGCGCATAAGGAGTGCCTCTCAAATGTATAATACACACAAAACACACACACATACACAAACAACCACGCTAGGTGTGTTGTACGCGCTGTGTGTTTGATGTGTGCTTATTTGGAGGTATATGTATATATAGATATACATTTTCACCGTGCATAAAATTTACGAGAATGAAGTGTGGACAACAAACACACAATTTCAGATTTTCAATTTTACCATTGTTTCAAACGCTAAACGAATTTATTTTAATTATGAACCATTTTCTCTTCCCTCGAAAATCTCGTGTCATTTATTATTATTGGATAACATGTGTGTATTATACACTCTAAACAGATACTTGGTTTGTACACGCCAAAAGCACCTTTCCAGTTGTTTTCAAGACTCTAATGAACATAACAGAGACAGAGAGTGAGAGTGCTGTGTATTCTCCAATACCCAGGGGATGAGCAAACTTCAAGCGGTTGGCGTGCATTTAATTTGTTTGCAGTGCTGTTTCGCCATTCAAAATAAGTGAATAATTGGCATTTACTTTGCAGGACGCATACATTCAATCCGAAGAGGTGTTGCATGCGTTGTACAATAAAAAAAGTCATTTTTTTTTCTTATCATTTCTGTTCTGACAGAATTTTTGTTAACTGCAGTCAATAGAAATTCATCAGAGATTTAGATATGCTTGATTGGTATTGGCGATGAATTTCAGTGTATAAATGCCCGGCATGATTAATTTTTACTGTGGGTGGTGCCGAATTAATGGTATTGGCCATTTTTCAAGCAGCCGGGTGCATTTTCCAATTGGAATTTGCTTTACTGTTGGTTCATATGGAAGCCGCCATGTAATTATACGATGGGCGCCTAAATCGATTCAAAGAATATCCATAGAAAATGACAGTGAGACACTTTCGTACCATTTTATTGGTTTTTCTATGGTTGTGCACCCCTTATCAAAGCCGACCGATATGGTTATTTGCACGCATCAGACATTTTCTGTCGGTCGATTGAGCCCGTCGTTGAGATAAAAAAAAACCAAATTGCTTTGGTTCATCGAAATTCGATTCTGATTTGTTGTATTGTGAGTAAGAGACATTTAGATATTTTGATTTCCATTTAGGTAAACGATCCATCACATCCAATCCATCCATGCTACAGTGTGTGTATGGCATGCGTGCATCATTCAGAGTGGATTTTCTTTTTCGTTAAATGATCGCTATAGCCACACCAATAGATGTGGCTTGATATTGTTTATCGTATGCCATATACTGTGTTATTGGATCGAATAGAAGAATACAGTTGTCGAAGATTTAAATAGGGTACGAATATGTGCTGAAATTAGTTTAAAATAACTCTCTCGGATGTATCACACACGGTTTTATAAATGTTGTCATCACGGGGTATGGAACACGTTACGGCATAATACTTGAAACAACAATTCTCACACCGTATATGTGATATGCGGGGATATAAATCGATTCTGCGTTTTATATAATCGCATCCGAAGCAAAGTATTTCACACACAACAGCAGCAGAATCCAGTGTATCGAGGGTATGTGCTTTAGCACATCGTGATTTATAGAATAAAGGTTTTTCATCTGTATAATGAGCACCTAATGAAGTGCAAAATTTAGCAAAATTGATTACTAAATAATTTATTCGTGAATCGATAATGACGGCGAAGGCGACGCTGGCAACGACGATGACTTCAATGGTCACCATCAACAGGACGTCAACGATGGTTACGACAACCACAATATTGTATTAGATAATCTTTATTCTAATCCTATTTTGAGGATTCTGTTAGCGGTACACCGCATTCGTGCATATAGAGTTTTCGTGCGAAGATTTACTGAATTTATTTCATTACTTTGGGTCAAATTAAGGTCCTTGTTCCTTGTTTTTTTATCCTACTGCTGTCGCTGCCACTGTTGCTGCTGCTATCGATATATAAAGGAAAAAACTGTGTGTACGAGATGCGTGTGTAGCTGCGTGTGTCAGACAAAAAAAAAGACACACTTTATACGGAATAAACTATCAAGACCAGCTCACCCACACATATTGAATAAACCATAGCATCGTTTAAAACTGAACACCTAACGATAAACATGGACATGAACACGATTCCATAAAGGTCGTCCTAATTGAATGTGAAATCATCACCAGACAAATCTTACGTGTGGTTCTCTCGTGCACAGATATGTCACACCATTGAGGTGACAACGGTGTATACCTTTGAATCATGTCCAATGCTCGTGTATGACTGTGTGTGTATGAATGTATGATTCGGAAAAGTGTTTTTTATCCATCACATTCCATTGCAAATGACGATACAACAGATAACATTGATTGGAATTTAAGGCAAATGTGTATTTGCCGTTAAATAAAAGTATTGCACAAACTTTGAATTTTTATGTTTGATTCGAATGAAAATAAAAATTGAATATTAATAAACAAGTTTGTGTTGTGTCGCATTGCAAGCGGCAGTCGAAAGTGTCGTAATCGATTCGAAACAACGTTCAACATAGTTTAACGTTCTTTTTTTTCTGTCATTTTCGTTCGCTCTGTTTCTCTTTCTTCGTCTTTCTCTCTCTTTGTGTGTATGTGCTGTTATTTTCTTGCGTCCGATGAAATCGTATACATAATATATACACACATAACATTTTGAGTGCAAAGCAATATATTTTTAAAGGAGTATGACTAATCGCAACATTTCTCGGTACACACATGCGCAAGCAGATCACATTAATAGCGATTTCAAGCCGCGACCAATACAGTGACGTCAAATGATTTATTTTATACAGATTTTGCTTCTATCTATTTGGATATCAGCTCTATTTTTCTCTCAATCTCTATCTCTCGGTGTGTGCATGTGTTGCTCTCTTTTTCACTCACTTCTTTTCTCTCTCTCTCTCTCTCTCTCTCTCTCTCTCTCTCACTCCACTGTGTGTCACACCGGATGTCAGCAAAAATGTTCAACGAGCACGCATTATCACAGTTTCAACACTGCAAACAACTTGATCCTTTTTAATTGAAAACAAGTTATTTCCACATTATGGGGCCAGGCACATAACTATTCCCTGTTGATCCCTTTTACGTGCAAAACACATAAACCATTTTGCAGTTGCACTGGCTTCATTTATAACGTGATGTGGTTCGATGTTGTCTTTTTCAATGGCATTGTTATAAATTTTGAATGGGCGAATATGATTCATCATCGCATGTATCGATGACAATGTCTTTTCATTATGAAATGTTATATCGCATTGAATTGCCTCGTTGCCGAAATGTTATGTCACTCGAGAGAATTTGGGAAAAACATTTTTTTTTAAATCCTTAGTTCATGGAAGCATATTAAATTGTAGCGCTCCAGAATGTGTGTATGTGTTTTTCAAATTTGAATGAATGACACGCTTTGATCAAGCGAGCATGCAAAAGAGAAATCTTCAGTTTCTTGCGGCCTTTCTGGATCAATTGATATACAGAAATCACAGCCTTATTCAGTGATATTACAGGTGTGGTATTTGGCCGATGAGTAATGTGCGATTGACTATATTTGAATTGGCTGAGCGCGAACACAAATACGAATGCACAGGTTTTTTTTTCAATTTTATTTTTGAGGAAGAAAGGGAGAGAGAGAATGTGCGCGCGCTCACTCGCTCATACACAACAAAAACGCACTTTAAAACATTTCATTCAGTTAAATCATGCATTCAAGTATGTTTTACCCCATTACGTTTATACCATTTATATAGATATATTCGCTTTCCCAACAACCATTGATCTCGAATAACAGTCTTTGATATTTTTGGGCACAAGTGTTGTAAATGTGTGCGTGTGTGCTAGTATGTGTGTTTGTGTATGTGTATGTTCATCTAGATACAATTGAGTCATTCGCCCGTCATTTCCACACAGCGCACACCTTCATTCAATTGGAAGCGGATATAGCTTCCAAATCTATGGAAAATTATGATTTTCAAAAAATAATTACGTGTACGCTGTTTCGAACGCGCACGCGACATTTTAAATAACTAAAAAAAATACAACGGAATTTAAGAGAAGAAAAATAAAAGAACGGCCAACAAGCAAACTGAGAGAGCCAAATTAAGTTTGTATGCGCGCATATGAATTGATACGTATATATTTCTACACATTATTTTTTCTCTCTCTCTCTCCCTCTGATTTCGTTTGTAGAAAATTCATCTTTTTTTTCTGGTACTAGTGTAACATGCCGTAGCATTACGTAGCCTGTATATGCCGCGTGTCTGTGTGTCATGCACACACAAAACTAACACCGAGTACAGAGAGAGTGAGAACGAAAAGCACGGTTCTCGGTACACACACTGACTCAGCACGAATGGCATGTGATTGTGTTGCGTACATCACGTATTTACCATTAATACACAGTGTACAGTAGTATAACATTACATAAAAAAACGACAAAGACGACGACGACGACAGCAACGGCAACAGCGACGACGACGACGACTGAGAAGAAAACGAAGCAAATAAGCCAAAAGTGTAGACGAAAAGAATGATTTGTAAAATGGCGGCGGGTACATAGAAACAGCAGACACTCCTATTCTTAATTTACGAGAGTGTGATTGAGAGAGAGAATATTTTTTTTCGTTTCTCTACTCTTCTTCAAAATAAATTGAGAAATGAAATGTCCAACATTTTCGATTTCAGCACTATGACAAATGAATCGATCTTACATATTTCCATCATGTCGTTACACATGCACCGAAATATTTTCCGAAAGAGAGAAGACAAAATAAGTAGGAAAAAATAAATATGTATATAAATATATATATATCCGAACAAAATGAAATCAGTACGTTGAACAGCGCCGACGAAGGAAAAGAACAAAAATAGCCAATTGCCGCAGAAAAATATCGACGAATGAAAAAAATGCTTCAGTATGACCGATTCAAAATTACGACGTATTAAAGAGCCGCCACACCGCAATTTTTTTTTTGTACACATTTTTTTACGCTTTCGATTTTAGCCTGTTCGCTGCTCGTTCGTTCGTTCGCTGGTTCATTCTCTTTCTCTCCGATTGGATATTTCAAATGCATCTTAATCATCAATTCAATTGAATGATTCACATGAAAAAAAAAATAGAGAGAGAGAAAAAAAATAACGAAAAAAATAACTCGCGGATGATTCAAAAAACGATGCGGATTTTGGTTGATTCGATTTTTATTTTTCCTCAATAAATTTTCGCTTTGCTGACAGCATTATTCTAGTATTTCGTCTCTTATTTTTTATTTTCTCTTCCTTTTTACTCCATCGTTTCGACCAATTGAAGAACACAAGTCGACAAAAACACTCACTCAGTGACAATATTTATTGATAACGACAAATGAAAATTGACAATTTAGCTACTTACTTTTCGATTCGAAAAGGTTTTACGACTATTTGTTGAATGGCACAACCAGTTCTGACTAACGTGATATATATTTTTTTCGATATTAATTGAAAACTCGGCTCTGATGAAATGTGTGTTGCCTTCGGGAAAAAACACTCACAAAAAACGAAAAAAACGAACAAGAATTTTCTTGTGTGCTCTCCGTCGTTTTCCAACTTTAGATAGATTTTCAATATACGAAATTCAACAATCGCTCCGCAATACGAACGGTATGATACAGCAATGTCGGATACGATGATGGTACTCAATTCAAACTCACAAATGCTTGTGTCGCAGTTTTGCGGCGTATGTGTGAGTGAGAGCGATTTCGTGTGTATTGTGTAGACCGTTGTCGTAATGTGACGAATTTGGGCCGTTTATAGTGTGTGCTGGGCGATGCGTGCGTGTGTGTCGGTGATTGAGTGAGTGTATGAGAGAGCGGGCGTATGTATGTGCGGAATGGTTCTGCGTATTTGCTCTTTGGAAAATAGTCAAGTTGAAATAAATGAAAAGAGTACGCATGAGAGATGGTGTGCCAGCTGAACGAAGTGAGAACGAGACGATAGCAATGCGTGTAGGCAGAGAAAAACTGTGTGTGATTTTTAGTGCTGCACAAAAATAAATACAAGTACATAGATACACTGATATTTCTCTGCTGTTCGTTCGCTCACTAGCTCGACTTGAAATGCGATGGATTACCGCGAGAGACCACCGTTTGTATTGTATATGCCGTGTATAGTAGGAGCAGCATTATGGATGCCATGCTATTGAACAAAAAGGTAGTGAACACCGATTCTACCGAAAGCACTTTGAATTGCACGGCAGCCGCACGCTGCCAACATGAACGTGAACGTCGTGGACACGAACGACGAACGAAAAGAAGAGCTGAAATGTGCTTGTAGTTTTTATCATTGCTCACTCTCTCTCTGTGTCTGTCTCTCTATCTATCACCGTCTCATTCTTTCAGTCGTTCGCACCGTATTTGAATGGCTCGAAATGAAACGAGAACCATGAAGCCTTGTGACTGTGCGTCTTCTGGTTTTTTTTCTTACATAGTAGCTATGAATAAACTGACAAAATCATCGGTAAATGTCGCCGTTTCTCGTTTGCCGCCGAAAATAAACCGTATCCCGTGCGATGGCTTCAACGAGAGAAACGGTGAAACCGCAAATAATACGAAACAAGTCAAAGCATGCAGGCAAACACAATGCGAGAGAAAGAGATGAAAAAAAATCTGAACCAGTCAAGCATTAATGCCGCACAAGTTAACCTATGTATGGGTGTGTTGACAGTGAACAGTCTATTGCATACTCACTTTTTTTGTCACAGCAAAATTTCGCTATAAAAAATCGAAAATGTTCAATTCAACGATCGTAGTTAAATCCAAAATGTACTAAACAACACAGAAGTTCTGGCAAAGATTTTCTCTGATTTATTAGATAGAATTGATTTATTTTTACACTGTTTTGTGTGACAGACGGAGAACTGTCACGTTTTGAGTACAAATTTACTTTATGTCATCTTTTGATCACACAACTGGAATATCCGGAGAGACCATGTAAATGAACAGAACAATTGCACTAATCACCCATAATACCAACATGCCGATATTAAAACCACAAGTAATGCCAAAATCGAATGCGAATGCAAAATAAAAAACCAATTCCAAAACGAAAATCAACGAAAAATTTTGCAAACTCGTCTAATAACAAAAAAAAAAGAAATGATAAAAAATAAAATCAAATGAATCAAAACGGTAGAAATGTTTTTCAAATACTCACTTTGTTCCAAGCGATATACATCAATCCGCCTGCTAGAAATATAACGGCGAACAAATGTAGATATGTACGGAATATTCCGAGAGTGGCTCTTTTCAGATTATCGTTTTCAAATCCATCGTTTAATCGGATCATCAAAAAAAGCACCAAAGTAAAAGCTTGAGGCGCCAAAACCACCCATTCATACGACGGATTTTTCGTTTACTTTGGCGTTCCGCTTGATGCTAAATATGACGATTTTATTACATTTACATAAATCTGTATAGATTTCATTGAATATTTACCTCACTGTTGTAAAACTGACTGTTCTGCATTTGCATACAATCAGGAACATGGCTTTTATCAGCTTGACGATTTCTATTTAATAAGTGCACAAATTTTGTTCAGTATATTTAAAAAATTACAGCCGAATTTTATTCACTCACCGATGCATGGTAGCAAACCAGAATCAGCGATAAACTCAGATTTATTAGCAGGTGATTTTCGATGTGAACACAATGAGAAACTGATTATTATGTGCCAAAAATGGCATGGATCAACACAGATAAGAATACATAGGGGAAAAATAACGGTTAAACATATTCATGCATCTTTTAAAAGTACTCGTACTTGAAGATTCCAAGTAAACGAAAAATACTTATTACATACTTAGAATGATAATTTCAAGCTGCGGAAATAGCACGAAAATTCAAAAGATTTTTTCCATGTATACCGTTAGGAGCGAGAGAACTATCCAAAGAAATAATCATCATGGTCAGATGACAACGCCATCTGATGTATCGAGCAACAACAATAACTGGTGTTTTTTGAAGCATTATTGTGATTTTTTTTGCATTGGATAAACAAAATTGTCAATTATGCACAAACACTTTGTATGTATTTGAATCAAATGTACTACAAATCTATTTCAGGTCTAAATGTGTAAAAACTTTTGCATAAAATACACACGCATTGCGCATTCGGTTATCAGTAACATAAAGTTCGGATTGATCATAAAAAAATTCCATTCTCTCTTTTATTGTTTTACTCCGAGCTGTGAATGAATAAAAGCAATCGAATTAATATATTATTTCGAAAAACTTTAAGTTTTCGTTTTTTACCAATTGAGAAAAGCCACACAGTCCCAGTAAACACTGAATAAATTGGATTATACGGAGTCCCTTTATATTGGCCATCTCTTCCTTCAAAATGTTCTTTGACTGAGATGAGGAAAATTCTTAGCAATAGCACCATTACAGAAGATGAATAACTGAAAAACCATATCTTGGACATTTCCGGACGGGTAAAGAACTTCTTTATTCCGTTTTCTATGCAAGCTTCTTGTCCCCATTCGAAATACGACATTTCGCAGAAAACTGTAAATATGGCGAATTATAGTCGATTCGTCATTGAAATAATAGATAAAATAACATACCCTGAAAACAAAACAGGAGTTGAAACATACAAATAGTTTCTGGGTACGATTTGATCATTGCGAGCAGATGGGACGAGAGAAACACAATCGCACAGAAAAACAGATGGAAGGACCTTAGTTTGCACGAAAAACTTGGATGTTGCTCTCTAGTCTGAAAGAAATAAAATTCCATGAATAGCAATTTTCGATCTAATGAATTTACATATGACTCACATCACGATATGCACAATAAGTCATCATAAGATGATTCAAACTGTTCATGGTCATATATGCGATGATAGAGAGCAAACACAAAATAGTTTGCATCAAATCGAAAATATCTCTTTCTTCATCCAATTCGAAAGGTTTTGTCATCAAAAATTTTAAAATCGATAGGTATGCACACGATTCGCAGAGTAAGAAGTTCCAGAAATGCCAGTACCAGAATAGATTGGCATCAAAAGTTCGAAAATAATGAACACATGCTATAAGAAATATAAATCGTTGATAAATTTTTTGTCTAGAGAGAGAGAACTAAATTGCTGTTGATACGAAAAATACATTACTTGTTACAATATTCAATAAAATATAAGAGTACGTAACTCCAGGTGGTACATAAGGTAAAATCCGTGGCGAAAGTTCACCATTCGTATACTCATGCTGGAAGATAAATTACTCACGATATTATAAGTTACCATTTACAAGTTACGATAATAGTTTACCCAGAGTTCATAATAGGAATAAGCGCAAAGTATTGGTGTAGACAAGAAAAGAAAGAGTTTAACTGACTCAACGAATAAATAAAAATAAAAACTTAAAAAAGAGAAAAATTCACTAAAAATTCTCGAGATTCTTACAATCGTCATGACGTTTACGGTCAAAATCCAAATAAATAATGCTACCGAATCAATAAACAAATGTAAATCACCGGCGTCGCGCATGTGCGGTACAGACAGAGGGGTGAAGTGTTTGAAAATACAATCTATTCCCTCTTGCAATGTGCATGTTTCGATTCGGTGTAAACAAACGGGTCATGCAGTATGAAATCCACATCTAAATGTTTTCTATTTTTGATTTTCTTTGCCCGTCTGTATCCAATTGACAGCCCTACCACAACCTAAACGCATATGTTCAATTGATTCATTTATTTTATAACATTTTAATTCATTCTCCTACGTTGCGAGTTCAAGGAAATTTGACTTTCTTTTTTCAATAAATACCAAAACGAACAGAAAACCCCATTTTTCACATTTAATAAATTTTTCTTTTTATTGAAGCAAAATGCACGACTTACTTATTTGTAATAGAACATCATTTTCTTTAAAACGTCTTGAATTTCACATTAGTTTTTTATTTTATTTTACAATATTTTCGGTTAAATTTCTCATGTTTTTTTCCACGGCAAGAAATAAAAATGTTTCTTAGTTATGTGACAATTGTAGCATTTTATTATAACAACAATTTGGCGGAATACAAATAAAGTACGGTATAACTGGGTGTATATTGCGAACAGAAAATACTTTTTCTTCTTCTTTCAAATAACAAATTGTGAGAATGGCGTTCGCTACCTATTGCTTGTTCGTGTTAGTGTTTGAAAATAGAAGAACGGGTGTTTTTTTTTCAGCTACTGGGGTGGTGTTGATGTTGCTTTTTAGAAGGCGAGACCAGCATCGCGATATGTGGTGAAGATTTTTTCGATTGAGTTGATGTAGGCAGCGGTTCGCAGATCCAATCCCAAATTGTATTTCATGGCGGTTTTCATAATGGCACGAGCTGAACGTTCCATTGTATAGTCCAAGCCAGAATGTACGATATCTTTTTCGGATGCACCGGAGATGCGTTTTTGGAAGGCTTCGGACGGCGTCACTGGAATCTTACCGCCAACACGGCCAAAGCGGCGTTCCAACGATTCTTGCACCGATTCTGAAATACGGAATAAAACATATTTTAAATGAAATGGCATGATGGGCTTTGTGTGAATCAACATTTGTCACATAAAAGAATACTAAACGCCAAACAGAAATAGAAAACTAAATCTATTGTTTTCGATATGAAATAAATCACTCTCGTTGTTATCTTCACAATTTAATTTGTACAACGTGTTTTGGAAAAAAAATGGGTGTAATTTGCATCGATTGAATTTCAATGGCTTATATGCTCCGCTATTGTTTCTAGGTGTTGATAGAAACAAGTTTGGTTTATCTCAATTTTACTAAATTTTGATTGTTTTTGTCACATTCACATCTGACTATTGTTTTTTTTTCTTTTGTCGACGACAGATAAACCAACAAACAAGCACACTTTATGAATATAGTTTTATCAACGACTCTTACTCGCTTCAATATAGGCAGAGAGGCGTAGAGTGCAAAAAAAAACAACGAGAAGGTAGGAAAAAAAGAGGCCAAATCTCAAGTAGCTCACAAGATATTCAACAAAGTGCTATTAATCACAATGACGTAATGTAAACGATAAAAAAAATCAATAACGATTAAAAGGAAATCAATCAGCTGATGCTATTTTTTTCTCAAGCAAAGAGCTCACTAGCTATGGCACATTTTAGTAAACGAATAAGGGTGGCTAATAAAATGTGGTGGATACAAATTAATTGCAAAAAAAAGAAAAAAATTGAGGGAATAATAATAACTGGAGGAATGTGAGTAATTTAAGAGGATCATTCAACATTAAAACTCAATTGGACTAACCATCGTTCAAAATTGCGTTTTCTATTGACTTCTGAACCGATGCTGTTTATATGAAAGAAAATTGGAAATTCGTTTCATTAGCTTAAATGAGTGGAAAGTTGTTGTTGTTTTTTTGTTTTTGTTGACTGGTACTTATAACAAATCTCCAAAGAATATGAAATTATAATGTGTGTATGATATAGCCAAAAAGGGTTCGCTATCAACCTAAATTTGTATTTTGACTTTTTTTTTTTTTTCAAAATTCAAAAGAGATGAATGAAGAAGAGACATTTGTTCCAAATTTCAAATGGATGTAACACTCACCCAACAGATGATAGTTTGATTCACGTTCATACTTGAAGGTTAAACGACCATATGAAACATGGTTCAAATTCTTAAGCCATTCAAAGAATGAAACAGTCACACCACCAGCATTAATGTACAAATCAGGAATAACCAAGATGTTGCGTTCAATGAGAATTTTGTCAGCGGCCGGTGTTGTTGGACCTAATGAAGAGAGAAAAAGGTTAAATCACATATTTTCTTTCTTTCAAGCGCGTAAAATTCATATATTCAAATGTGATCACGAACCGTTGGCAGCTTCAGCAATAATCTGTAACGATAAATAAATGAAAATTAGAATATAAATTAAACCGGTTTGAAAACGAGATTGAAAAGAAAATATATATGTTAAATGCTATCGGACCTTGGCTTGAATACGGCCAGCGTTTTCGCTTGTGATAACTTTTTCAATGGCAGCCGGTACGAAAATGTCGCATGGTTCGAACATAAGATTCTCTCCTGTATATGGCTTAGCACCTGGGAATCCGACAATCGTTTTGTGCTCGGTTAAGTAATCTTCCAATTGCTAAAATAAAACAAAAAAACACCATTGAATTCGTTAGAAGAGGGCTTGACCTAAATATGTTCATGTCTTAAGACATATGCATTCTCTTACTTTTGGGTCAATACCGTCTGGATTAACGATGGATCCATCGTGTTCGATGATTCCGACACAAGTGGCTCCAGCACGTGTTAAGTACCGGCAAGTGTGCAAGCCGACATTACCGAAACCTTGCACGATAAACTGCAGTTTGAGAGAAAAAAGACAGGAAAATCCGAGTTTTAAAAAAAAGGATGTTAATCAATGGATTAAGGTGTTTAATCACCGTTTTGCCTCCCCATCCAGGTGTTGTACCGATGGCACTCATGTAATTTGCTTCATTGATGAAGTTTTCCAAACCGTGGAATACACCACGACCGGTGGCCGAAACACGACCGTGAATACCACCCTGGTTGATTGGTTTACCGGTAACGCAAGCATGTGCATTGATATCTTGATAACCAACGGTTTTTGAGTATGTATCAGCGATCCATGCCATTTCACGTTCACCAGTGCCCATATCTGGAGCCGGCACATCAATGCCTAAATACGAAAAAAGAGATTAAATGAGTTATTATTATTATGATTCTTTTCTTGTTCCACTTATTGACAATCTTGATTACGTCTTCAAATTTATACGCCTTGCTGACGTATTATTCGAAAAGCGCCAAAAGAAACGATTGAAAGATATGTTTTATTGTTTACCTGGTCCAATAAATCCTTTTTTCGCCAATTCAAGGGCGAAACGACGTGTGATTTTTTCCAATTCATGAACTGAATATTCCTTTGGGTTGAGTTTCAAACCGGCTTTGGCGCCACCGAATGGTACATCAACACATGCACACTTGAATGTCATCAAAGCTGATAAAGCTTTCACTTCATCACGTGACACGTCAAGCGAATACCGAATACCTGATAGCGGAAATAAAAAACGTAAAAACAAGAACAATTTGAATATATTTGCTGGAGATCATCTGTTCGAGAGGCGAAGAAAAATATCAGACATTCAAAAACGCATTATCACTTTCGAGGGGCAGCTCAGCATAAAACGTATTACAGAAGAAAAAAACACGTATTCTCACCAATTGATAATTGGTTTTTAATTAATCGCAGACTATATTCAACTAAAAACTTAGTTGAACAACCGAAAAATTGTCGCATACATGATAAGCAGCATCAAATAAACAGTTATAATAATTAAAGAATAATGATTCGCCACAATTGCGCGACAAAGAACCGAGAGAGAGAGAGAGAGAGAGAGAGAGAGAGAGAGAGAGAGAGAAAAGTTGTGTATGAATTTTATGTAGGAACGAAAATACCATTCGATTGTTTTCATGTGTTTTCATATTTACAATGGGATATTGAAATGAAAATGGTCTGTTCGAGTCGATGTTTTGTTTATTTTCAACGCACAATATGACTTGGTCGTGTAAATATTGTTTTCAACAAACGAACAATTCTATTTTTACATCCATGATTTTTTAGCACGTCTGACTGATGACCCATTCGATATTTTGTGGTATTCAGTCAGGTGCCTGTTTACACAATTTTGAAATCGTCCATATCGTAAATTTTCATTGTTCATCTTGATGTTCAAACAGGTGATTTGCTAATAATCGATATTTTGATCCTTGTACACTGAATGTGTGTATGTTTGGCGAAACAGATGTGAATTTTGTATGCCAAGCACTCCATTCAACAATGACCGTTAATAGCTTTGGCTTATGCGAATTGAATTAGCTGTTAATCATATGTCTAAATCAGCGAATCGACCGATCAATTTGCACTTTTTTTCGATTCTCCAACGTTATCTTGAAGGAAAAAAATCCGCAGGCAAACCATTATCATGCTCCGAATCGATAAACTAAAATAGAAGTGTTAATATGATTAAATTCATTGGGAAAAATGATTCATGTTTCACAAGCGTGATTTATAACAATTGGATTGCCGTTGCGATTTAAAAATAACGATGTATCTAAAATATACGACAACGACGATGATAACAACGACGACGACGACGAAAAAAACAACGCGCAAAGCAAACACCCTAATAGCGGGCTTGGCACAATGCGTATCGTGTGTGTTACGTAGATGAAATCATCGTATGAGCGCTCCACAGAATCAATTAACCAAGCAATAGTAAAATTCGTCGTTTCAAGTGTTTCTGCGCTGTGTGCTGTTGTTGTTATGCAAAAAAAACAAGTCCAATCGAAAAATGCCCGAAGTTTTATCAGCATTTAATTCGAAACACTGATATTGCCTTCCCTTTCCGCGAGTGAAAAGCAAGCAAGAAAGAAGAAAATAATGTTATATTTTGAAAATATTCGAATAATGTTGTGGGCCGTATCACATGCTATATTGTATTTTATCGTGCCAATGTGTTTAACGCGCAAAAACAGAAAACACACACATCCACACGATGTCTGTTTTCATACAAACTAAATCTAAAATCGCTTTGGGTAGAACTACAAGTAGTGTTGCTTCGATACTTTGTTCGCTTCAATTTAATTTTTAGCAGCAATAATAATTTGACAATTTCATTTACATTTATCAATTCCAACTAGAATGTCAGCATTTAGGATATGGAGAAGATTGAGCGAGTGTGTGTGAGGGAGAGATTGAAAGATGTGTGGAAAAAAAGTGAAACGTCAATTAAAATTTTTTCTTTCCGTTTCACACATGGCAAATATCTATGTATATTCCAAATGCCGCTAAAGCGATTACCATAAAATTATACAGAAATTGACGGTTTGTTTTATACACAATATTGTGCTTGAATACGATTTTTTTCTCATCTCTATATGAAGAGAGTGCACATTGATGGGGAATATGGGGGCACCAATTAATTACTTGACACTATCGAGTATGTGTAATCTTATGTTATAAACGAGAGAATTTAATTCGAACGATCAAATCGAATAAAAATGCCATTGAAAAAATATGTTCTTTACGATGGCTATTACGTTGCGATTCATAAAACTCTTGAATATAGCACATATATGCCCTGTATGAATACCGGTTTAGGCACTTGACGTTTTCAAGAGCTCACCCGCTAAAAAAGAGTGAGAGCGCTCGCGCAATGATTTTTTTTTCTGCTGTTTTGGTACTGAGCTCAGCAATCTTTTATTTACACAAGAATCTAATGCAACGATTGTGTGAGTTGTTTTTCGCGGAACGGAAAACAATGTAAGAAAAATGTATTGAATAAATAATATTCGAAGCGCAGACATGTATGCAATGAAGAGTGAGGAGTTAGAGACACTTGTCGTGCATACGATTTAAGTGGATTAAGGTGAAACGATAGTCACACAGGAACGTTATCGTTTTCTTTTTCGTTTCTCTCTTCTTTGGCTTAATATCGATGCAAAAAAATTTAACCGGTGCAGAAGAACGAGGTTACACTCAACGAATACACTTTACCGTCGATAGAACGAAAGTTCGAGTCGTTCGTTATATAATCATCTTTCCCTTTTTTATTCAGCTATTTTGCATGTAAACGAAATACAAAGTACACATTTACATACCATCGTCCGTACACACTCTATGAATTATTCTTTTTCGTAGTTTCGTTTTTTTTCGAAATCATTCGAATCTATTTTTGTGCTGACAAAATTTCTCTGCTACCGAGAGCACCAACCAAACAAAAAATTGAAATAATAAACATTTCTCCTAATCATATTCTACGATGATGCAGATTTCAAATGGTTTAATCAGTTTTTTTATGCTAAAATGCTATAAATCCTTTTCGATGCGCGCGTCTCGATGACTGCCACATTTGCTAATGTTGGCTCGCAATCACAGCCGAACGACATATGAATTAGGTCAACGAAAAGTTCACACTGTTTTTTTTCCTCGCTGCTCGTCTCATTTCTCCGGGGGAACACACAAGCGCATACGCGCTCAGACTTTGTCGCTGATTATAAGTAATTGGAATATTCAAGTGACACTTAGATAATTGCATGTGAATTCCGTATCAATATAAACAATATTTATTGATTTGAATACTATGAATGCCTGTCTGCCTCGCAAGTGGAAATATTCTTTCAAATCGTGAGCGAGGAAAAACAAAACACTTACCGCCTTTGGTTGGTGTTCTGTGAGTGCAATGTTGTGCTCGATATCCGGTTATCATTTCATAGTCACCCGAATCACGTCGCAATGGGAACGAAATTTCAATGATGTGATCGCATCCTTGCATCAACATCAAAATACCTTTAACCTTCTTCTTACGTTCGTCCAAAGTGGCACCTTTCGTGTCTTCAACCAATTTGTCTTCGGCTATTTGGCAACCACGATGGAAGAAATATTCAACCATATCGAAGAAACGAGGATCTGTCAAACCAAATGCAATTGTATTATTTTCAAAATTATTTTCATTTTTGATTCCTTAAATGGTGCAAATAAAAACACCCAACACATAGATATTATGAAAATGAAATAAAAATAGAGACCTTTGGCATCAGCAACATCTTTTAAGCGATCTGGAATTTGATGATCGGCATAGTTTCTGCTGGACAGGACGGTGGTTGGAACAAATTTTGCCAATTGATTCTTTGAAGCAATGGCCGCACTTCGCGATACAATCGATTTTAAGTGGAACATTTTTTTTTTCTGTAAATCTGCGTATATAAAATAAAATCTCTCTCTTTTCTTTTATCCTAAACTTGTCGGTATTTTATCACTAAAAATTGGTATCGAGTTGAAATTTGTATGCGGTGATTGTTATTGTATCAACTCGTTGACGTGTTCTTGTGAGCAAATCAAACCGAAACGATTTTGATATGGAAAACCGAAAAGTTGAGTGATTTTAATTTTTTTTTTTTCGAAACCAAAGAACGAATTTCGTTTTTCCGAAACAACTATATGCCGTCTACGATTTCTAAGTCTGAACGTGGTTCCGATTTAGAAATGACTGACTAGTGTGCCGCTTCACGACAACACATTTATAATTCGAAACTTTTGACGCAATGTAAAAACGATACATGGACAAAAAGCGAAATACGTGAGCGATGTGTGTAAATGAGACGCCCGAATGAAAGAAGTGCGCACAAAAGAGTGAGAAGAAGTTTAAGGCGAAAACTAACGCACGGCACAGCTATTGTTCAAAAGAATCGAGTTTATTCTACCACATACTAGTAAAATAAATATATTGATGCGGCATCAACAAGCGCAAGCGCACCACTCACGGTTCCTTCAATACGGCTGAAAAAAAAAACGTTCAAGATAAAAAAGGGCAACCGGAATATGTATATCATAGCGCGCCAAAGTATTGAAACAACAACAAAATCCAAAGAATCCACAGCAAATTGTTGGCAATGCGATGCCTATAGTTGTTCATTAAAATGAAGACAAAATGGAATAAAAATCATCACCAAACCAATACCGAACGAATAATTGACCGAACGAGAAATCGTTCACATTGTCTTTGATTCCGATTTGTAAAATTGACCGAAACGCAGATCAAGCAAATATGGCAAACGCAACTGTCAAAATCATATGTTTGAATTCGCCAAATAGTCACACGTATTCATTTGTACCGACACATACACATACAAATGCATAGTGCACACACGCACACACGGCCATACACATGTTTCGCTCTATTGTTTCAACGTAGTATGCACAGCAGCCATATTCGTTTTTTTTCTCTCTTCTAGTGTTTGCTCAGGTGACGCGTATCAATGCAGACACACAGACACAACGGTGTGTGCGTGTGCTTTCCTAAAATTGACTATGAGACATGTGTTCGGTTATTGAGTTTTATGAAACTGTCAATAGCATGCCAGCACATACAATTGCAGAAAAACCGATGTATGCGACTACCCCTCAGCGAATCAGACTGACATTGATTGCACACCGAAACCCAAAGACATATTCGAAATACATGAATTGTTCGATCGCTGAACGCACACTCACATACAATTTTGACAGATAAACGTCTTTTTTGCCTCTTCCGATGCAAAAACTGCTATGCAAACGCTTTTGTCGTCGTTTTTTTGTGGGAAAAGCAAGGACGTCACAGAAGAAGAAAAAAAAACGATAGACTTTTTCAATAGCAAAATTGTTCATTAAAACTTTGCAATAAATATTCAGTGGTCAATTTATCGTTATCATAAAAAGCCAACCACACGCGTTGGTTTCGACGGTTGGTTTCATAAGTGAAAATAACCCAAAAAAAGAGAAGAGTATCGTTTACTAGAAGAAATTTGCAGTTCCATTATTCAACGAGAAAAAAAAAATTCCTCAGTTGTTGGAAGAAAGAGAGAGAGAACGATCGAGGGAGAGAGAGAAATTTTTGTGCTCTTCTTTTTCTCACCATTTTTGTGTTTTTAAATATTTCTTTACGTTTTATAATTTTGGTTGTGTTTGCGTATATTGTGATTTTCACATACATAACGACATTGTCATTAGTATATCAAATTGACAGAAGATACGTTGCCATTGCGGTTATAGCCAACGAAAGTGGCATTCCGACCTGTTCATCGGAATTACAATACTAAATTATCTTTCTCCTGGGGTTTGTGTGATGGTCGAATAAATGACAGAAATTTGCAAAAAAAAAAAAAATTATTGCTTGTGATGATGGTGTGCATAAAGCAGCGCAGTACGGATGGTGCCATCCCAATTCACGTGCACCTGGTGCTTCCCAATCAAAATGACTTCGACGGAAGTCACACTTGTTCGATGTATCAAGAGTTTGTTTGCTTGAACATATTTTTTTTTAAATCAGAATCGTGTAATTTAACGAGCATTTTCTCGAGATTTGATATGAAAACAAAGAAGAAAAAAAACGAACAAGTGTGAAGTCGAGTTGTGTTTTTCATTCATTTGCTAGAAGCTAAATAATTTTTGTATTGAATCGGTTTTCGATTGGTGTATCATCATTGTCTTGCGCAATTTTTATTTAAAATAATCAACACAAATAATTATTTGTTCATTTACAGTGGATAATAGGCAGTGAAACATGACGAACGCTTCATCATTGAATATGTCTGTTGAGGACATGATCAAACACTATCAACGCAGCATAGACAAGTCTGAATCCGACCCAAAAAGGGTAAAATGGTTTATTATTTTTTCGAAGTGAGAAAACAAAAATGCCCATTGAGTCCGATATTTTTGGTTTCTATTTTGAACTAACATGTGTTGTTTTATCTGGAATGATGCACAATTCTATCAAACAATGAAACTAAACAAAAACAAAAACAAAGTACTCGTATTCGATATTCGATATGACTCATAGAATGCATTTGACCTGAACTGGAACTAAATTGGTCTGATTCACGTGTTTCATTTAATCTAGATACTGCATTGCATTGGCAAATTGAATCGGATGAATGTTACAGTACAGCATTTACAGAGTACTGGCATTGGTCGAACGGTAAATGGTTTGCGCAAAGATGATGGTGAAGTTGGATTGGCAGCCAAAGCGCTCATTTCAAAATGGAAACAAATGGTGGCGAGTGAAAATAGCGAGGAGGAAAAGGCTCAAGAAGAATATGGCTATGAAGATGACGAATCAAACAATTTGCAGACAGACTCTATAAGCAATAACGACAGAAAGTCACATAAGACTCATGAACATAAAAGCAGTAGCAGTAATAGTAGTCATCATCATCATCATCATCACCATCATCACCGCGAACAGCAGGAACATCTCTCACCCGACAAATTGATTGAAAACCACACTCATCAACGCAAAGTAAATAGAATGCTTGATTATTTTTTTTTATCAATATTGAAATATTTGTTATTCATCCCAATGAGGGATGGTCTATTTATTCTATGACTTCTTCGAATGCTAATGCCAAATGATATTTCTTTTATTACCGTCGAGCAGTATTCATCAGACGATATTCAAGAGCACTCAGCACATTCAAGACATAAGCTTAAGTCACACTCATACAATGACGGAAGCGGTGGCAGTAGCTCAAAAAAACGCGAACATGAGCAGGAAAGTAGTGGTGCTGTTGCCGATCACGATCGGCATAAAAGTAGTTCGAAGCATAGTAAAGAAGATCGTCATCATCGACCGAGGTACACCATACAAAGCAATTGTATGTTTTTAATTTTAAACCACTAACATACATCCGTTTTTTTGTTGTTGCATGCAGCAAACATGATTCACAGCATGATGGTGATGAAATTAGTGATAAAAAGCATAAAAACTCGAGCAAAGATCATAGCAAGCACAAAGACCATCATAAGCAACTCTCGAGTACAACTGAAAAGACTCATTCGTCGAGCAAACATAAACGATCCCGAGAGCCTGACCCTACGTCCAGTTCATCAAAGAAGCAAAAGTGTGATGAAAATTCATCCAGAAGCGATAAAGAGAAGTCTTCAAAAACGAAATTTAAAGGAATTGAAATCGACCATTCAGAGGGAACTAGTTTTGCCGATGCATTAGGTATGTATGGAATAATTTAGGGCTAATTTGTCACGCACCCTGAAAATCAGTAGGAAAAGTGTAGAATTTGTATGAGTCGATACGCGAGTCTTTCATATTAATTTTCGAAACACCGAACACAATAATTTTGAAATGTCAGTTGCTCGCAGTTGAAGCGTAGGTTTGCCAAACAATTTCGATGCAATTCCGATTTCTATGAGCTTGTGCGTGGGTCTACATAGGAAGGAACTATGTGCATTTTCTCTAGGCTCGCGATGACAAACAAGTCACTCAAAAATGACGCTAATGCCAATTGATTCAATCTATTTACATATCCATAATCTACTTTTAGGAATGTTAGCTGTGCCCATATCGGCGCAATCATCGAAGGCCTCAACATCATCAGCTTCAACAAGTGGAAAAGCATCCAGCAAAACGGTTAGCCCATCGTCCAGCCACAGTAAGAGCAAGGTCAAGGACAAGGAAAAAACGTCGAAATCGAAACCATCAACCAGTTCAACGGCAACACCGTCACTGCTATTGAAGAAACCGAAATTACCTCCGCTTGAAGATCTAGTAAAAGATTTACCGCCCCCAGTTGAGTGCATTATACCAAACGATTATAAACCGTCGCCGGTCAATCACATGGTCATGGATTGTTTATTCAAAGGACCAAAGTCCCAACAGATGGCTATACTCAACGAAACCGATGCCCTATGCGCAAGCACAACATCGAAAAATCAGCGCACCAAAGTGTATTCGGGTGTTAAATCGGGTGTACCGCAACAAGTTCCATCGCTGCACGAATTGTGCTTACGTTTTCTACAGAAAAATATTGACGGATTGGAGTATACGGGCGGTGTTCCATTTGACATATTGAAGCCCGTTCTCGAACGAGCAACACCTGAACAATTGAGCTCATTCGAACATTACAATCCATATCTAATGGATGATTCCGATTGTCTGTGGCAACAGCATTGCCAACGAAAGTTCAAGGCACATAGACGATTAGAGATGGAAACTTGGCGTGAAATGTTCTATCGATGCATGACCGAACAGGATGCGCTACTGGATCGGTTAACGAAAAATATAAAGGAATCACAATCGGTGGCCATTCCAGTACGCCAGACAAAACTGGCTTATGTTGACAGCATGGTGAAACCACCGCGTAGTGTGATTAAGAAGCAAAATCAGTTTGGCACCCATACAAAATTGATAGCAACACCAGCGGCACGAGTTGATGCCCTCAGTTCGGTAGCAACGAATATTACCAAAATTGGAGACACACGACTGAAAACATTGGCATCCATACGGGACACAGCCCAAGCACAACCATCAAATGGAATCATTAGGCCAAAGAAAGCTCCACTCATGGCCAAAACACTTCAACTCATGAAAGGCAGATTCAAGCGATAAACAGCAAAATTTGAAATTTATCAATTTTAATTTATTTGTTTGTGTTATTATTTCTTTTTTTCCCTCCCCCTTCCTTTTGTATGTGAAACCTGTTTCTTACATATACCTTTTTTTCTTAAACTCATTATTAAATTTAAAGAAAAATAAATAAAATACGGAACAATAAATTGATTTAGAAAGAAATTTTGGCGTTCTTTCTTGCGTTATCAGTTCAAGTTTCCCATTTAAAAAGAAAATCCACATCAAAATTGTGCTCAAAATGTTCTACATATGACTCACACCAACTTCACATTGAATTTGGGTTCATTATTGGATTGAGTCAGAAATCCGCACCAAAAACTCCATACAAAACAAGCACATTTTTTATATGACTGACAATTAAGATATTTGATGTATTGCTATGGTTTTGCCGTTGTAATGGTCATGCATTACCTATTGTCATGATAATTATCGATAAAGAGAATATTTTGTTATCTTCATTTGAAGCGAGCAATCTAAGACTAAGACACATCATGGTCGCAAAAAAAATCTTGAATGGAAATACGTCAATTTTCGTATTTGTCAATCACAATGAAAATGTGCTCATTTTGTATGGTGTTTTTGGTATGGAACGCTGATTCAAACCAAAAGTGAACACAAATTCAATGTGAAGTTGGTGTGAGCCATACTAAATTTTTTCCTGGTGGCCAATGCAATTTTTCATATAATCTTGAGTCGATTTTTCGCGTTATTTCAGTAGAAATTGAATTCAGTAGTAATCAATCAATCAAGTCTTTTGATAGGTGTCATATAATGTGTACTTTTTCACCTCTTTTTTCATTCATAAACTCACCCAGAGTGTGCCTTTCATCCACATCGTATTAAAAGTATTGGATTTTCTTTTTCAGCATTCCGAACTAATTTTAAAAGCTACAAAACATGGTAAAATATATGCAATAAACAGAAGTAAGCGATTTGTTTTCTAATTTGAATTTATTGATTCGTTTGTGTTTGTTGAAATGAATTTCGATGTTTGAACAAAATGTTGATGGTACACGTTTGCGAGTTTCAAGAACTTCCGATGCACGAAATCGTATCGTCAAAGTTAAAAAATACTTTGAGCGCTCGCTTGCAACCCGTATCATTTGAGATCAATAATTTATTACTATTACTATTTGATGACGTTGATGTTGATGTGCTAGCCGTTGGGGTTTGTGAACTTGAATTGGAACTAGAAATAGAATTTAGAGTAAATGGCGATAAGTGGATCATCCATAATAGCCATTTGTATGGCGCAAAAACAAAAAATGCAATTAGATAAATGGGTGTGCGTGCTTACGAGCTTTGTGCAATTTTGTTGACTGAGTAAACGCGTACGGAGCCATCGGCACAGCAGGATGCCAATTTTGAGCTGCTTGAATTCCATACAATATTATTTACATCGGCCGAATGATCCTTGAGTTCGTTAAGTTGTGAACCGGCGGCCAAATCGAATATACGAATTTTCGATTCTTCGCCACCAGCTGCCAAATATCGGCCATCTGGACTAAAGCTAACACAGTGCACTGGTAAGTGGCAATCGATGAAAACCCGTAACAGTTTCCCACTCGTTACATCCCACAAACGAACCGTTAAATCCGTCGAACCAGTCGCAATATAATTCCCGTTCGGATGAAATGCGATCGCGTCCACATCCTGTGTATGTCCTACATATGTTTGAAGCGGATGCTCTCGATCCGTACTCCATAACCTGGCTGTTAAATCTCTTGATCCGGTGGCTAAATACAGTCCCGTTGAACTCTCGGCTAAACACCAAATTGGGTAATTGTGACCACTACATTCAAACGGTACAAATGTGACATGTTAGTGAAATGAACCGAAAGTAAAGCGTTTGATTTTGCATCGAATATATAAATACGCTAAATATGAATTACCGATAGACGGCGCCGCAACGATAGTCGACCGCTTTCCACGCTCGCATCGTATTGTCTTTCGATACGCTAAAAATGAGTGGATTGTATCTCGAAAACAGAATATCCGTCACACCCTTGTTATGACCACGCAATGCAACAACACCACCATCCGCACTACAGACCAAGTAGAAACAAAGTTTACAATGAGTTCGCCATTCTATAAAGTTTGCTAATAAATTCAATCGATTCTTCATTTGATCACAATTGATACTCACAAAATGTTATCCTCATGTCGTTGCTGCATGAATTCCTGCCTTTGTTTCCTTTTGCTTTTCCGACGCGATCCAGTGGCCCCCATACCATCCATGCATGGTGACTTCGTTCTTTGTCGAGCAAACAAACCCATGACCGGTGTTCGTTTTCTTCGTTGTACGTTCGATGTATCGTCGTCACTGTCAATATCCGATGATGATGACGATGATGTTTCACAATTCTCGAGGCACCAGTCGCACAATCGGTTCGAGAATGGACTGAATGGTTTTCTACCGCGCATTTTACTTTGATTTAATTGCCACAATTTGATTGTAGATTCATCGAAACCGCACACCAAATGGCATTCATCTTTGTCCATATCGCAACAACTGAGCTGATGATCGGCATTGAGCACATTGAACACTCGCATCGGCAGCTCCAGCTTGCGCGATCGAATCACCGACGCTCGGATATTTTGTAAATATTTATTTTGTACTACGCTAAAGCTTTTCCGATCGGGCGCAACCGATGGAAGGCAATCGGCTAACGATGATGTTGGAAACGAATCGGCTCGATTCGCTGTGCTCGTATCACCGCTTAAACTTGATATCGATTTATTCATTCCATTCACCGTCCTAATTTCTGATTCAACTTTAGCAATCAGATTCCTAATTTCGCTATGCGAATTATTTAATCGACAATTTGTGTCACGGAAATCGAACTCTTCGCCGTCGCTATGCGCATGTAGATCGCTTCCATTATTCTCAATACCATTGTTTGATACATCATTTGTGTCAATGTCATTAATATCATCCATATCTTCATCGCTGTCGTGCTCCAATTCATTGAGATACTCGCGAATTTCCAGCGAAAACCAGTTTTGCAGAATGTGCAAAATGATAACGTGGCCACTTTTTGCTAAAAAATGTTTCATGGCGTACAACGCCTGGAGGGATAGAACCATTTCATATTTGGCTGAGCGAAAATTTCGCGCAATGTCAATCGAACTGATTTCATCGATACGAAGGCACAGTGACAATGAGCTGACTAACTCCTTAAAATAGTCGCTAATATCATTGGAATTCAGTTCAATATCACTTTTACGAGCGGTCGCCGATGATTTTGTTCGCATCGTATCGTTGGCATCTTCGCTGGCGAATATAATCTGTGTGGTTGATGACGTTGGTGGAGGACTAGTGATATCTTTGTGTTGTGAGTCTGGTTGCTGTTGTTGCTGCTGCTGTTGTTGTTGTTCGGTTTGGGTTTGGTTTGCATGCGGTTGACCATTCACTTCACTCACAACCGGACTGTATAAATTATCTACTGGACCAATGAGATGTGCATATTTCCGTAGAAATTCAGCAGCCGGTCGTGAGTCTCGGCCCTTAATCATTTCTATATAAATATGGCACAGCAACGGCCATAATAACGTTTGCAATTCAGCTTTCACCGCAGGTACTGTTTGTGATTGAATAAATTTATGGAATCTGGAAACGTACATCAAGTTAGAAATGAGTTAGTGGTGCCGGTTAGATTTTGGCGGCGATTTTGAGAGTAGTATAGATTTCTTTTTTCTCTCTCTCTCTTTTGCGCGCAAGACAATTAGCATTGAAATTCAAAAACCGAATACAAATAGATGAGGCTTACTTGGAAAACTGAAGCTCAACCGTTGATTGATTATTGCTTAGGCATAACACATTCGAATACAAAATCGAATTCACTTTAGCAACATCATCGTCCATCATCATCATAACATCGTATTGATCCATGGTTTGTGTCAGAGCTAAGTCCGATTTCCGAAATTTTTCATTCATCTGCGCACCGGCGAGGCGAAACCAAACAAACAAACAAAAAAGAAGATAACAAATTTTGTGTTAACAAACGCAACCCGTGCAATGTTTTATGTTTGTCGTTCAGAGAGAATAGAGAGCTGAATGCGTTGAGGTTAGGTCGTGCGTCGAAACATAAACTGACCATTGAATGTGGCCAAATATGCGTTAAATCGATCGTATTTACGCTTACCGAATAGTTTTTCTGCTTTAAATACGTTCCTAATGTCGATCTTATAATATCGTTTTTGGATTTTCGGCTTTTGCTTGCACTATTGTTTGTCGTTCGTTTTGATGTCTCAGCCATTCTTCTATCATTTCCACCGTAAAATACAAAAAGTTTTCCAACGAAAATCACTTGAAATGCTTTCTAACCCCTATCTACAATATAAATTAATTGTTTTTTGTGTAATTTTTGATACGAAATTCTACAGCCGTTTCCACTTTTGCGAATGCATCATTTTTACGATTCCAAAAAGTCTTTCACACACAGTATATATATTTTATACCGCTGTGTTTGCAGGCAGAATACAATTTTGACAGTTAAACCAAACATTGACATCGCAACGATACTGCAGATTTTCGTTTTGCTGTCATTGACCACACTGACTTTAAGCATTCGGCTGGATTTGTCGTCGTTCGTTGTTGTTGTTATTTGTGTGCGTGTGTGTTTATTTGAAAATATCGGTGCTGCAACACACTCTACTTCTATCAACAAGTCAAAACACTTGGCAAGTGCATTTCAGATTCCTTCACAGGGACAACCATTTGGCTCACACATTTAATCCGGGCAGTCGGATCGAATCCGTGTTGTGAACGGTTTTATCACATTTCATTTCGTTGTATTTTATTTAGTTTTAAATAAAAGAAAAATCAAATTGACACTTGATCGAAATAATGTATCTACGTTTAAGAAATTAGCCAAAGCAGATCCACACAAACTAGTTCAGTGCTTATCGAAGCGGATAAGGATTGGTTGTGATTCATGTCAACATAGAAACGATCTACATCCATAACGTCAAATTCAAATTGTTTATTCCATTTTAAATATTGGATTTTCGCATCAAAGCTTACCCAAATCCATACAATGAAGCAAAAGTCATTAAAAGTGTACTTAGATGAGGTGTGCGACATGCTAGACACATACGGCGGCCGAGATAAGGTATTTCATTACTGAATTGCATTCTGCATTTGATAACGCTATTTTTTGCATGTTGTGCATATAATTTGATACATTGTAGAAGCGTGTGTCTGTCTTTCATAATTTTTTGTCGATTAATTTATGTAAACACACACGGTTTGGTTGTACACTTCCGCATACTTTCACTTTTGCCAAACCAGTATTTTACGTTTGAAATTCAAACCGGTCATTAAATTATCCAATTTAAAGCATATTTTAACGAATATGTTAACTTGTTATATTTTTCTGAATTCCATTCAAGGTTATGAAAATTTTATGCTACTCAGCAAAATTGGCGTCCGGCCTGAATTCGGACAAGAATCCAGAATTGTCGAAACGTTTAGCAATAATTAGCAAGAAAATATCGGGCGCTCGAGCCACATTGCGTCTCATCGATGACATTCCAATGTTACAGCATACTCTTGAGTATGGGCTTGGTTCAAAGGTAAGAATCATTCAAAATTAATTGTATGACTTGCAATTGCTATCGATTATACTACTATTAATTGTCGATAAACAACCATATATAAATAATTGTGAGTAATGTTCTTGGAATAGGAATCGGATACGGCGTTATCAATTATTGGGCTTATTACAAATGCAGTCGATCACATTTACTATCCAGTTGAAAAAATATGTTGGCTGGCTGAGCATAAATGTCTCTCGTTAGAAGATCCAGACCGATGGGATACCATTAGCTCGATATTTTGGGTTTCATCAATTTATTTAAATTTAATGAGGTATGTCTGCTTTAATATATTCGTTCACAGCCCATTCATGAAAAAACAATTGGATTTTTTTTTATCACTTTCTATTTTAGGACATGTCGATCAGTTATATTAATGGAACAACACAAGCAATGTTTGAATACGCACGACGCTTCAACTCAGTACGAATTTATTTGTTTTTATTTCAATTTTTTGCGATTCCAAAATTTAACCATTTCTGTATTATTTTCCCTAGGAATGCATTGGCAGCATTGTTGGCAAGACAACGAATGGAATTTATTTCCGTAGTTCGACTGTCGCTTGATTTGACACATGCCGTTAGCACATTGCCCGCAGGATGGTTCTGGGGTGGTAAATTGAAAACGTGGCATGTCGGTGCATTAGGTACCTTATCCGCTGTGATAGGTATTTACCAATATTTTGCCAAGAAAAAACTGAAAAGTAGCTGAAATGTATGCACTCGTTCGCTGGCGAACAAAACTTAAACATTTAACGAAAAATTATTGTATTTGTATGCATGCACCTTGGGCAAATTTTTATTGTTTTTCAAATGGTATTAATATTGTGAGAGTTTTTTACAACCAAAATACTCGAAGCGGTTGATATTTTGACGAATAAATATTATTTTCGATATTTATTAAATGATTTTATAAATGATGACATTTTATTTTAAATCGATGTCACGTCCAGTAAAAAAAATTAACTTTGTTGTGGAAAATTTAATTTTTCATTTTAAAGCCGAAAGTTTTGGCCCGAAACAAAATAGCCATTACCGTCCAATAATTAAATCAATCATCTGTTTACAAAAAAAGAGCAAGGACTTTCTACGGATAAATTATTTTGTTTTTTTTTTCTTTCTTTTTTTTCACGTTTTACAGATTAGATTATATAACGACTTATGTATGATAGTGCGTCAAATGACAATCTTGGAGAAAAATAAAGAAGGACGTGACACATAACTGAACGCTGTAGACTCTACGTATTGAAATCGTACCATCTACTCAGTCACAGTCTTCTTGGATATTTATATACATATTGTTGCAAGGCCTCTTTTTTTTTTCGAAATGGACAAATCTATTGCATCTGGAATGACAATGGCGAAAAAATAAATTTAATTACAGGATCTAATGACTGTTCTACAGCTCGGTGTGTGTATTTTGAACATGGCCCCAAAACCCGTTTGTTACTTCATCGCCCACCTTTCCATTTGGCAGTAACTCTTGAATGAACCAAAATCGTGTCTTCGTATTCTGTCCATAAAAGTATTGCTTGCCGCCAGAAGAAAATGGAAATTGAATTCGGTATACATTGTCCCAGTGACCGTTGGCTGTTTCTTTGCCCATTTTCCCATTGGACAGTATTTCCTGGATGAACCAATACCTGCTCTCTGTATTTTGCGCATAAAAATATTGTTTGCCGCCAACAGAAAATGGGAATTGAACTAGGTATACATTATTCCAATGGCCATTATCTGTTTCGTCGCCAATCTGTCCGTTGGGAAATAATTCCCGGATAAACCAATCCATTGTCTTTGTATTTTGGGCATAGAAATACTGATTGCCGCCAATCGAAAATGGAAATTGAACTCCGTATGTGTTGTCCATAGCTGCTTCTTTGCTTGAATCATGCATAATTTGTTTAGAGCTGTCCATCTTTTGCCTTGACGCCGGTTGATCAACCACTACATAACAGTCTGTTTCCGAATCGTAGCGCCAATTACTTTCGTTATATTCGTACGGACGTTCTCGTGGATTCTTTCGTAACATATTGAACAACAAATCAATCGCCGAACCAAGATTATTACTCTCCATCGCCTTGTATATTGCCCGTAAATTTTCAAAATGAACATGTCCCACGATGTGTTGAAGTGTTTCGTCCAATTCGACAACCGGGCCACCACATCTTTTCTCTGGTCCTTTGACCAAATTGAACGGCATCTCAATGAACATTGCACGAACAAATCGGCCATAATGATCAAGTGCACGCGTTATCAACTGTCGCGATTCTCTGTGCATTTGATTCCATTGATCCGAATCACAAACGTTGAATCGAACATGGTCCAAATCTAGGATAAACCGTTCTAAATCATTCGATACACTTTGCATATACTTGCCACGAGCAAAGTGTGATAATTCCAGGACTCTTATAAATGGAACACGATGTTTGTTACTATGCAAAGCACTGTTGAAGAATCGTCGAAGTGTTTTTGCCGGTATGACGTGATAGTTGTGCGGATTTATTTCATGATTGTTGAATGTAATAGGCACAGTTAGAAAATCGATGTTTCGATATAAATTCGGATCTGATATTCCCGGCACAAACGCCACACAATCTCTAGATGTGTCGTATTTTTTACCGTGAATCGCCGCCACAAAGAAATAACACAGAAAAATCGCGATTTTCCAAATCATTTCGCTATTGTTTCTATTCTAGAACTTAGTAGGATTCTATTGCGTTTTTATCGTTGATTTTACGTGTCAAATGTAAGACTGATTCTATGAAAATATTTACAAAGCCTTCTTAAATCACAGGCACAGTTTACTACTATCTTGACGGTAAATTTATCAATTTTTTCGGCGGAATTGGTAACTGCTTTGGGAATATCTGTAGTGGAATGGTCCGATACACATTTCTTATCAGTCGAATGCCGATAACTATGAATGACGTCACAATTCCCTCGTTTGGTACTGTTTTTGTTCTTGATATAGCTTACACTTATAATAAGCAATAGGAGAACTAAGGAATTTATATTCTAATTGTTGACAACGAAATACAAAGTGAATAAATTTCTTTCGAAAAATCACACACAAATTCGATTTCACAGCAAACGGAATACTGAACTGTTACATGGAATTCAAAGAGCAACAAAGCATATTCTCTCTGTTCGGCTTTGGCATCTCTGCCTTTGCTGCTCAATTTTTTCTTAAGTAAAATGCATTTTTCTTCGTTTTCTTGTCGGCATCGATTGCAATGCAATTTATTCAAGCTTTATCCTGTAAATATTGGCCGAACAATTCAAACAGTTTCTTATGCTATTGAATTTGTGAGTCACTTTGTGCATGGTCGTTTGTTGACAAATGGAAAATGACGTTTCGTTCTATTAAATCCATGCTGCGATGTCACATATTCGTGGGTGAGTTCGAGAAAAGAGTATGTTCAACTGGCGCGGTGAAAATTGGTGCTTCAATACTCAATTTCAATAAACCGCTTCTTTTTTTCACTGGTATGCAATTGCTGAAAGTTAGAACTATTAATTACTTTGCAATTTTATGGTGAAAAAAGTTGAAAAGAATGGATAGATTAATTTTGAAGATAGCAGGCGTTTTTAACCAAGCATTTCTTCTGAAGAAACGCCCAAATAAAAACACAGACACATTTAAATACATAGATGTTTATTTATTGAACTTGTGTGATAATATACGTGATAAAAAGTCAATTTTTTGTTTGTCATTCCAATCACAAGAAAAGAGAAACAATTCTAGCTCGAATAAATAAATCAAATGTAAATGATTCTATTTTTGGATTTTTGGCAGAAAATTTTAATTCCGAATCACTAATACAAATAAATGTTTCAAAAATTTGTTCATTTCCGTTCAAACTTTCTGAAATGAAAAAAATGAGCGGAAATAATAATAATAATATTAATAAACTCGTCGCATATGTTTCTGCTGACGGAGACAAATTTCGCGTATTAAAAATAATTGTAAATATTTTAAATGCTAATTTAGCTGCTTAATCGAATATTGTCATGATATTATGAATTCGTTAACTACATTCAACGAACAAAATCCAATTCCATTTAAATACATTAAACTAAAAAGCTATCCTTCTTAATGAACCATTTTTTTCTTTCTTTTCAATTTAAACATAGCGGCAAAATAACCAAACCCTCCCCGAATACTGCTTGTAAAACGGCAAAGTTTTTTTTTTCAAGAATACACAGATTGTTCCATGGTGCTAACGAAAACGAAAAAATCTCATTTAAATTAACTTTAAAACACAAATAATTTAAAACGAAAATGAAAACACTTCTGTAAAATAACGAAGGTTGTGCTTCGTTTGGGGTCCACAAATTATTTTTCTACATTACGTATGCTCAAAAACAAAAACGTTTCTTCAAATTTCGAAATACAATTCTCCACAATTCTTGTTGCATTGAGTATTTGGTAGGCGGCCAAAAATGAAACCAGGTGGTTAGTTCAGTTGTTGTTCAAAGAAAACAATTTCTTCTATGAATTGCATAAAAATTGGGATAAAAAATAGAGCTAATAAAGCTTACAAATGCTTCATTCATAATTTATATTCCGTCCCATTTTCATCGATAGACTTTTTTCATCTCTCACTAAACTACTTCAATAGGCATTATGATTTTTTTGTTTGTTGTTGTTGTTGTTGTTCTTATTGTTTCATATAAAAGGTTCTCTTATAAAATGAGAATTTCAATTATTTTTTGTTCATTTGGATTATATCAGAGTTTATTTCATTAAATTGCTTTCAATTTTTGCATGTAGTTGTTTATTTTTTGGTTTTCAACTGGACCGAGTTTAAAGAGGTTTGTCAGTGTTTGGAAAATGTGTGTGTGTGTGTGGTTGGTGTTTGATTTTTTTTTTGATTTAGGTGCGGACAGATTGAAGAGGAGCCACCTCGCTCTCAATTATATACACTTATGAGAGCAGTACACTTGATTGAAATTAAGTGAATAATGCTGTGTGAATGATCCCTAAATTACGTTTTTTTTTCTCGTTATGTGGAAATAAAGAGCCAAGATTTGTACTGGTATGGTTAAGGCAGCGCAAATGTTTAATAATTTTTGTTTTTTTTTGGTTTTAGTTTTGGTTTTGGTTTTGGTTTTGGTTTAATTTTAAGTAGGCTTTTCCATTTTCTTTGCAGACTTGACAACAATTTTCTTTTTTCTTTCGAGATGGAATTGATTCTTGTCTGTGTATGAAATGAAGGCAATTTATGTTTTTCTTTTTAATATGGGCAAAGGATTCAAGTGATTCAATCGGATAGACGGAATTTGAAATGAAATTTGCTTTTATTTTCTCCATTAAAAACAAAACAAATAAATAGAAGTAAAAAAAAAACTCTATTGAATCTCTTTTTATATTAGTTAAAAATTAGATGTGTCAATCGTTGTTTTGAAAATGCTTAAAATAATTGCTCAACTTTTGGCTTTTTTCAATTTCAAAATTAATTTGAAAATAAATTCAAGTCTGTAAAAATGTGTTGCTAGTGTTATAAACAGTAAATAATTCTTTTTTTTTACACAATTTATCATTATAAAAGCTCTTTTTAAAATAAAGCAAAACCACATTTTGATGAATAGAGGGTGAGAAAGAGAGAAATAGAAATAGACTGGACATTGCTGAACAAAATTAGAAGATTATTATCAAAGAGATTAAAATGAAATGATAGATGAAACAAACAACAAAATCCAATTAAGAGTAACTGAATGCATTTTTTTTTTTGGCAGATTCGCTCACGTTTTTGTCATATGCGTTTTTTGTTTTGGTTTTCATTTAAATCTTAAATAATATTTCAAGCTCTATTTATGTTTGCTGCTGGAGCCATTATACAGGCAAAGCAATTTCACTAGTTTATGTTGATTTTGTTGTTGTTGTTGTTTTTTTGTTGTTTTTTTGTTTCTGTAGTTGTAGTTGTTGTTATTGTTATTTAAAATAATGTTTGTAACGTTTGTCCAAGAAATGTGCAAACGTGTCCGTATATACAATTATTTAGTGAAGAAAACTTATTAGATAAACATTCAAATTTAAATACAGGTATAAAAGTAGTAGCCATTAGATAGGTTAAAATATAAATCGAATAAAATCATTCACGAATCGATTCACTCGAAGTGTTTGATGTGTTTAGTTTAAAAGATAAAATGTGTTCGTGTGTTGTTGTTGTTGTTGTTCACATGATGGGATGGAAGCATTTTCATCATTTTTAAATAAATTTAAAAAAATCTTTGGATTGGGTCACTGTCACTTTTTTGTTTTAAAAATCCTTATCATATGTAGGTTTGTAAATTTTTTTTCGTTTTCATTTCATTTTTTTCTTCTTCATCTTTGGGAGCCATTTATCGGTTACTTAAATTATAAATATGAATATAAATAGTGCGCTGCTTGGAATTTGGTTACTGTTGTTGCATAGAGAGTACAAGAGTAATATCATAGACATTTTGATTGAATGAGGAATGGATGGGGAGGGATTGAACAAATAGTTGGACATTCCTAAACGGTAGAGAGGTAAATAAAAAACAAAAGAAATTCTGCCGCATCTTCCAATAATGATGATGATGATGATGATGAATAATATCAATGTATCTCTTTCATTCTGTTTGTTTTCTTTTTTTCTTTTTTTGGAATTGTGCGGTGAGAGTTTCCTTCTGAGCCAGAAGCTATTGAGCCAACGGTTATTGTGTATTTTTCGAGAGAAAAAAATCTACATTTGAGTTTAACATTTACTATTTGTTTGTATGAACATTTCAACGGAGACAAAATTATAATTATTTTTTGTGTTATTGTTCTGTGACTGACTCATATTTCTCTGTCGATTTTTTTGTTGTTATCTCTTCAGTTTGCATCATCTGCATTAAATTCCAGTTTAAGTATATGTGTGGTTATTTATCTAAATTGTATTGCATAGTAATTGTTAGCTTGGATTGTATAAACTTCAACTTCAACATTAATCTGTATAGTGTTTTTGTTGTTTCTGTAATTTCTATGATGTATTTTGGTTTCTGTTACTTGTTGTTGTTGTATGTTGAGAAAGTGATTCAGCTTGAGCTTTGCAAGGAATGAATTTGAAGTAATGAATCAAATCGAACCAATATTTTCATTTAATTGCTACATTCTTCATGAATTATTTGGTTCAATGTTACAACATTTTTCATTTCGTTTTTTTTTTTGCTTTTGGTCTAGTTCAGTTCACATAATTTCATTATAATTTGATCCAATTTACATGGAACTTACACTTCAAAACGGATACATTTAACTGGAACAACTTAACTATCTTGTTTTCTATGGAGACTTACAATTTTTTACATATCAAATGGTGTGTGTGTGTGTGATGGTTTCTGCTTTGTTCTTTTTTTCTTGCATATTTTCAATGTAAACTTCTGTTTAAATAAAGACACAGTTCAAAAAAAAATGTGTATAGCAAAAAAAAAAAAATAACAACAAAATCATAATAAATATTTGAATGATTTTAACAACGATTGCAAAAAGGCAAATGAAAATGAAAAAAAAAACAAGAATAAACAAAATATATCCTCGACTAACCTAATAAAATAAGATTAAATTTCAGTTTTGAATGTTTGCGATGTGATTTCAAAAATGAATGTTTTATAAAACTCCAGACACAAATAATCATTTTGTGTTAAAACACATTCGTACATCTTCAGTTCGATGTCGGCTGATTCAATTCGGGCCGTTGTCGCAATGTGTTTCGGTCGCGAAAAAAAAAAAAATCTATTTCTTATTTCTCTGTGGAAATTTCGAACCGCTAAAACGGGGATTAAATCCAATTAAGAATGTTTGTTTGGTGGAAAAATCAACGGTTTAAATTCATACGATTTGCAATTATGATCGTATTTCATTCGATAAACTGCTCAAGCGTATATCATTCAAATTATTAAAATTTATGCTAACTTTTCCAATCGCGCTTCTTTCCGATTCTTTCTTTTTTTTCTCTCTCGTTTTTATCTTGCGCGCGCGCTTTTCCTGTTTTTTGATTCAGATTTCATTTCAAATAAAAACAAATCAAAAACATATTGCTTATGTGTTAGGATAATTAAAACCTAAACTTGTTTTGTGTTCGTTTTGTTTTGTTCTGGTTGTGTTTTGTTTTTCTCCATCATTTGATAGATATTGAATGATTCATGGTTTCATCGGTCTAGTTCATAATTGTGGGATCTCTCTGCTAATGCTCCTCGGAATCGGCATTATTGTTCAAAATTCTTGGAGATCGCTTTTCACGCAATTTTACTGTTCAATTTAAGTGGTTTAACGTTCATTTTGTCTGAAAATGTGTGTCCGGGTTTCAATTCATTTTGATGATGTTTTTTTTTCTTTCATTTTCTACGGAATATTCAAAACAAGCATTTACTCTAACAGAACACGATTTGGTTTGATCAAAAGAGATAGATCATTTTGAAGACTTAAAACCAAAAAAAAAATTATAATAATATTTAAATGTTGATGAAAAATGTATTGTTTTGCAGCTGCGTAAAGCACTCTCTTTTTCTCTACTTTAGCAGTAGTAATTCGATGAGGCGTTTGTGTTGTTGACGGGAGATGATGCATTCGGACCAAGCCCAATCAATTGTTGCGATTTGGAGTTGCGAGTCAGTGGCTTGTGATTTTGCAACGATGGATCCGATGAGTGTTGCCATTGCCAGCATGATCGACAGTAATAGCTATGTTGATTCGAGAGAGAGAGAAAGAGACAGAAAAAAATGGGGTGAAATTCCATAATAAAAGTGTGCACACACCATTTCAATGTGAATGTTGTATGAACTTGAAATAAAAACAATGACTAATTTACCGGAAACATGACATTTCACGACAATAGTATGGACCATGATGCAAACCACACATCGAACACAATGCATCTTCCAGATAGGGATCAACCTGCACCTTCTTTGTGAATTTGGTCGTTTTGATTTCAATGAATGCCGACGCAACTGCCTTCATGTACGAACGATTACAGTTGAACGTCACTCGGCCAGAACCAATCGGGTACTTGTGCTTGTCCGTGTCAATTCCTTAATGTACACATCGAATCGAATGAATATCGCATGAAAAAAATTCCACACTTTTCTTTATTGATTGGAACAAAAACGAATGGAAAATGGATCAAATAACTCACCCGCATAAACAACACCATCGAAAAGGTCATTCATAATTTTTGCTAGGCCGTCTGCAGTCAATTTGCCGTGCAGTGCACCAACAAAAACCGTTTTATTCGGGTCCAATTTTTGAGATGTCGGAATCACGTAGTTCGAATCGGCAATTATCCATGGAATAACTTCGACCTAATGAGCGTACAAAGAAATAATGCGAAACACATGAATGGCATCTAAGAATTGCACAATGACGAAGAAAAAAAGGAAAATATTCCGAATTTGATAAGCACCTCTTTGGCTTTGATCCGTTTCGAGGATATTTTAAAGTAGTAGTTGCCAGAATTGGCATCGTTTCCATCTTGGATTGTGCAAGCGTTCAGTAGTTCGCGGACCTGTTTTTCCGACTCGAAGATTATATAAACATAGCCCTTGGGCTGTGCAGCTTGATTTTCTTTACCAGGCCATTCAACCCTACGAAATGTGTGTTTGTGTGTGTGTGTCATGGATTTTTTTTTTCGTAACAAAAAGACGCATTCAATTAGCAAACTAAAACATTTAAATGGGTCACATCACAATTCACTTACTTAATTGGTCCAAATTGTTTGAAAATTTGTATCAAAGATTGTTCGCTGATGTCCCATGGAATACCACCCAGGAATACTTTCGGCGAATAGTTGACCACTTTATGGACGCGTGGCTGCAAAAATCCGCTCCATGTGCAAGTAGCATCATCTGTTTCCAAAAGAATATGGCATTTGATTGGTCTCGATAGTATCAAATCATTCGATGGAATTTTTGGATTCCATTTTGCCCATTTTCCATACTAAACTATGTGCATAGCATTGTGTGCATTGTGTGCAATTTTTTTTACTTCATTTTACTCAAATTGAACACTTACAGAGTGCAGCCGACGATCGATGGAATCTTGCAGCTCGATCCAAGTGCGTGTCGTTGATGTTATTGCCCATGGCAATATTTTGCCAATTCTTCAAATGATTCGAATTGCAGTCCGGCTGCAGCAGCTGATTTAGGCCAAGAATTTGACGTGGCGCCTGTGCCATCACACTATTTGATGAGTGATTTGACAAATGTTGCGTTTGCTGCTGTGGATAGAATTGTGGCTGGGTGTTCTGTTGGCTCTGTTGAATGAACTTCAATGCATTCAGCGTTTGCAAATCATTTTGCGAGAATTGATTTAAGCTGTTTTTGAAATGCATCGGATCAGTGGTGTTGTTGGCCGCAAAATAGTTCTACTCACCGAAACCAAAACAAAAAGCAGGGCAGAAGAGAAAGGGAAGAAAACAACAACATTTAAATCAGCCGTTTTGATTACATTCGTATCCAGAGCAAATGCAGATATGCATTTGTGTGTGAAATAAACCAATTAAAATATGTAATAATAGACAGCCGAAAAATCGTTTGATGTGTGTTTTCGTTGGTATTGTTGGTGGGCTTTTTTTCAGCCCGTACTTACGATAAGGTCAATCAAATTGAGATTTTCTGAGTTGGATGTGATGTTGGGCGAATTACCACTGCTGTTACTGCTGTTACTTTCGGAATTGTTGGCCGATTTGTAGTTACCATAGAGAAGTGGAGAATCCAATGGTTTCAACGGTGTGATCGGACTGGAGGTGTCTCTGTGAATTACCAACACAAACATTGAATGCAAATACAGAATTGATTCGTGATATTTCAACGAAAGAAGAAGAAAAAAACAAAGCATAAATTCAAGCCACATTTCTCCTCACCTAAACAAAGCCGATCCACGGTAGTTCCGGGAGTATTGTTGCGTCGAAGAAGGTGCCGTCGGTGACATTGGTGTGGAACATTCATAGTTCGGGGTCCTTTGAAAGATTTTCAAAGGTGTGTTCCCATCAATGCTGTCAAACTGAAATTGGATGTACAAAAACACGGAAGAAAGAAAGAAGGGAAAAAAACATGAGATAGAGGTAGAGACAAAATTGAGAAATGCATTGAAATGCAGTCGATAAATTCATTTTTGGGAATTTCTCAAAAGATGTTTGACATCAATAATCAATGAAAAATCGCAAAAGTTTTCATGCCAGACTTTGTTAGTGGAGCATAATTTCAATTTCATTGTACTTTCTTGTTGCGTTCGATAATATATGTATATGTGTGTGTGCAGTGTGCACAGAGCGCGCCCGGCAGCACATCTATTGAGAGAGATTTTTCAGGATTCAATCACTGTCAATTTGAACACACATCCTGATGCAAAATAATGTTCGTCATTGTAAATGCATGCAATCTGTATGTGGTGTACGGGCAAAATCGGGGAGGACGGGCGGCTGGCTGGTTGCATGGTCGGTTGGGTTGTGTGTGTGTGTGTAAGCGCACACCATTTATATGTTTGCTGTGGGTGCTATTTTCCTGCTCCTTTTCCCTGATGTTTATACGAAATTTTCTTTTATTTTTTTTTTGTTATCGCTGAATGGAATGATGTGTATTGTGCGTCTATCAAACCAACTATTTGAACAGGTGCAGTAGCAAAAGTATTGTTTTATATCAGAAGTGCATATCATATGCCTGCTACAATGTCATTTTTTACGTAATAAACTCATATTGCACACGCCGCCGTGAAATGTTCATGTTCCCATGCCCGAATAAGTTAAACTGCTGTGCACATTTCATCAGTAGTGCATTTGTATCAGCGTGGTGCGGTTGATACATTTCGATCGATTGCATCATGTGCAAAAGGAAGCGTACGCTTTTTCCAGGAGCACAAAAAATCTTCTGTCGCTTCCAACCCCTCCAACCGTCGCATAAAATGTGTGTGACTGTGCATATGGAATGGCAGAGAAATGGGCAAAATACATGCGATTGGCGAAATGTGGAAATGCTATATCTATTGAAAAATGTCCAAATTAATGTTGCCGTGAGAAAGTAGAGCGTTGATGAACAACGCAAAATGTGAGACGCGAGACGCTCTTGTCGACAACATGAAAACATATGTTTTTGCTATGAGCTAACCTTCAAAGCATTTCGAATTGCCACAAACAATTGATGACATTTCATGTTCGCGTATTAGTACCTAAAGTGTCACGAGGTTAGTGTGAGCAACAACAACACAACTTACCTGCAAATTGTCGAAATTCTTGATCGGTGTGTTCAATGATCCGCTGGATGACAGCGACACCGATGTTAACTGGGAGAATGGATTCGATGTCATGCTCGCACTTAGCTGAAGCGATGAATCGTCCGGACTGCTACCAGTGGGCGTTGTGCCAGCAAACGTACCAATGCAACTGCCGTTTATCGATGAATTCGACAAAGATGAGTTTGATTCGGATAATGAATTGCGGAGGCCATAGATTCCTGACATAGCCATCGACTCACCTAATTTCCAGAGAATGAAAGAGAAAGAGAAAAATGAAGAAAAAAAATGCAACAGTTCAATTGTATCGCCATAATCACAGTTGAGTGAAATGCATGCGTCAAAATCGGATCACTTCAAACCGATGTTTATCGACTGGATTATCTGTAGGAATTCATCTGAAATAATTGAACGCTATTATCCAAAGTTGATTTTGAGAAAAGAACAGTCGTCAATAGCCAATAGCTATTTCGAATTGAACAACATCTCATGCTTCGGCTACCAACAGTCAACAGTCGTTTGTTGATCTTTTATCTTGTCACACTCAGTAAAAGTCATTTCAATGAGACAATCGAGATTGAATGTAGTCCTTTATTGCTCAATCTTGTCGATTTTTGATGAACTGCACTGCTCAAATATGAATCACTGACCCGTAATTACGTTGACCATTTCAGGAATAAATGCAATAACAACAACAGCGACAACGTCATCAACAATTAGAAAATGTCATGGTCATACAATATGAAATGTTTGATTCGATTCAAAGATTACGTGTGATTCGCTCAGAAGTAATAGAAAAACCGTTGAATTGATCTGACATTTGATACGACAAAAACATGAACTGTGGATGGATTATTTTCGATTCCCTCTTTAAAAAAAAGGTCGTCGACTTTTTTTCTTTCTTTTTTTTTCATCAGAAAAACACTTTATTAATCTTTAAATTGAATGTGAAGGAGACAGGAATACATATTTGGTTTTTTATGTTCAGTTTATTTCTTCAATTCAATTAGCAAACAATAATTGATGGGAAATGAGGCTGAAAACGATTGTATCAGTTTATTTTTCTTGAAGTGTTCGATTGATAAGATTTCAAAATGAACTGAGAGGTATTTGGTTACAGTTAGCAATAATCAAGTAGAGTGAATAAAAAGAAAAACAATAAACAAATCTTCGCAGTTGAAAGGGATGACATCTTTTCCAATTGTCAAATTCATTCAGTACCGAGTCAAAGTTGAAAAAAATGAGTGTTTGAAACGATTTTAAAACTTAAAAAAATCCAACGAATACAAACAAATTCATTTCTTGAGTTTCAAGAAATAGTTCCAGTGCTAATCCACGTTGAAATGATGAAATGCAGTTTCAACGTGCGTAATGCTTTCAACCCAAAGAAGTCAATAATCGGTATTCAGTAATTAGATCACATGTTTATGAATTAGTGTTTGGTTCGATTTCACTGCATTTCGTTCTATGAGTGCATTTGAGTGGGCGAAAGAGAAGTCGAGAAACAAAGAAAAAACCATTTGCATAAAAACCTCATCAGTGTGTATGTGTTGTGTTATATTTCTCTGTTCGTAAAACAGCAACATTTTCAACAAGGAGGGAGATAAAAATGAAGAGCGAGAAAAAAAAACCTAAAGTCGAGCCGTTATTAATCTGTAAACACAATGTTATATATTTTGCATTTTTTTTTCTCGTTCTCTTTATTTAGCTGGGCTTAGGAAACGAAATATGAATTTTGCACGCAGCGTGACCAATTCGATAGTCGGCGGAGAAACGAGTGGAAAAAGTAGCAACAACAACAACAACAGAACAACGCCAATTCAAGTGCAGTTTCATTCTTGTTTCGAAGCAACAAAGATACGAAACCGCGTGCACTCGTAACTTCGTTTTATCTTCGGACGATCGCATGATTGTGCAGGTGTAAGGTGTATTCGCGTGGTGATTATGCGTTTGCGATGGACGCCAACTTTACTGTAGCCCGATTCAAGTGACTGATTCAGTGTTAACATGCTCGCTACAGAGAGCCGTACATGAGATACAACCACAGCAACAACAACAACAACGGCAAAAATTATTAATGTTAATTAGCAAACATTAGAAAAAAAAATAAAACCGATTTTGTGCATTTTTCCACATCTTGCCCATTCTGAGTAGCTGAATGGGCATCGCTTTTAATTAAATGTATTTATTAAAACGGCACAACACAACAACAAAAATTGTTTAATATTTGTTATGATGGTTATTGAACACAGAGTAAGCAGAGCAAATACATTCTTTAATGGCAAACACAGAGCAAAAACGATGAAGAAGAAAAAAAACAACAACCGGAGAAAACGCATCGAACGAAAATACGGAAATTGGAAGGAAAATGAAATGCAACAAAATAAAACAACAAACAAAAAAAAAACGATGCATCGACCTTGTTATTTGTTTTTCCTCGTATTTGAGAAGAAATCTTTGGTAAAGTATAGCAACAAATGAGTTTTAAAAAAAAAAAACACCGCCGAACAACACAATTGATATGGACTATAAGCCCAGACACTAACCCAAACTACACAAATGCTCCCTCAACCGTATATCGTTTGATTTACTTTTGAACGCAAAACTTCAATGAAATAGCAAAATATAACGAACGGGTGAGAGAGACGAAGAATAAACAACAACAAACAACTGATCAGAAATGAGGCGCAAACCGTACTTACCATCGATGTTTGGTGACCATATTAAGTCCTGTTGTTCCAATAAAGAATTTATGGAGTGTCGCTGCAACAAATTGGCTCCAGTGATCGGTTTGTTTTTTTCATTGTTGTGAAAGTTTAACTGCAATGATAAACAAGAGAACATCTTTTAATTCAGTGGATTTTTTCTTTGATTGAATCTGATTTGTTTTTTCGTTAACCAACATCAAGAAAGAGGTATGGTCTTAAAATTGTGTGCATTAACAATTCAAATAAGTTCCCTTTGCTGCTTTTGAGGAAAATGCGCGCGCTCTCTCGTTCTTACTCGCTTTTTCTGTCACTTCCGTTCAAATGGGATGCTGCGACAGTGAATGAAACTGCCTAGACTTTGTGATTTTTCAGGGTGAATAGCGTAACGACAAGCATACAAGACACAAAAATGAAATAACGAAAGAACGACAGCAAAGAAGGGTATCTGAGGGCAGAAAGCCATTGCTTGTTTCAATTATTTATTTTAAACTTCCTCGATGCGCTCATAATTCCAATGTTATTGAGCGTTTCTGTCCATTAAATGGGAATGCGTCCCACGCTCAAATCTGGAGCATTCATTGATTCATGTACCATTTAATATATAGCCCAATCCCAATGTATTGATACGGTGCCAGTTTGCGAAACAAAGCAAGATATGACGTAGGAGTTTTAGATTCTTGAACTAATTTAATCCCTTCATAGGATTTCCATTTCTTCAAGCCACAACGCTTATTTATTGAAACAATCTGTCACTTGATGCTGCATTGATTTTGCATATATGGAGAAAGCGAGAGAGAGAGAGAGAGAGAGAGGGAATAAACAAACACATATCAAAACACACACATTTCAAAAAATCTCTAATGAAGTTGAATTATTCTCACGTTGTTGTTTTTTCTGTTTGTCAAAATGACATTCATGTGACAGACGCGTAAAACTTCATGAGTATTTACGGCAAATGAAAAAAAAAAAACTCATCGAAGTAAAGTGCTTAAAAATTCCAAAATCTCACTTTAAATGGACAATCCAAATAGCTTTGCAGTGAGTCTAATCCACTCGATGAATGCTACATTTTGCGCCGCATCAAACATTCGACACAACAATTGAGAAAAAAACGGGTCCCATTTCCATCATCGTTTACTTGCGTCATTGAGGTAAAATTTGTGCAGCTGAATGTGAATTTTTCTGCCACTTTCAAAACGTAAGCGGTAAGCAACTGTTTTTTTTTTGAGGAGAGGTACTCAAGTGAAGATCAGTTTTTGTCACAATTTTCGCCCCAAAGAATTATGATTGTCATTCGTGTGCATTTGAGATCTCAGCGCACCACCCTTTGCCCAGTCGGTTTTGGATGAACAAATAAATGCTGTTAATGGTCATTCCATCAACTTGAATTCCATTCGTTCGCATGCAAAACTAATTAAATCTTCTTCGAGGGCTGTACATACTTTTTCTGGTTATTGTTCAAAATAAATTATTTACTGAGCAAATCATCACATTGGAAGAAAAGTCAACACCTATTTTACGGTTACTCGAAACCATTCAGTTGTGTCTGGTTCAGTGTTTCGTTTTCTGTCTCTGTCTCCATCTCTGTCGCTATCTCTTTCTGCTCTAAACGATTGTTTTGTGAGAGCCTAGTCAGTGTAGTGTTGCATGCTGATTGTCCTTTTAACGTCTATTGTGTATCATTAGCATTCCTATTATACCACATAATATGCATCTGCATCGCGACTATTTCCTTGAATTTCATGCAAACCGTCGTTTATTCATACTCGTTTCTCCTTCATCGTACACTGTCGAAAAGTGAAAAGATGAAGCTTCTTTCTATGTGTGTGTGAGTTTTTTTTTTAATTTGTTGTTTCAAATGTTCAATTGTAATCGTGTGCACACATTCTTGAGCACATATGAAGCGAACGCAGAGACACAAGCGAAAATAAAAATACAAAACTTATGTTGGAATATTAGAGGCCGTATATGCATAATAAAATGCAAAAGATAGAGCCCGAGACAACGGGCTATTCGAGCTTTTCTCGTAGCCAAAAGCATTGTAAACACTAAACAGTTACGATGTTCAATCTGTTGGGTAAATAAATGCTTGTAAGTATTATGTTTTACATAAATCCAATGAATGTTTCATGCCATGACTTTGATTGGGTGCATGTGATTTCTTTGAATGAATTTGCGTATATGTGCGCGCGGTTCTCTTTTTGCAGGAGCAAGAGCGCGAAAGGGACGAGAGAATAGCGAAAAAAACGAACGAGATAGAGCATGCCGTTTGCTGCAATTTATGAAATCATAAAGGAAAAACAGCACGGAAAAATTGAGAAAAACAAAAACATCGAAACAATGCATAAAAATTCATTTAGCAAATAGGGAAAATGGATGGAACAATTATATTTACTATATGGTGCACTATCTATTACTATTGTGGATTGTGTTTGTGTGGATCGTGGCTTCGTGCATATCGTCAGCCACTCTCTCTCTCTCTCTCTCTCTCTCTCTCGCTCCCTTTTCCTCTTTCTTTTCAAGCAAGTAAGCCAGCAAGCACATAGAGAGCCTGTGTGACGCGATTCCTTCTTCGTATGTCACACTCGTTTCACGTTCCATACGACGATAGCGAGAGTCGATGAGGCAACTCGCTACTGGATTTCGCACCGACTGTGAATTGCATCATTTCTATTCGGTTCTCTTCGACGTTGTACGGAGTCATACGTGTTCGTTTCGATTTTGATGCATTTGCGACTGTGGTTTTGTTGCGGAAAACTATATGAGTGCGCTAAACGTGCGTTTCATCGGATATGCATGCAAACATTGCCTATTTGGAAAAGTGCGAAGATGCAGACAAGAGCCATTTGTGTGTGTGTTTGTGAGTGAGTGTGTGTTGTGTATTGGCTGCGACTTACACACGAAATATCACAACACATGCGAATATAAATAAGTAATCCTTGCGTCTTGAATCTATGCCATGAATCAAAACAACTAATCGTTGAATATGACAATATTTAATCGCTGCCCTAAAACTCGTCATCAAGCCAGAAAAAAAATATGGTCAAATCGAGTTGTTTTCTCTATCATTTATTCTGAATATAGAAAATAAAATGATGCAACTCTTTTTTCAATGTGCCAATCCTTGAATAAACTAAACCAAAGGAATAAACTTGAGCTAAAAAGTGTCGTTGGGTTTGAATGAATTTTAGCATCTACGGCACACGGATGTGAAGTTTCCAGCATTCATTCAGAGAAAATAATAGGCAAAAGGGGAAAAGAAAGCGAAATATAAATTAATGAACGAATCCGTTAAATGCAATTAAATAAGCTCAACAACAAAAAATTGTATATCTCGTCTAAATGGAATAAATATTATCTTAATTTGTGGAAACAATGATGCATCACAAAAGACGCCAAAAGCCTGCAGGTGATTCCCATTTTCACTTTGTTGCATAGAAGCAAAAAAAAACTCACATTTGTGTCATTATCGAACGGAACCGAGATGAGAGAAAAATAAATAGAAATGAAGCAGCAACACACAGTAACCAACATTTAAATTCATATTTCCATTGAAATGGGGAGAAAATGGTATAAATTTCTCTTTAAAAAAATTGTTTCTTCTGCCCATGATGAAATGGCGAACATACGACAACAAAAATGTTATATACGTCTCCGAATGATTGAGAACAAGAGTGAATGTTTTGCTACAAGTGTCAATCCTTCGTCATTGCAAATGTCTTTCATGTAAAGATACCAATAAAGTTACGACGAAAATTTCAAGGATATGTCAATTTACGTATCTTCAAAATATTGTAACGACGTAAAAGTGGAAAGTCCAAAATATTTTCGCCGAAAGACATTTGAAACCGTAAAAATGCCACTAAATCCCGGAACAGCATTTGAATTTTATTAGAACAGTTTTCTGTCTCGAAACACGAGCGATGAATGTTGTTCGATTTTTCTCTCGTTTTTTTTTCTATCAAGAGCGAGATGCAAAACCGGTGAGATATCGTTAAGTCGCGACATACTTATTTTTTATGTATCACTTAAAATTCGCGGAATAAACCAAGTCAAACTTTGAAGTCTCTGCGAGTGTATGTCTCTCTCTCTCTGTGTGTGTGTGTTTGGTGAGAAAATTCGAAGACGAAACCCCTGCCATGCCATGACAAATCGCATAAAATTGAAATTCCCGAAAATTTCAATGTAAAAAACCCAAACGCTATCACATATTGTTGTTGAAACTTGTTGAGATTGTCTTCATATTTTTTGACAAGCGGCGACCAAACACAATGTCACCGTTTTCGTTCAAGTTGGAAAAATGATGCAGTCTTAGATGCGTATAAACAATTTTATTTCTCATAAATAATAGTGTGTATGTGCGTATTCAAGTATGTGTGTGTGTGTTTGGGTCATTTGCGTAAAATTACAACATGTCGCCTGTTCTGCAAGCGCTGCCATCAATTTAATCAACGGCGACGCACTTCCTCCAACAACGTAGGGGTTAATTCTCAGTCGGCTTCATGATTCAATAATCCAATCCAATCCAATCCAATCGATACAATAGAGAGATGGAGAGAGAGAGAGAGAGAAAGCTACGAAGTGATTGGCTATTTCAAAACGTTTTGCCCAAAGCAATTAAAACGGCTGCCATCGAAAACCAAAAACACCGTTTTAATGACAAAAATGTGTTTGGGGCATTTTTTTGTTGTTGTTTGCAAATAGTTTCATTGTCCATCTCTCTCGCTAAACATAGTTTTCGAAGTGATGATATCATTTTTACATGTATAAAAATAAACGAGAGCGGGACGGAACGAAATAATAAAAAAAAATAACCGTAACGGACTATCAGGCAATGAAAATTGTGTGACATTCAAAGTGAATGCATTTAATGGAAATGTTTCGTCTGTAAACAATGTTTGAATGTTTCGATGTTTGACACGTGCACGTATCACAAAATATACTTAAACTTTTGTCGCTCTCAAGTATGCCATTTGTGAACGGAAAAAGTTCCACTAAAAGCTGTAGCGCACATTCGACAAAGCACACCGGACAGTTCTAAAATGACTAATAAACAAAGGCAACGTAGAATTAAATAGGAGGGAAGAGGAACAACCGAGCAGAGAAGAAGAAAAAAAATGTCGACAAGCAAAAGAGAAATAGAAGAAGAAGAAAAGAAAAATCGAAAATGGCAAGTTACAAACTGGACAACATCGCCAGGCAATAACAATAACAACAACATCAACTGAAACATCGGAAAACTTTTAAAGAGAACTCAGGAAAAGAATGAAGAGAAGAAAAAGGAAAATTGAAAGACATGGCTACAACAGGTGGTGGCCATTTTCTTTAATTCAAACGATGAAATATCCACTTTTAGCAACAATCACACACAGTAGTGGTGGCGGCGGCGGCAGTAGCAGTAAGCACAAAGTCAGTGAGTTTGTTTTTATTTGTTGGCCATCATTGGCAAGAGCGCATTGGGCGAATAGCGATAGCAATGCCAATAGCAATATAGCGAAAACACACCAATCGTAGTTGGTAGTGCTATACCACATCGATCGCTGCACTCCGTATTCCGCAAACACGGAACAAAGTGTTCGACACGGAGAGACAAAACATAAAAAACAAATTAAAACCCATTTTAGACATAATTCATCATTTCTTTGAACCGATTTCAATCAATATGGGAGTGTATGTGTGTGTGCGCTCTTCGCTTCTCGTGGCTCCTGCTCTTCCTTATCCTCGCCCTTTCTTTCGCTCGCGCTCGCGTTCGCTTCCACATTCGCACTCATTCTTGCTTTCATAATCGCTTGATTGTTTCCTTTTCTCTCCTTGATCTCAGGCTCTCGGTAAGTGCGACTGTATGTGTTCTTGATGCTTATTGGTGCGAAAAGACTTTTTACAAGATCCAAAATGAAAAATATGTGTTTTATTCCGGCAAAACAGTTGTTTGTCAAACAAAACTTTTTAATGTTCCCTTTATGTTTCTTCGATAGTTTTGTTGTTATTATTGGTCTTAAGTCCGGTAGATTGTTTTACATTTGTTATCCGAATAGCGACAAAAACGGTGGTTCTCCCCTATCACTCGGCGAAGTGATGAAAAAAAGAAGAAGAAAAAAAACACACACACACTAAATGCGACGGTATTCGGACTAGAGCAAGAGAGAGAGAGAAAGAGATAGAGAAAAAGAGAAAAGCCGGCGGAACATGCAATTTTCCATCGAATTTTCTCGCTTTTTTCCCTATTAACCGGCCTTATTCCATTCCCACCCCAATACAACATATAATGCGAAAAAAACTTTAACGCGCGCGGCGCTCATTCTTTGGATCGTGCTTCTCGCATCCGTTCCCCTTCATATTTTTTTCGTCGTGGTAAGGAGATCAAGTGTCGAGGAATTTCACTAAAAATTTCTGGTTTGTCTTCAACAGTCTTGAATTGTTTTTTTTATTAGTGTTTTACTGTAATTTAAATTCAATATACGTTGTCACACAGAAAGTTGCCGTTTTTTCGGTGTGGCGTGTGCTATTCCCTTCACTCTCTCTCTCTCTCTCTCTCTCTCTCTCTCTCTCTCTCTCTCTCTCTCTCTTTCTCTCGTTATTGTACTTGTGGCTAGTAAGGGCGAAGGATGACGATTACTGTGTTTTCTATTCTATTGTCTGTTGTGCGTATTCTTTTTTTCGGTGTGTAATTTCTTTTTGGCAGAATGTGAGAAATATGGTTCGCCATCGTTTTTCTCATGCGTTCGGTGATTGTCATTTGTGTTTGTGGGTTTGCGTTTATGCGATTTCTGTTGTCGTGTGCCATCGAACGCATTTCATTTCTGTGTGCAAAGTACGTAATTCTAGTTTCGGTACGGAGTTTTCGATTTTTTTTTTCGTTCGCTCGTTCGTTCTTTCGTTCGTTATTCATTTTTTGTCATGGCTTGCTCTCACTCTATCTCTTTCTCTCTCTTACGTGTGACCTATGTCGTCGAGGAATCGGTTGCGATGTCTCTCGAAATGCGGAACAAATTTACTTAAACGGAACAACAGGCCCGAAAAATTGTTCTACACTCAGATATATATGCATTTAATAATAAATTATCATTTTTACAGGACACAGTAAAACGTTTTTTTTTCACTCAATTCGGAAAACAAAGCGATGGAAAAAGGCAAGGCTAGAGAAAGAGAAATGAATAGAGCGAGAGTGAGATAGATTGAGAACGAGAACAAAAAGAACTCGAGGCACGGCGAGAGTAGAAAAAGTGGCATCACATTAATTTGCATGTTGTGGCAGTCGTGTCGATGTTTAAGTGGATTATGCCTTTTTGGAAACAGTGAAAATTATTTAATTAAGCATTTTCATTCAATTTGCTGGGGTTTTACTGTTTCCGCACTTCATTTATTCAAAACAAGAAGCGAATGTGAGTCCACAAGCGGCAAACCACATGCATCCATTAAACGTGGCTGCATGTACGCGCGCGCGCTCCCGCTCGCTCGCTCGCACTCACTCACTCTCGTTCGCCCTTTCCACGTTTTCACGTAGTTCACATCCTAGCGCGCGCTACGTTATTTATATTAAATATAAGTACTTGTTATACGGCATACCTGTTGCAATGAAACCATTTTAGCGTCGATATTCTCTCCACCGTTCCCGTTATAGTGTTCCACAGCAGTTGTGTGACGCAGAACAATGTATGCCGCCGATGCACAAACAACACCACCTAGAACACCACAATACGGAACACACAGCACACACAAAGTATCAAAAGAGGATTTTTAATTTGTTGTTGCTGCTGCTGGTGTTGTTGTTCTTGTTCTTATTGTTGTTGTTCTTGACAAGAAGAATTTTAGTTTTCTTCATTCACTTTCGAAAAAAAAAAATATAAATCACAATTTCAAAATACACATATCGTCTTTCCCATTCGCTTTGTATAAATCACAAATTCAAAAAATAACGAAAAAAAAAATAATAATAATAATAATAATAGAAGGGAAAAAAAGAAACACACAACGGAACAAAATCGGAATGTGAGCCCGGCTCTCGCAATTTGATGAAATCTCAGTGCAGAGCACGCGAACAACCGAACACTTGAAATGGCATCACCGTACTGTTGCTACTTCGCAGACTGTGCTCTTTCGTTGGTGATAAAAATGGTCGAGGCGGAAAAGGAGTGACGTATACCAGTAATGCACACACTGTGTGTACACTATCTCTCCGTAGAGCATTGCACCGAGCACTGTGTGCTGCTGCTGTCGATTTAGTTGTCGAAGAGGATCCACAACAACAGTAACTAACAATGGGAAAAGAAATCTGCACACTATATTTTCGTCGTTCTCCCGTTCTTATTCTAGCGCTCTGTGTGCGCGCCGCATTTGTTGATATCAAATGAATACAGCAACAACAACAAAACGTAAAAAAGAAGAAAAATGTATACATAAAACTGTTTGGTCTCTCTACGCAAACTGTTCATCGCACAGCAGAACGATTTCGAGTATAGCACACAACCACGTCAACCAGAGCGAGCGGGCGAGCGCGCGAACGAGCGAGAGAGAAAAAGAGCGCTAGCAAGTGAAAAATGAAAAAGAAGACAACAAATACACCACACAGAGTCACAGACAAAATCACTGACTCACTCAGTCGCGCACAAAAACCCATTGTGTTAGGCTTTCGCTCATCCATTTGCGCTGTCAGGCAATAAGAACAATATGCTGCGGCGGTCTTTCTCTCTTTCGCTAACACTCGGTGAGTATAAAATCCACGTTACACAAAACGCATTTTCTCATCGTGATTATCGTTTCGGAGGAGAAATTGGAAGCACCATGCTATATCATGAAAAATCAAACGAACAAATGGTGTTTAAATGCGATTGCTCTGGTTATATTTTATCGCATTAGCCACGCCAATGTAATTTATATGTGCAAGTGCGAGGAGAAAGAGGGAGACAGCGTTAGAGAGAAATGGAAGAAAGAAGGAAAAAAACACCATGCACACAATACACAGCAACAGCAAAACCATTCCATGAATCGAACGGTTTTACTGTTTGAGACGATAGGATATGATCTCCTCCAGTTAAACGGAATGGGCACCGAGAAACGTGCACGCGCCGCACACTCTCATCACAAAGACATGAGATAACACAATCAATCGTGTTTTTAATAAACATCCATGCTTGACTTTAATTTTTTCTCTTATCTGACGCAATCTCAAAACAATCGTTTATGAACAGGATTTTGTTCCGTTAATTAATGGAAAAGCACTATTCTTATTGTTTAATGATCCATTTCACGTTTTTTTTCTTCTTCTTCTTTATTTCCATTTAAATTTAACAATGATGAATGGGCTTTTTTGTTTACAGACTTTTGTCTGTTTTGTGTATAAAAAAAAAATTAAATGATCCTTTACTCCATGCTCATGTCGAGATCGATCAAATTCGATCCCTGCGACTGATTCGAATCATCATCAAAGTTGATTTTCATGCAACTCGGTTTTATTGCATAGTTTGCATGATGCTTTGACTTGGTTTCTCTTTTTTGAGCGCTACTAAATCCGTCCACATCTTGATCGACCTGCGAACCGGATAGACTTTTCGGCAAACTATCCTCATTCATCAAATCTTCTAAACATGATTTTAGCAATGCCGTTGTCACAATATCATCCCGCTTCAATGCTAAGCTTCGGTGCAAATAGTCGACGGCTTGTTCCAATTTGAATTTCAGTGCGTACACAAAACCAATTGCTGTGTATGTCGCTGAGTTTTGTGGCTTCAATGACAGGGCTTGCTTATGATATTTCAGTGCCTCATCGTATTTCTTATTTTTGCGGCAGCAATGCCCGAGATTATTGATTAATGGCTCCCAACGTGTTGATATCGGCTCTTCGTTCTCGTTTGCCATTTTTGTCACCATTTCCAACGTGATTCGTAAGATTTCTTCGGCCTCATCAAAACTGAAAACATGAATAATTTGACATGTCATTGAAATAATCGAGCGCAATTTGATGATGGATAAAGCATTCATGAACACGGTACGAAAAGAGCTCAGCATTTTGAATAAAAATGTCCATTCAATCTCAATGTTCGATTTAAAATGTCATACTTACTGTTCATATTCAAATTTGATTACACCCAACTCGTGCAATACAAACACGTCCAGCGGAGCAATGGTCATTGCTTGATAGAAGAACTTTTGCGATAGGTCATAATTTTTGGTGAGTCCACATTCCACGCCAATGTACAAAAATGGTAAGTGACATCCACGCATCAATTGTGTTGCTTTGAAGTAAGCAGCCATTGCCTGTTGGAATAAACACACAAGCACACACACAGTTCGAAAATTGTATTAAGTAAAGTCATTTTAAGTAATGTTCAAGTTGTCATTTACTTGATCATGTTCATTTTCTTTGGCAAATGAATGTCCATATGCCAACCATGCTGGTCCAAATAATCGATCGATTGAGGTTGCCTTCGATAAATAGCGCCTAGCTGGATCGCTTTTTCCAATTAAATCATAATAACAACCAACAGCGTACCATGAAATCGCCTGATCGGAGTACAAGTCAACCAACTTGTGGGCAATGCAGAACAATTCTGAAATGTGGCGAAAAAAAACCGTTTTACATGGTTAGAAATGGAAAAATCGCGACATTCAGGTCAATAATAACCCAGTATTAGATTAGGACCATTTCACTTACTGCTGTATTCCTTCAATTCGATCAAACAACCGATTAAAATGATTAACGCAGGACAATGATATGGGTCATTCCTCAAAATCCTATGAATGGAGACCATTTAATTTATAGGTTAAAAGTTTTAACAGCAACAAAAACACTTGAAAAACTGACAGAAGAATGAATAAAGCTTACTCATTGAGAATATTAATACAATTCTTGTATTCACCGTTGTAGAAGAGATGCGCCGCCCGTTCAGTCATGATGTCAATACTTTGATTCAGCCGATCGAAACTGACAATGGCTGATATTGATACGCACTGTTTTGTTTCGCTGGAATTTTTGATTGATTTCCGTTTGGATTTGCTTTGCAAACCAACCACACGATTTGAATGGAGTGGCGTTATATTTACGATAGATCCATCCAGCAGCGATTCATGCTTATTCAGTCGAGAGTATAACGATGATGCTTTGATGTCTTGAGCGAATCTGTAAGAATGAACAAAATTCTTTTAAATCACGAATTTGATTCTTTTGTATCAATATTTACTTAGGAGGTGATGGTGTACGAACGTCTTGCTGTGCTGGTGTGAAAAACTTTGGAACATCCTTGGCACCGAGTTTTAATTCTGTATTCGTTCGTTCTGTTCGCGTTTTTTCTGATTGTTCCAAAATGGCTTTGATTGTGGCCACACTATCAAAGTTCTGTGATGGTGTTTGGTTTGGATTATTTGACGTTTGCTATGGAACGAAATGAATAAAAAGAAATAACAAAAAAAAATCTCCCGAAAACAGAACAATGCGTCGAATCGCACAGATACTTACGGACAATGTTGATTCATGATATTTCTTCATTTTGCTTTTGTACAATTTTTCAACGATTCTCCGTTCATTCTCGGTGCATTGAGAGTCGAATGGCAAATGCGAAATGAGTACTTGCTCCTCAGCGGCTGTTAGCATTTCGTGTTGAACAAGCGCGTCTAATGCTTCGGTACAATGCACATCCAAATGTAACGCTTCAATATAACTATTCATGGCCATAATTCGGTTATCCATTGCTTCGTGTATTTTACCCTTTAAAAAGTAAATCGCCGATATGACTTCCGATTTGGTCGGTCCAATGTCGTCAATATCAACGATGGCCAAAATTTGTAACGCCGTATCATCGGCATTTGTATTATCTGTATTTATGACAGAGTTTGATAAATAATCCAAATCGATGGAACCCATTAGATCAATTGCTTCCGTGTATTCTTTTGCCTCGTACAAACATTCGACGAACAAATGAAGGCAAAAGATATTCGTCCGTTCCAAACCATACAACTTAATGATATGTATGGCACGATGGTATTCACGCAATAAAAACATACACTGTGCCCACCAGTAAATGTCTTTTGACTGATAATCACCCAAGACTACGGTCTTCTCTGCCCAAAATAGTGCCGTTCGGTATCGACGCTGAAAAGTCAATCAAATGCGTAAGACAGTGATGAACAATTGAAAATGTGTTTCTCAATGAAAATGCAGAATGAAACAAATGATGCATATTAAATTTGGTTAGAAGAAAAAATCAAGATGAAATCGAATTAAATTTTGATTATCTTTACCAAATCAATGAATGTTCGCACTGAATTGCGATATCGTTCTAAATCAATGCAATTCTTTTCATCAAAACGCTCTTGTGATTTCATCTCGCTATCGATACCACTTTCCTCAACTGTTGGCTGCATCTTGTGAGAATCGAAACTCCGTTTCCTTATCGAAATTACTAATTCTATGCGAATTTATCGATATTTCAATGGATAATCCCAAAAAAACTGTGTTGTAAAAGACCACTGTTGTTTGAAATGCCGACACAAACGAATTTCGATGGTATGTGAATGTCAAACTAAAATATCAGGCGTTGAGTTTGACAGTTTCACAAATTTCGACATACGGCCAACAGGTGGTGCTGTTTTTGTATGCATCGCTGTTTTCAAATCAACTCGAAACGTTTCGTATTGAATCATACACACGTCACGTTTGAACTAGATTCTCAAATAAATTTACGATTTTTTTTTTATTGAACAAAATCACTGTTGTTCTGAGAAAATGGGATTTTCTGTTCCGAGCTAAATTGATGATATTCGCATTCTGACACCAATCAAAAGAACTAAATTATGATTTAAAAAATGAAGTCAAATTGATTGAATTTTTTTTTGTCAAAAATAAATGTTTAATTGTTAATTCATAGAGTGTTCCAATAACAAGTAAATGTTAAGCATATTTTTCATGTATAAAAATATTAAAAATGTTTCTCCGTTTAGTAACAATAATAAAAATAATTAATCCTAAATATATTTATTATTATAATAATTGGCTTATGTAGAATTTATTTTTTTTTTTGCTTTGTTCATTTGAATTGGTCTATTTTCATTAAAAGAAGAAAAAGGGAAGAAAAAGGGAATAATAAAGAAATGTATAATTGTAATCAATAACAGAAATTGGACTTGAAAAATGGATTTGTGTTTATATGCTGCTTGTCAGAATTATTTGCGTACAAAATCTAAATTGTTGATGCTGTTGTATTTGTAGTTTTGAGCTAGTTTATTCCATGGATAAATCGACGCAGTTCTTCTTCTGTATCGAAAATCATGACAGGGAATGGAGAACCAGGCACCAATTCTCCGGCCCATTTGACTTCAACGCGATAATCTCCCGGCTCGGTTGGATCATACTGAAAGGAACGAAAGACATTGAATGGTATGATTATTAAAATTATTTGCTTGCATTCAAAGTGAAGAAATAACAGCATTTTCTACATTGATATGGTTTTTTTTTTCATTCCATTTCCACTTACTTTACATAAAATGGTGCGATCTTTCTGACTTTCACGTTGCATTTCAACACGGAACGCACCTTTTGGCCCACGAACTCTAACTGTTAATTGACCCGCGCCAGCTCCACGTGTGTCGCATATGAAACGCGATTGGAATGTTGCCAATACGCCATGCTCAATACCAGGCCCATATACACGTACCTATGTATTTCAATTTAGACAAAACATTTAGAAACATCAACATTTTTCGTGCCATTCACTTTCAAATGAATGCATTCAAATTTAAAAGTTTCATATGAATCATATAATTTTGTGTAAATAGTTGTACCTTGCTGGCATCAGGAGCTCCGGCAACTTTCAGTGCGAATGGTGATCCAGCAACATGTTGACCACCGTATTTGATAGTAAGCAGATGTTTTCCCGGTTCTTGTGGCTTAACGTTAAGTGTGAATGTGGCATCACCATGATCGTACAATTCACAATATGCAACTTTTCGTGGACCGGTACAGTGAGCGGTTAGCTCACCGGGACCAGCACGACGCGTATCAATCCACGAACGAATTTCTCTGCCGACAACACCGTGTCTTAGTCCTTCACCCGAACACAACACTTTCGAAGCATCAATTGAAGTTCCGACTTGAACCGTCAATGGGCATCCCTTAATCAACCGATTGTTCCATTTGACGACTAAATTTAATGGGCCTGATGCTGATCGGCTCGGTGTATACGTTGCCAACCAAATGGCTTCACTTTGTTTGGGCTGTGTGAGTTCTACCGGTAGCGGTGATCCATTCGCATAAGTTAAGATGACTTCTGGTTTTCCGTTGGACGCTTGAAGTGCATCAATCGTAAAATGTGCACTATCTCCCGCTTGTGCGGCAGCCAATCCTCTTCCCGTCAACACAACTTTGTCCGATTGTTGTTGCACACCAACTACAGCACTTCGTGGACTTTGATAAATTGTCTGGCCGCTCCATGTTAAGTCAAAGTTATGTTCACCCGGTGTCAAACCATCAGCAGATATATAAATCCTCGACTTGCCATCGGCTTGTTTATCGATTGCTGCATAAAAGGAAAAAAAAACAAGAATTCATTTAAATTTCGTCTTCTTTTTTTTCAAATATTGCTAATTCTTACCTAGCACTCTGCCATCAACACTGCACATTAATTCTCCCGGTCCGGCTTGTGATGTGTCGAAAACGATCCGAGCGGGTAGAGCTAAACGGCCTTCTTCGTCTAAGAGTGCCGACCAGCCGCCAATCGGAATGACTTTGTTCGAATCGACACATGATATGTTCCACGGTGAACCAAATAATGGTCCCCGATTCGGACAGCTCACACGAATATCGTACTTTCCAACCGATAAAATTGTGTATGAAATTCGCCACTCGTTGTTGCCCAATGATTTAATTTTTGGTTCGATTCGTTCGCTCTGTTCATCGAACCGCTCGATTTGTACATTTGGCGTTGTTGGGCAATACACGGTGAACGATGTCTCTTTGCCACGATGTGCAACTTCTAAGCCATTGCCATTTGATACGTGCTGATTATCCAACTGATTTGAATCGAGTGCATTGACAGCAAAGGTCAACGGTGAACCGTTGATTGGTTCACCGCCATACAAAATATGCAATTTATAATGACCAGGTATATTTGGTATGAACTCAATGATAATTTGACCGTCGGCTTGTTGAATTGCTTGGACTGGAATATTTTGGCCGTTTGGCGCAATGGCCAACAATTCAATTTCAGCTTTTCCAGCATCCTCAGCATTCACTATTAAAATCGGAATTAATAAATATCAAATTGGTTTTCTCAAATCATTTAAGAATCATTTTTTAGAAAAATAATTTCAATTCAGAAGTGAGCACTTTGAAAAATTCATAAGAACTTTTGATTTATCGACTATACTTACACATGAAACAAATGGAATTGTGCACAATCAAAGGGCCTCTTGGAATTCCACGAATTGCAACTTTCTTTGGATCATATGATTCGCATGTAAACGGACTACCAGGCAATGGTTTCGATTGATGCAAAACCTCTGCGGATTGAGAAAAAAAACAATGCAAAAGTGAAAATCTGGTTGGAAACGCAAAATCAACACACTGTTTAGCTAAACTTACCAATTAAACATTGACCGATTTTATTGATTGTGAATTCAGCTTGCAATTGGCCACCTTTTGTTTGATAGCATCGTACGGGTAATGCTTCACCTCCAGGCCCAGAAACCACAACATCAAACTCTCTGGCTGGTTTTCCGTTTGTGTCAATTGAAAATGAAGTGGTTTTTCCCACACGACTTTGATACAAACCGAGCCCGCTAACATTGATTGCTTTCTGCGTTGGCGGCAGCACATTTATTTCGATTGCTTTGCTCGAAACCGGCACACCATTGTAGAATATGTTAATTTTATGCGGTGCAACACGAGTTGGTTGATAGACAATTTCGTATGAGCCACTCTTCGATGGGCCACGAATCGAGTGCGGTACTTCGGTATTTCCGCATCGAACCAATGCGCTCAAACTACCTTTGCCAGCATCATAAATGGACAGTGCAATTACAGACGGTCGATTGCATACCGCTTCGCCGACTTCGGTGATTTTAATGAGAGCCGGATCGAAAATGTGTAGCGTTTTGGTTGTAATCAGTGTACGCGTTTCGATATCGAAGAATTGAATAACGTATGTGCCAATGGAGTTTGTTTTGAATTCGGCTACATTTTTGGTGACATTGTATGGCACGGATTTTCCATTTGGGCCAACAATTTCGATGATTTGATCGTCGCTGATATTGTCGACAGCCGCAATGCTGCCCACTTGCAAGTAGAGCGTATTTTGATGCACATCGACACGGAACGGATTGCCTTCAACAGCCACATCGTTGAAGGTAATATTGACAAAATGAGGTTCGACCGTATGCGGAATGAATGTTACGTCATATAATCCACGTGCAACGGCAACCACTTCAGCTTTCACCGTACTCGTTGCGGTTGATACAATCAATTCAAGCGTTCCCTCACCGGCACCGGCCGCATCAACCGAGAATGTTACTGGCACACCCAATGATGTGGGCCCATTGTGTTGCTCTAGACCGGTGATTGAAACGCGCGACACATCGAAAACATTGCATGAAAACGGCGAGCCGCCGATGTGTTGATCGTTTGTTGTCACCGAAATCATATGGCGACCGACGACATTGGGACGATACTTTACAATATACTTATCATTTTGATGCACAACTTTGCACGACACATTTTCGCCCGTTGGCGATGCAATTGCCACAGTTGGTTCAACACCATCGATGCCTTCGATTTCGAATGTGTTATCGCTTTTGATGGATGCTTGTTTGATGCCATCGCCGGTGACTGCGGTTTTCAGTTGTGATGTCGGTGCTGAAGCGATGTTACATGAAAATGGCGACCCAGGAACGGGTAGTCCATTGAATTTCACGGACAGTGAATGTGTTGCCGCTTCGGTTGGTCTGAAATTAACCTTGAAGCGTGCATTACCTTCGGATTGAACGAAGTTTGGAACATTTTTGCCATTAACAGCGACAATAATCTCCAAATTGCCAGCACCAGCTTGACTTGCATTGATGCCAAAACTAACACTTTTTCCTACTACTCCTGGTTTTATATCTGTAACAATGACTTTTTCCGCTGAATATGCTTTCAAAATAAATGGACTTCCCTCGACATGACCACTATTCTCAGCCATTCGTACATCGATTGTGTGATCGCCCACTTCTTTTGGCTCGAATTTAACCTTGAATCCATTGCTAACCGCTTCAATTTCCGATGGAATCGATTTCAATGCCGGTCCAACGACATCGACGTGCGGCATTGCATCCGATTCAACGATAAATTCAAATGTTTGACCAACGCTTACTTTATCGAATGTTTCTGGCGAAATGATTTTGGCACCAGCCGAAATTTTGCAAATGAATGGACTGCCGGGCACGTCTTGGCCATTGAAGCGTAAATCAACTGTATGATTTTGTGGTTCACGTGGCGTAAAACTTATTGCGTACGTATGTTGATTCTGGGCTTGGGCCGATGTTGGAACACGACCACCGTTCACCTTAGGATATATTTGGATAAGATTCACCTTAAGATATATTCTTGGATGGGAAAAGCCGTTTAACGAAGCAAAAGCAAAATCAATACTCACGGTCACTTCTAGATTGCCAGGTCCTGCTTGTGATGTTTCCACTATGAATACCACCGGTTTTCCAACGCTGCCAGTTGTTACGTTTTTCACTTTAATTGCACTCACGTCGTACACCTTCAAAGATTTCAGAAAAATGATGATTGATTGATCGGTTTTCGTATGAAAAAAATAAATGTTGAATTTTAGGAAATTCAGCTACTCTACCTTAGCCGAATATGGGCTTCCAGAAGTCGGTCTGCCGTTTAGCGTCACACTGATTTTATGTTCGCCAACTGAACGCGGAACAAAATCAGCTTTGAATACACCGTCAGCTGTTTGCGATACTTGTGCCGGTATCGATTGTCCCGATGGACCTGTGCGTATGTGTGTGTGTGTGTGTGTCGTACAATTCAATTCAATTCGATTGAATGATGGCCGAAGCGCGATGGAAGAAGTCAAAGGAAGATTTTGTTTAACTTTGTGTTTCTTTTTTCTTTTCAAGTCGATATTAATGTTCGGTCAGCGTTTAAGCGACACGAGTTATTGATATCTACGTTATTTTAAAACTAACTATTAATATGATTAAGAAGAACAAAGAAATGAAAATAGAATCCGTGCACAAGACATGCATGCCAATTATTAATTAGCTACCAACACCACAACACGCTATTCCCTCCTTATGAATATGGTTAATGTATTTTTTTTTTTTTTACGTATTATGGCTTTAATTCCGTTGAGAAGAGAACAAATTTGATAAAGAAACAAAAATGTATCCGTTTCCCCTTGAAAATTAGCTCAATTGTATATTTTATGTTGGGCAAGTAAGATTATCATCAGTTAAACTACAAGCTCTACGAACAGAAAAGAATAATGGAAAGGAAAAATTTAAGAAAAAAAAAACGCTTCCTTTTTTTCTAAATGCGAAACTGGATGTAAATATGTCCAGTGCTATGCCGTTAGCAGAAATATTTCGCAGGACACAAATTCATGTGTGTGTTTTTTTTATCCTGGATCTTAGAGCCGCATTTTTTTTTAAATTGTTGTTAGATTTGTATTATAATACAAACTACGGCGGAGAATTTCATTTAGATTAATTGAATAAAACAAAATGGTTTTTAATCTTTGTTATTGAAATATAGAACTGGTCAAAAAATAGAAAGAAATAGAAACAAGCAAATTGTTTTTATTTTGTTTGTTTAGATTTTTTTTTAAAAAGCAACTAAATTGTCCACAATGTCTTAGTACAAAAGTCTTCGTCGCCCTGGAATGGATACAAAGAGGAGTGAATGCATTTAGTTGTAGAATTTCAAATTGAATTTCATATTCAAAAAATCTAATTTAAAATCTGTAAAAATGAAAATTCTTGCTTGTCGATTTCGAGAAATATACATAAACAAGCACATGCTCAAAACAAATGGTTCAATTTTGATTCAGCTGCGTAGAAGAAAATGAAAAAAAATATTGAGCGAACAAAAAAAAAACAAATCACCGAATAATCTCATTTCGAAATCGTTTTCTGAAGCAGAAAAATATTCACGAAGCCGAACAGACGCTTTCAACTGTAAATGCATTTTCAATTTGATTGATTAAATTAAATAACGGTCAAATAAATTCATACCATAATATTATCTATATCTATAAAATATACAACAGTATTTACAGATTCGATTTCTATTTACAGTTTTAGCTCACCATGCATAAATTATACGCGGCACAGCCAGAGAGGCAGAGAGAGAGAGGGAGAGGGAGAGATATACTAAAAAGATTTCAACAACTGAGAGTACAATAAAAACAGAGAAAAAAAGAGTACAACAACAAAAATACTTCAAAGTATAAATAAATGTACAGATGTAGAAGGATAGCCGATTAAAATGCCGATCGTGCAATGAAATAAGTGAAAATCTATGTACAAATTCATCAAAGTCCGAACACGTTTTCGTTTCTTATTGGCCAACCAAAGAATAATGTCCAACTAAAAATGTTTCTGTTTTGGAAAATGATGACGAAATTGCTTACAACATACGCTTATGTTCTATATGGTATTTATATATAAAGAAAAAATCGCATTGGATGCGATCAAAATACCTTCAACATTGACTTCGATATCTTCGAGACGACCATCGGTGTGATTAATAGTCAGTGAATTTGGTAAGTGAACGGGTCCTGGTCCGCTCAATGTAACTTGCGGACCGATTGATGAACCGCTTATTGGCACAGTTATTGGACAGTTCGGCACCGATACTTTATTAAATGACACGCTAATTATGTGATCGCAGGCTTCTGCCGGTACAAATGAAACGGTGAATCTGTGAATGAAGTGAAAGTCGTTTAGCACACACAAAAAAGAAGCAAAACAAAGTTATGTCGATCAAATCAGATGAATGTCTTTTTAATCGTTTAATATGTGGTCGCTTACTTGGCATTTCCTTGTGGATGCACTTGTGTTGGGATATTGTGGCCCTTTGCTGATATTGTTATTTCTAAGTTTCCTTCTCCCGCATCACCAGCATCGACTGTGAATTGAACGGTTCTGCCAACCGTACCTTTGCTTACCGAACCAACGACCACATTCGTCGAATCGTATGATTTTGCAATGAAAGGCGTTCCCTGAAATACACATATGTCACACAGAACGTTTAGTCATTAACATATGCCCACACACTAAGACACATTTCATTCCATGCACGAACATCTAAATGATGTCATGCTGCATTGCAAATCAAATTTCAAAAGCGAATGGCATTTAATGATGAATAAGAGTGAGAGATTAAGGTTTGGCTTACTTGCACAGCGTAACCATTATATTCGACATTGATTGTGTGCGCTCCGACTGTGGTTGGCATGAACTCTGCATTGAATCCACTTTGAACGTCGCCTTTAATTCGAACTGGCAATTCACCCTGTGGACCTCTCACACTGACAGCTAATTCAGCTGCACCACCTCCGCTTACGCTAATATGAAATGTCGCTGGCTTTTTCACAGGAATTAAATCTGTACACATCAAATAAAATGCGCATTACTAACATTTTCGACACCAAAAATGCAATCGTATTGACAACAAAATTCGTCGCTGTTATATTATAAATGCTTTGACATGATCTAGAATATACAACGAATTATCGAGCGAATGTATTTGATAAATGGTGTCTCTGAATCGAAAAGAAACAAGTGTTGGTGTCATTGGAAAGAAAAAAAAACTGGTTCTTACCTAAATTAGCTAAGTTTAACGATACTCGACTTGTGTCGGCTATTGCGCAAACAAACGGACATCCGTCAACTGTTTCGCCGTTGAATTTAATGTCGATGTAGTGTGGTTTTGCAATTTCGGGTGTAAACGAAACCAAACATCGACCGCCGCCAACAACTTGCACGTGATTCGGCACTTCACCTTCATTTATCGAAATTTCTAACTGACCTTCTCCGGCTTGACTTGCGTCAACTGGAAAAATATAAACAAAATAATAACAATATGATATGAATAAAATTCGTCAAAAAGTCATGGAATTCCGTTGAACAAATGGTTTAGTTGTTCGTTGGAAAATTTACCTCGAAATTGACATGGTTGACCTACAACTCCTCCATTTACGTCTGTTACTTGAATTAAACTTGAATCATATACTTTTGCTATAAGTGGTCCTCCCGCTAATTTTGTACCACCAATTGATGCTTCAATGACCTGTTGAGCGAATGCGAAACATTTTGCAAGATAATAATTTTTCGTTTCTTCTTCAGTTGAATCAGCAACGTAAATTATCGTCAATCAAAAAACCATCAACAACTTACGTGTGTTCCAACTTCGTTTGGGACGAATTCGATGCGCAAGGCACCGTTCCCAGCCGCCTCATGGGTGATTCTCGCATTGACTTTGTTTTTGCTAGGTGACAAAACCGATGCTACACAATCTTCTCTATTTAGAGTTGATCCAGGAGGCGGCAGTATCTCAAAAACCGCCGGCGACTTGGCTGGAACAAGACGACTTGATTCACCTAACGGTGTAAAACCAGGCGATGACATTATATCTATGTGCCACGGTGATCCTATGCGAATTTTAAAACGAAAGACAAAAAAAAAGAAAGAAACAAAACCAAATCGAGATTCTCATCATTAAATAAACTCGCAAAAGGTGTGCCACAACCTAATTTCTGGTTATAGCAGCCGTTATAATAAACCATTCTCAAATAATAATTTTTATATTTTAGAAAATTTCACTTTAATCATATAAAATTTTGCAGCCCAACCGCACAATCTATTCAACAACGTCACAACTATAACAATTTGGTGAAGGAAACGGTTCTTTTACGAAAACAACAACCGAACGCGAAAAACAAAATACTCGAAAGAAAATGAAATTGGTGATAATGGTGATAATTTGATGTTGATGTTTCTCTCTTCTGTTATTTTTGCAGAGCGTGTTGCAGCAGCGCACCACATGCAGACACCACATTCACTTTCTCATTTTCGAAAATCATGGTCCGTGCATTTCTGGCATTTATTGCCTTCTTATTTTTATTTTTTTCGTTTTTAATTTGGTTTCGCTTGTCTTTATGATCACTTTTGCTGATTTTTCTTAGCCATTTCTTCTCATGATATGATGTGCGTTTTTCTTCTCCTCCTTCACCTCCATCTTCTTCTTCAACTTTTCTCGTCTTTACTTTACTATCGGTGATTTGGGGGGTTCTCCAAAAAAAAATCGATGATTTCGTGGCTCGAAAACGAACAGCTTATGGATTTTTGAGATAATGTATCCGTGTATGTGTGAGTATGTGCCATTTTAATGTTGGCTCTCTTTTCCTTTCGAAATATGATAATTCGCCAGGCAGCAGCCATAATTGAAAACAGAACTTCATCGTGTGCATCCAGCGAAAAGTGTATTGCATGTGTGAGCAGAGCACCGTATATAAGTCACGGATTGTATGTACACTTTCTCAAAATGTTCATTATCTACTTGCATTCGCGTTGAATGTATGCGTTCTGCAGTCGACGAGCTATTGTTTTTTTTTCCACTGTATGTTTCTTGCTGTTCTTATTCCTTCGTTTGTTTTTATTATCGACTTTCTTGAACGCGCGCGGCCCAAAACACATACGTTCGCTGTATGTGGCACTAGGCGAAAACGAGCACACATACACATTCGAAGAAAGAAAGAAAAAACATCGATTTTTACAGATGAGTTCTCGTTAATAGCATAGTGGCGTTTGCATGAAAGCGTTACAAGCGATAGAAGACATTGCAAGAAGAAATAAAAGAAACGCGTCGAACCCAAAAGCTGCGCTCACTTCAATAGATATATTCATTGCTCATCAGTCATTATGATGCTTGGTTTTCAACAATTTTTTTTTCATTATCAGCCTATTGATTTGACTGCGTGAAGAAGAAAAAACAAATTCAATGCAATTCATCTACTTTGTTTTATGTATGTACGCACATTCCTTACGGAACACACCTCTTTTGTTTGCATTTTATTTGCCATTTTTTACGATTTTTTTCTTCTATCCACTCGATATTGATGGTAAATTAACGCATTTCTAATCGTTCATGCATTTACGAATCGCAATTATTCGTATATGCGAATAGGGTGTGTATTTCATCAAAATGCACACACAAAAGGCGAGAAAAAATAACATCAACAATGCACACGTGTTTACTGAAATATTATCGAATGTGCAACAGGTGAAGGTCGAAAAAAGTAAACGAAAAATAAATGAAGGAAAAAAGAAGTGCGCGCGCGTTAATTTTAATTGAAACTGGGCCTGATTTATAGACAACTTTTAGCAAATCGATGTAGCAATAAAAAACGTAAAATTGCAACAAGCATAATCGATATTCACAGACATAATGTGTGATTGAATTATATGCACGCAAAATGAACGAAAAAGTGTATTTGTATTAAAATACTACATGCCAATACGTTGTAACGCAGTACGATTATGGGCTTTTATCATGATCATGCATTAGCATTAACAAGACATACGGCATTTGCACGCGTATAAGAGTGTGTATCTTACTCAGCCCATAATATATCGAATTCAAACGAAAGAAAATTATATCGAAGTGAAACGAGAATTTCTGGTTTTGCATTCACTCATTTATTCACCACGTTTTCTTTAGGCTCGGTTTTTTTTCTCGTTCGGTTCATGCATTTTCATTTTATTGGTATGTTTTGCTCCTCATTGTTTCGTTTTACTTTCCAGAAAGAGTCACAAGAATGTGGTTTGCTCTTTTTTCTCTTCTTTTTTTTCTTATTTTTCTTCTGTGTAGCTGTTTGCTCTTAGATCTGCTTTACTTTTTTTTTCTCTATGGTTCATTTCTTGTTTCACGCAAACAGAGTGCAGTCGGAAATGGAAACGTGACTTTTGGTTACCATGGGCACTATCACTATGCTAGAATCGATGTAGACGTGCTATCATCGTTAGCTAATGCTTGGACATGATATGCAAATCGATTAAATGAAGTGCCACGCATCAATATGTGATTCATTCATTCATTCATTCCGTTTGAATTTTGCTGTTTTGCTGTCGCATAACATGTTTCTCTTTCGTTTCGTTTCATTTCGAAAATAAACATTTGTTTTGATTGCAATTCATTTCCTCCGTTACAATTGGCACAGTATAGCTGACTAAAATGTCAGCTGTTGAAAATTGAGCTATTTTCAAAAGCCATAACATTGAAGAACGTTGGTAATAACAACAACAATCTCATCATCATCGTCATCATTATTGAACCGGTGACGTGCCAAAATGATTCACCAGGTTATTTTTTTCTTCTTCTTTGGATTGGAGAAGATTCTCGTGCTCTTTTTTTCAATTGACTTTTTTGGAAATTGCTGATTGAATTCGGTTTTTTTTCTTCTTCAACATCGTATGTGGGGTATTCTGAAAGTTGATCTAATAAAGAGAAAGATTCGAAAGGTTGTTGTTTCTTTTTGGAAATACATTTTTGTGTATCACATCTTGGAGGCGCATAAGAATGAAGAGTATATATACAGAGCACAACCGCCCACACGATCACACGCATAAAAAAGAAACGAAAAATGAATGGAACGGTAAAAAAAAAATTTCATTCCATATTACCGCTTTTTATGGGTCGTGATTATTTACTGTTTTAACGCAGAAAAATAATAATCAGATGGAAAATTTTTGTTTGTTTTAAAAACTATTCGCAAAAAAATGGAACATTTTCATTTCATAAACAAATCATATTTATATGCATACGAAATGGAGGAGCATTTGAAATAGTTTCGCTCGTAAATTGTGCACTATTTTCTTCCTTGAAGTTTATTGATGTGTTTTAAACCGAATTACCGACTGAACATTTACAATCCAATACAGAGAGATAGAAGATAGAGGTTGAAGCATTTTGAAGAAGATGAATCGATGAAGAAAAACAAAAACGCGCACATATTTCCATAAGAGGAAATAAATGAATGCAACAACAATAACCGAGTTATGATAAACTTCAGGAACTTGATGTGAAAAGATAAGGCATTGAAAGGGGAATTTATAATGAATCGCATCGTATTTCGTAATCCAATAAAGTGATTGTATAGTTCAGTATGCAGTTTCTGTATCTTTAACAGCAGCACTTATTTCAGCATATGAGTGTTGTTTTGTTTTGAGGCAAATTCAATTTTTATTTATTTCGTTTGTTTCATTGCCGTCATCGTCTTCTTCTTCTGTTTTTGCGTTTCTATTATTCATTCGAGCGCATTTTTCTCAACGTTAAAAAGGTTCGTCGTCTTAATTTATTATTATATGTATTGTAGAGTATGTATGTTGTGCGGGTTCATACGAATCGTCAATGCTTGTCAGTTTAAGCACGTTGATGATGATCATGATGTTAAGATACTAAAACATCCTAGAGTGTATATGATTTTGTTGTTCTTTTTTTTCCTTCTTCTTCTTCTTCTTCTTCACTTCGTTCGACTGTGAATAGAATGTGGATAATGCGTGTGCATGTAGGGTATGTGTTTTAGCTTTTGAAATGAGATGGTAGGCACCAAACGTAAGTGCGCAGTGCCAACGTTACACATGCCGCATACAAAATAACACCTCATTCTCTCTATCTACACATCATTCTAGACCACAAATAAACAGCCAAACAAGACAAGAAGACATGGGTTATGCCTACAAAAATTCTATATACGATACACACAAGCAGCACAAGCAGCACAACCAGCACACAAAATTAAAAGAAGAAGAAAAAAGAAGACTTGTGACACAAAACAAAAGAATCGAATGGAAGCACATAGCTAACTAATAAAATTGAAATAAATGAAATGGAATACGCGTCGAAATGAGCAAATAATTTATGCGATACTCTTGCTCATTTATAAATGAGTACAGTTTTGTTGATGTCGTTGCTGTTGCTGTTGTTGTTGTTGGTGCTCTTCACTTGTTTCGTGTTTGATGAACCAATCCATACAATGTCAACGTTCTCTATTGTTCCGTTTTGTTTCGGTTTAATATTTCTTTTTTTTTTGCTACACCAATATACATAGTATGGGCTGAAGATGAAATCAGCGCTTGTCTGTCTCTTATTTTAGTAAGTAGGAAACAATAAAAAAAATTGATTCTCTAGGTGCGCACACCCATGCACATAAATAGAGATGTGAATGCAATACAAAAGAAAAAATGTTTCTCGAAAATCAATTAGATTTGATTGCTTGGAAAAGTGCATAAACAATACGAATTATTGATCAAAGATGTCGATTCGTTGTTGTTGTCGTTTTCTTCTTTTGTCATTTCCGTTTATCGTGTGTCTGTGCGTATGCAGTTTGCCGCCTAAGTCGCGGCAAACTCGTTAGATAAAAGATCTATGCCCAGTAAAAGTAGTCTGTCAATATCATATTATGCACAGATATTGTCGCCACAAACATGATTTCTCCATTTCTTCTTTGTGCGATCGATTCGAAATATGGAATGCAATGCGGATATACATATTGATATGTTGATCGGTTAGATATTCGTTCTGTACTAGTTGAAGTCTTAATATAGGGGTTTAGTTCCGTTTATCACTGATTTGTTCAAGTAGACAACAAACTCTTTCTCGCTTATTTATTTTCATCACTAACTCAACTTTGCACTGTTTATTCGTTTTTCTTCACCTTCTTCTTCTTCTGTTGTTCAATTCAATTTGTATTCTTTACTTTTCTTTTTTTTGTCAATGTAATCATTTGCATCGTGGATAATCAAAAACACACGATTTGCAATGCACCTTTTTCGCACGATTTCAAACCAACATTTACATTTCAAGTTAGAACGGTTCGGCGACAAAATGACGCCACCACATCCAATTAACCGAAGAAATTCAATCGGACAAACAAAATTGGCTTAAAAATTGTATGATTTGTCACGTCATCTATAGCACTGTATAATAAATACTTTTGGTATTTCTTTTGTAGGGCTTTTGTTTTGCCTTTTTTGAGGCTCATCTTTTTTGTTAGCTTAATTTATTCACATTCATAGACTTGGGCAATTTTTTGCATGAAAAATGGCTGAATTCAGCATTTCTTTTTTTTTATCATATCAACGTTGGCTTTCGTTTCCTCTTTCAATTTTCACACCGCTCAGCGATCGATTGACATACAAAACGGACCGAACAAAAAAACCCATTGAATATCAAGTGAATTGATAATTTTTTTTTTTACACATAAAAAAGAATCTGTGGTTGGCTGCGATGAAAATGAAGATAAAAAAAACGAAAGAGAAAAATAAAATGGTATACACGTACAAAACATACAGGGTATAGTAATGGAGCGAACAGCACCAACAACGATATTCACAAACGCACCTTGCACTAATGATCAACTAAACGAGACTAATGCCGTCGCCAACAACATTGGCTTCGAAAAATCGGCTTCCATCGGGAAACGGAGAAAAAGAGCAAAAAATCGACGAAATGAAAGAAAAGAAAAATACTGAAGACCTGAAGAGCAGAAAAGAAATTCGTGATGAAGAAGCAAACAGGAGAAAGAGATAGTCAGAGAGAGAGAAAACGAAAGAAGTGCCAAGATGTAAAACAAAGACACACCGATAATACACAAGCGGAACGCTTACCAACAAGCACAAGAATTTGAGAGCAGCCAAACACCGTATGCTTGGCTCACAGGTAAACTCATGCTTCTCCCACCAATACAATCAAAGTATATTCAATGACGTATACACACAGTAAGGTAGACATTATGTTTGCCGCATCGAGTAACATGATCGTTTTCTTACTGCAACACACCGTGCGCTTCATTGAAAGAAAGACGCTCACGATGCGCACTTCGTCGCGCTCGTTTTCACGAACGCTTCAAATGGCATTCAAGGAATTCTCTTCTTCGGCTCTACCAGTGGACAGCGCCCAAATAAGTCACAACCGAACGAACTTTCACACAAAAAATGTCACAATTTTTTTTTTTTTTCGCAAATATTTGTTGTTTTTCTTTGTTGTTCCGTATCGGTCACACGTCTTTGCGGAGGAAAAAAATCACTTGCGATTAAAATGTTAAACGTTTTAATTTAATATGATCACTTTATGAATGGAAAATAAGGTCGCAAATATCTCAATAATTGATTCCATTTGATCAATTAGATAGAGATGTGATCTCATTTTTTCCTCTATTTTCATCAGATCATTCCATTTTTTTTAATCCACATTGGACTTTTCCACAAAATATTCCACGTGAAATATTTCATGAAAAGAGTGGATTGAAATTGAAGAAATTCCAAAAAATAAATTCTCTAGATCCTGTTTTATTATCGTTGAGTACCGACACTGACATTGAAATAAAAATACGACTCACATAACATTCATTTCAAACGATCGGTTGCCGATATAAAAATAGCTCAATATAATGTGGTTGGGCTGTCAAAATTTCAGAAGCAAGTGTGAATAATTTCTATTTTTAAAAATTAATTACTTCGATTGTTATTTTAAAGAAAAATTAAAAATATCCCACCTGGAACTGTTTCACCATTGAATGTGATCTGCACGATTGTGTTGCCGGGCTCGTGCGGTATAAAGCTGGCTATAAATCTTTGTGCACCGAGCGCACGAACAGAAGATGTGACACGACCGCCATTGACTAAGATTTCTAAATTCCCAGAACCGGCCTGTGATCCATCAACTTTATCGTAATGAAATCCAATGATCATCACATTAGTTTGATTCAGAGATGGTTGATCGTTTACCGCAAGTGTATGGAAATGTGTATCGGTATATACTTAAACGTTTACCTTTGCGTTGAACGCGCGGAGCACATGCGTCAACTCATATTTTAGTGAGAGCGGACGCGTTATTTAACGCAAAGGTAAATCAATGTAAATATACCATACTGTACCGAGTACAGTAAATTCAACGAATTGATATACATTTACATCATCTCTGGTTTGATTTGATTTAACGCACAAATTTGCAAGTTTGCAACTTACTTTCGAATTCAACCGGTCGTCCAACGGCACCATTTGGAATATCTTGTACGCGGATCGCTCTAGCACCGGACACATCTTTGTCGATTGGACGGAATCGATGTGATGATCCATAGCCGTAGTCGCTGTCGGTTTTTGTCGAATATTCTTGTCGTTCTTTTAGAGTTGTGTACTGCTTGTTTGTGCTTGAATCTTGTTTTGACGATAGTGATGTGGTTGGTCTAAGATAATCGATAAACATTTATTTTTGGAAATTGAATCAAAATGCAAAATGAAATGTCGAATTTTGATGACAGTTTCAATAATTTCTATTGAACTATTGATTCATTATTTTTTTTTTTTGGCAAAAAACTTCTTTTTGCGTGAAAAACCAACTTACGAGTAAATTTTGTAACGGTCTGAGATATCATCCGAGCCTCGACGTTCGGTTGACCGTTTCTCGACCAATTCGAATTTATTGTATCGTGTATTGTATTCGGTTTCGCTGTCCAAACCGCGTGGACGGTTGTACGATAAATCAGTGTTTAATTGCGTTTCGGTCATGTTTGCCAATGATTCGAGTGAATTATGCGATAGAATATTTTTTGTTTTGTTTAAAACATCCCAGCTGTCTCTTCGAGCATTGTTATTGTTCTTCAAACCAGATACGCGCACATTGTGCGAACTATCAACAGGATCTAGAGAATGAGTGATTTCATCATTAATTGAGTCAGGTATTTATGAATTTAGACGAGAATCGCTGATGATTTTACCAGGACTAGAAATGCGCTTTGCTACTGGATATGATGGACTTCTTCGAGTATCATCGGATGATGTGTAGTTGGACGATGTTTTATATGATGAAATTTTTTCCGTCATTTTATATGTTTCACCGGCTCCAGTCTGAAAATGCAAATTCAATTATCGTTTAAATGAATCAATTTCTTCAAGCCATTCATCCTGCATGCACTCACTTTTACTGTCAATGGGCTAGTTAATGGTGTGGTCACTCGATGTGTTATGGTTGTAATTGGGCTTGTGACACGATGCATATTGATTGGACTTGCGATTCGTTGTGTGGATGCTGGCACATAATTTACAGGTGATGCTCGTTCAACTTGTGCAACTTGTGACGTTGGCGACAGTGAATAATTTCTTGGGCTAGATACATGATTTCGGCTTGACGATTCGTATCGGCTGGTTGTGGTTGTAATGGTCAAAGGGCTATTTCTTGGAATTGGGCTGGTTGCTTGCATCTATGTGTCCAATCCAAAAACGAGAAAAGAAAAAGAAACGATCAGATTTCTGATTTACTGTCAATTCGAGAAATATTTAAATTCAAGTGTGTTAAACCCACATGGATCGGACTGGAAATAGGATTGAATACGTTTTTATTGCGAGAACTATAATTGTCACTGTATGAATTTTTCGAAACATAGCTGGACGAATACTTTTCACTTCTCGGTGGCAAAAGTGTTGTATCGGTTTCATTCTTTTTCGAATGGAATTCATTCTCTTTGTTGTAGTAGTAATCGTTGCTGGTTTTTCGTAGATCCGAATTCAGACTAGTCGAATAGGTTTCGGTACCGTATTTCTCTTCTCGGCGCGGTGACTGCAATCTCGGTGAATACACCTGCTAATAAATAGAAGAAAAAAAATTTTCAACATAAAATTCATTCGGAAACTAAATGTGAGTGTCTCTTTGTGTGAGTTTAACTACCTCTTCTCGTTTGTTCGTATAATAGTTGGACGTTTTGTAAATATCGTCATGGGAACTGTTGTATTGCGGCGAAAATGAGCGACTGATTTCATGATCGTATAAATCTTTTTTGGCATTACGGAAATCGTTGTGTTTTGTGGATGTGGTTGTGGTATAGTGCATCGATGGACTTTCCGAACGGTATCGATTTTCGTGCGTGCGAGTTTTTCCGGATCGTCCCTTTGTACCAACGCGCATAATGTATGGTGATCCTTTGACATCGTATCCATTGAAGTAGATATAAACGCGATATTTGCCATTTTGACGCGGCATAAATGTGACACGGTACTTATTCTCCACTAATTTCTCAACCGAACAAACTAATGAATGCTTTTCGTGTACAATGTCCACATGCAGTTCACCGCTGACCCCAACACCTCGTGCATCGATTTCAAATGAATGCGCCCGCATTGGCATGGCACCGTCGAGACCATGGACTGACACACCGTTTGGATCGAACACAGCACATGTAAATGGTCCACCTTGAATATGTCTACCTTGATACGTGATGGCAATTTCCCAAATACCAGCTTCGTCTGGTTTGAATATGGCACTATGACCTTCACTCAATTTTTTCAACGGGCATTTCAGTGAACGGCCACTTGGACTGTACGCGGTCACTAGAATGTCTTCCGATTTTGGAGCACCGGTTGCATTTACCAACACTTCAACCAAGCTTCCGATAGCGCATGGAGCCATTCCGGGCGGAGCAACTTGAACGAACCGAGGCAACACACGGAAGAAATGTCCACCCAATCTAGAAAATATTCAAAGAAACGAATATAAATTTCGATCGAATTTGAATTGGCTATTTCGTCAAAACCAACTTACTTGTCTTCATTGACTTCAATTTGGATTTCATGCATTCCATATTTGTCTGGCACGAAACTTCCTTGGCCACTGGAATTCAGTTTGACTGATTGTTGAATTCCGGTCGGTGGAATCACGTACGCTCGAACCGAAGTGTTGTCAATTTCATGATTCAAAATTTCAACTCGGAAGTAAGTCTGTTGTCGAGTAAAGAAAAAATTTTGATTAAAATTAAATGAATCGACAAGGAAACTTGAACTTTTACGAAACCAAAGTCATTTCAATTGCTAAGAATAAAACTTACTGGTTCTCCAACCCGTCCCGATGTACTCTCCAAATGAACGGCGATCGAATCAGATAGCGGTGCTCTTGGCGTAACCCACTGCAAATTGGCAGCATAAGCCATAATGCCTAAATGTTCAACATCTGGATTAGTCATGTCTTTCGGTGATAAAACTGGTTGGACGCCCAAACGTTTGCCGGCATCAACAGCCTTCTTGACATTGCTTTCCCAATACGAATGATGGGTGTTCAATGATTCTGGCGCTGGCGCTGGACCGCCCAGCCCTTTAATTATTTCGTTAAATGCGCGACCATCATTCCAGTCAGTCTAAAAAAAGGCAAATATGAAATTATTTCCGCTCAATTCCATCTAAAAAAAAAACTTTGTCCAAGCAAAATTCTATCAATCACATCTGAACTAACCGTGAAATTGTTAACTTCGTGTTTCAGCTGACTATTTGCCCACCTCATAGTAGCATTGTAGCCTGGTCCGCCAGGTTTCATAAAATACGACAGATACGTCATGCCCGACAGTTCGTCGAGCCATGGTGATGCCAAGTATTCGGGTTCGAGTACTTTTGGAATGCCGAATTCTCGCTGAGCAATATTCATTGCATTTGTACAGTTGCGAACGCTTTGGTTTGGATCAATCTGGTTCCAGTGTGGAAATAGACCTGGCTGACAGTAGTCAAGCAGTGCCGATAAATTAACACCGCTATTCCAATCGGTTGTAAGATTGTTAATCTTGCATTTCGGTAGCGCTGCCTGTAACCAAGCCAACATGAGCTTACGAGGTGGAAATTTACTACGACCAATTTGATAGCGCACAATCAGCGACCAGATCAAACCCAATATCAATTTCACATTTCCGTTGACTATATCGACATTGCCTGTATTTTCAAAAATTGTATTTGATTATGATTCTGTGCGATTTTAAATAACTGCCCAATTGTTCGAATTAAAATCAATTTATTTTCTCACCGATGTTGACAAGTTTGATGCCATCTTCTTCGATAGCTTTAAGAGCAACCGATGCATTTTCCAAGTAGTGATGTTGATTCGCTGGACGACGATTCCATCCCTTCAGGGGACGCTTCTGCAAATTCTCAACCAATGTACACAAATGCGTACCATCACAGAAATCAGTGGTCCAATCGGAAACCTAAATTAAAATTGGAATAATTTTTTTTCTTTAATTGAACAGAAAGAAATTGGATCTGAAAAACATTTCTTTCACAATGAGTTGATTTTTCTACCTGCATATCTGGATCTTTCAAATGTTCATTCACCCAATTGCGAAATGTATTCGCTTGAATTTCCACCCATAAATCTTCATTACCGCGAATGTTCATGCCTTTGGCGGCCGTACCTTCAGGACTGCGCGCAACCAAACCGGCATGTGTGATCTTCTGCAGATCCGTTGTTCCATCTGCATTGTGCTGCAATAACCCAGCATGGGTCACCTTCGCATCCTTTATATCCCGTAAATCCATTGTAAATGTTAGCAACACCTCAATGTGAGCATATTTAATTATATCTTCTATTTACACCGCAATGAAAACAAACACGTTTACAATCGATTTTTCTGTTACACACTAAATTTACTCTAAGATCGATTTTTTGTTTATTTATCTGAAAAAGAAAGAAACCAATCAGTTGAATTAGGTAGACGTAGTGATTGATTCACTTCTGTCGGAACAATAGCCACGTTTTTTCTCTCTCTTCATTAAAATAAAACAAAACAAAACCAAACTAAGAGAAAAAAAACCGTTTTGCATGCGCAAAACGAAACAAGGAACTAATAAAATACAGGTGTTTTATCGAGATTCACGCGCCAATGATTTTGATTGAGTCGTTGCTTGGGTGCTGTACACTGTTTTATGTGTGTGTCTGTATATTTTCCTACTATAGTTGGTGCAAACCGAACTAACGTAACTTTTATTCGATTTGGTCAAACCACGTATTACGGTAATGTTCGTAACTTACCGCGACAGCCTCAAATTTGGCTCTACTCTTACTTTTCTATAATTTGATTCCAGTCTTACTGCAGTATCACACCCGAGTATGCGTTTCTAGCCTTCATCACATTACGTGAATTCTACAAATAACTCGTTCACTTCATGCCAAACAAACAATTTCTATAAATAAATTCATTTTGTTGTTTCGCCCGAAAAAATAAAACTAGGTAATCGCTTAAAATGGACAAAATTGATTTGTAAGTCATTTAATTAGTGATAAAAAGAAAGCTTTATGGATTTCATTTAAACGGCAGCGTGCTCGATGGTTTGGCGCGTGCATGTGCAACCAACATTGAAGTGCCACGTAAGAATCAAGAGATTTTTTATTCATTTTGCACTGCACAAAATTTGATTTTGAATTACTATCCAATTGCAATAATTTAAACTTCAATGTAATCAACACGACAGACAGCTGTCACTCACGATTCACACAAATCATAAAAATGTACATGATTTTACAATTTCGGTTTCACTTTTCCATGGAATTTCGTTATTTTTTGTTGTTATGTTATCAGCAAATGAACAAAATTGAAAATTAATGTTCAAATGTTTGATAAAAAAAACACAAAGCTTAACGACAAGAAAAACAAAAGACATTTATTTCTAGTATTGTCACGCAATCAGCATTGGCAATAAGCTGAAAATATATACCATCGATAGAATGCACACTTATGGTAATAAGTGAAAAAACAACAACCATTGCTTTCGGAATTGGCAACAGCTCAATTTGATCATCATCATCATCAGCAGCAGCAGCATCACACAACACCTTATGATCAACATTCGTCTTATGCGCGTGATATAACGAAACGCAATATTTCCATGTAAGTGTAATTTTATGAATGGGACGCGAGCGAGCACGCAAACATGGAAAACATCGTGCCCCCAAAAATGGTGGCTATATTATTTAATTATCGGTCGTAATCGAGCGTTGTAAGTGCGTTTAATGCAAATTGTCACTTAATCAAGTCAATTTTTCATTTCACGATGTCCGAAGTAATGGATATGGTGGATGGAGGAGAGGCATTTGGTCGCTGAAATGCCTACACGTAATCAAATTGAACCAGATCAACACATTCGATCGGATGGATGACAAAATTGACATCACCAAATATGAGTGGATCAGGTGGGAGGAGAGGCGGCGGCGACAACAGCAGCAGCAGCAGCAGCAGCAGCATGACATTTGCCGCACATAAGATTTGTGCTGTTGTTCTAAATAGGCATTGCGTTAAGCTTCGACTCTTGGCTCCAAAATCTATATGCATATCATTTGCTGGCTTAAAATGAACGACGACAAAATATCACAATAAGCCACTTATTGTAAAATGAGTTCATTTCAAGTATTCAACTATACGGTGGCAGGCGAAAAACAATTCAGAATATGCCAAGCATTTGATGTAATAACAAACTAAAGCCGTTAAAACAATTATAACATTCAAAAGCATTCAAACAACTCGATATTTAAAGAAAAGAAACACAGGTATTTTTCCCGTGGCGTTTTTCTGTTTTTTTTTTTTTATACATTTAATAACAATTGAAAATGCCCGATACTGTTTTTTGTTTGCGTCTAAAATGCAATTTATGTTTATGATCATGTTGATAGTAATTTTTGTTTGTTTGTCGACGGTGTTTGCAGTCAAGTTCAACGATATATACTTGTTACCTTAATGCATGCGACCATAATACAATACAATGATTTTTTTTATTCATTTCTTTTCTCATTGCGCATCACAACACGCAGTAGTTGGCTTTTGCGAGTCTACGTTTTGTACCATATATTTCCATTTTGCCAGTGATTGGTGGAATCGGTTTGCAGGCAAATTTCAAATTGCAACGGGTAATTTTGATTTCTATCCGAACATCAGGGAGGCAATTTGTGGAAAGCTGACTGAAAAGCCAATAATGATAAGGCGGGAATTTTGAACAATATATGCATTATGAACGCAAACACATTGACGAAATAAGAGAGTGAAAGAGAGAGAGAGATAGCGAGAAAAAATGCCGCTTATCATTGTATAGGCACAATTGAAATAGTTATTTGTAGCCGTTTAGTGTAGGTTTTTGCTCATTATCTAGTATATATATATATATGTGTGTGTGTGTGTGTATTACAAGAGCACAACCAAACGAGATGAAACGAAATGGAAGCAAATTAGTTTAAACAGATGCTCAACCTACCAGCACAGCGCGACTCAAATAGCGTTTAGAATTTGTGTCATGCTCTTGCACACATTGCACCACACTCATTTGAATTAGTTTGACTCGATCGGTCGATTTCTCATCAACATACCCGGCAATTGTTTTTCGTTTTCTTCCTTTCGTCAAATTATTTTTACTTCCAAATGCGGTGGAGCCAATACAAAAAATACAAAAGTACCGATTATGAATTGTAAGAGCAACGATTAAGGGAAAACTGTTGTTAAGGCGGTGAAAATTGAAAAAAAGAAAAGAAATTGTGGCGCTTTAGAAAGAAGAAGAAGAAGAAGAAGAAATCGTTGTGAAGCATTTAATATTCGTTTGTGTAAACAAATATCGAATCTCTGCATGGCAGCGAAATAACCAAATATCTAAATAATTTTGTGATCACTTGTGGCATCTCTTTGTGTTAGTACATTGCCATAAATAACAAAATAAACAATGGCATAAAAGCATTTTGACACATTTCTTCTTCTTTTTCTTCTTTAAATTAAAACCCAAAAGGTTAATGCGGTATCTTGATGGGGTTTTTCTTCGTTTTTTCTTCTTTCTCTCTCTCTCTCTCTCTCTCTCTCTCTCTCTCTCTCTCTCTCTCTCTCTCTCTCT